CAACATTTTAAGCGACACTCGTGGCATGTCAAATCGTTCTTCGCCGCCATTACCCCTGCCAGCTTCCGGTTCAACGGAGTGAAGGAACAGGGGACTTAAATTTAAATCTGCTTTCATTTACCCGTTACGCCAGAAGTGTTTTTGTAGAATAAATGTTACGAAAATTCTACCAATAACGACGGCAGATAATTTCTGCCTATTCTTGTTCCTTCACTCCGTTGAACCTGCAAAGCGGCAACACCTGCTCGACCAATTCTAAACTGAACCTTCTCGGGTCCTAAGGTGCGTAAAGTGTTGGTCGTTTGTGGATGAATATGATATAACGGTAAAATCTCTGACATTTGGATGGTTTTATTTTGAGTCTCGACTCAGGAGAACTAGCAGATGTGGAATATGCGGATAAAGGAAAATGGGCATGAAGGAAAAAACAACTTCAAGTCTACACTGGAACGTAATGTACAATCACGAGGTTTTGGCTTAACGATATTTGGACGAATGTTTGCAAGAGACCTTTGAAGGTAGATCAACTATAGCTTGAATTTTGCTGTGTGCGGCGTTAAACAACAAACACAGACTAAAAATAGATCGCAGGAAGACGCTCAATTTTTACAGTTATCACAATTTAGCACAAAGTCACTTTGGCAAATGAAAGAAATATGTACTGACTATGTACATAGCCTCCGCTAAATGGTGCCTAGCCACGAGCTCTCTTAGCGTGTAACATTTCTCTCATATCGAACGTTGTTAACAATCTGTACATATATTTACAGTGTATAAATCCTTATATAATATGTCGACATACGTGAAATGATATGATAAACAGGAAAATATACCACGTATTGAAAAACTTGTTGAAAGCTGTTGCCTGTAGTAATGGGTATAGAATACAGATTGCAAGACATATCCTTGAACTGATTCGTATGAGACGGCTCTCGGAAGACGCATGTGGCGAGGATCAGCACTAAATGCTTAGAAGCGTAAGGTATGTAACAGTTTTTAGTTGAGTTTCGTCGGCGTCGGCGTTCCCACTGTTTCCGGAACACAACTCTAAAACTACTTGAACAATCTTCACCAAATTTAGCATACTGCCTCTCCATATCATGTAGATGTGCCTTTGGGGGATTTGAGGTTTTTTTCAATTTTATGTTTTTTCTGTTTCCATGGCAACAATTTGGACTTTGTCTTTTTGAAGGGTAAAGTTCGTTTCCGGAGCAAAATTCTAAACCTATTTGACCCATCTTCACGAAATGTAGTATACTGCCTATCCATATCATGTAGATGTGCCTTCTGGGGGTTGAACTTTTCTTTCAATTTTCTTTTTTCTGTTTACATGGCAACAAATTTGGACTTGCACTTTTTGAAGGGTAGGGTTTGTGTTCGGAGCTTAACCCTAAAACCACTTCACCCACCTTCACCGAATTTTGTATACTTAATACCAATACCCATTATTAGTAAGCTTAGAAGGACCAACCATATACATGTACTACTATACGATATGTATTTTCATACTTAGAGATTTTGAAATTGAAGGAATCAAATGCATTGTTTGACGCCTCAACGTTGAATTGGGGGAAAGGGGGGACATCTGTTTTTACGAGTAAAAACATTTTCTAGTTATCACTTGTGAGCCCGGTGATAAACATTGCCATCCGTCATTGACGAAATGAGGCTTCTCCCATTCTCGCGGTATAACGAGGAACGTTATGGAGTCTATGGAAGAGCAATCCTGCCGAAAAGGGAGGGGAAAAGTTATGATATGTCCATGTTTGTATAAATTCACCAATATTCGTGATATTGCAAGATTTTGATCACTTGCAAACTTGGGCAACTGCCTAGTTACCGGTCGACAAGGCTAACAACCGTTCGGTGTCGCGCATCGGCGATATCGGCAGAAAACGTGTTTACCGCGAGAATAGAAGACGGAACTATAAGCTATAAAATCTGTCAGCAAAAGACGGTAAAATAACTAGAGGATCACAGATATCGATATGAAACTAGTTTGTAAGCATGACAATATGACTTTACAAAACAATACATGTGAAAATTGGGATATAGACCACCAGCAACCAAACTGCATGGTGCTCCAGCTGCATCTACACCATCTACATGGACACCATCCTCTGGGTATTATAAGTTGTATGCTTCTCTCGAGGGTAATACGGTCTGATGTACGCCACTTTGTAGCAGTGTCACCAAAGCCGCTAACGATTGTTAGCGATTCAGCTTCTCTGCGGAGAGTTTGGCGGCTACCGTAGCGGCGGGTAATATTGTTTCCAGTTGTTACCCTCCTGGGAAACTTGTTAAAGCGCCTTTGACCAATGAAATTAAAGTATTTCACATACAGGTAACACAATGGTGAGTGTTGGACGGTGAAGACAATCAACAATGCTACGATTGAAACAACGTAGGCCTACAATCGGGAGTTTGAATCTGGGGTCGCCCTGGTTATATACTTATGTACAAAAGATAGTTCACGTCTGGTGTTTAGGGATCGTTTTGCAAAAGCCAAGGTAAATATTTTGAAGTGTTTATTGTGACTTACAAGTGCCAAAACACAAGATATCCTTTATAGTTCTGTGAGTGTAATTTCATAAAAGTCATGATTTGGTTGAATCGCACTATCGGCATCGGTATAAAACACGGTCAGTTCAGATTGTGGTCTAACTGTTAAAGGCACAAATCAAAATGCTAAAAATAGCACCAGAGAACGAGACACTGAATGTCGCAGATGAGCAAGGCGCATTCTCCACCTGAATGCCATCAGTGACGTCATCATCAACAACGGCATTGGGTCACCGCAAAAGCAGGAATACAGTGAGCACGGGTACATGTAGCTGACCAATCACGGATGAGAACCAGATTCCATTCTGTTATCCTGGCGCTCCTGCTACCTCGGCATTACAACTATCGCAAGTATGAGAGTTACGATTACCGTAACTCTAAGATCACAGCATAAACAGGTGAACCCAGAAAGAGTTGTCCTAAAACATGAACACCTTGCAACGTTTTACACGACCCTACTGTTATTTACGGAGTTAAAAAATATTTCATATTTACCTCTGCTGCCCAAATCAACACTGGTTACTAATATCCGGCAAACAAACGTGGACCTGCATGTATATACTGATCTCAGATACATTTACCAAAGTGAATTATGCGAAGTGCATTACCTTGCAGCTATAATACCCTCATCTACATTCATAGACCGCTTGGGTCGTGAGTCGGCATACTGCTGTATACTTGAAACCCAGTGAATATTGTTTTGTCATTGGACAGGCGCAGAGAACGCGTTTATGAGAAGGCGGTGCACGCAGAGAACGCGTTTATGAGAAGGCGGTGCACGGCAATTAGCAAACCCATTTGGCTTGTGAAAGGTAGAGCAGATGTAGTGCACGTGCATTACATGACGATGAAATTGACTCCGCGCGTAACTGCACACGCCTTGCTCATAAGACTCTCACGTCGGTGTGGGAAGTCGCACTACACTTGATCGCGGACAGCCTGGAGACCCTTCGCTAACAATGGCAAGCGCCAGTGGGCGGCACTCCTACATGCTAATACGGGTCAGTTGTCAGGTCGGTGTTCAACTTATCCTTGTTTGCCAGTATAGTTACATCACGGTGGCCTGGTAGGCGTTGGGTTCAGACAAACAGATCCTATTAGGTATGAGCTAAGATCCACACCTTCGGGAAAGATGACACGTTATGAACTTCATCAACCGTCATCTAGCTGCAGCTCATCAATGCCTAACCATCAACTACTGTACAAAAGATGATGCCTTTATATATTTTTTATATGAAGAAGAAGAAGTAATATGGTTTATTGCTGTGCCAAATGCTGCATTACAAAAAAGACATTTCGCTGTTCCAGGGATTTAAGAACAGTACCCGGCCATTTGGCCTACGGGACACAAATATCACAGTTACTAGTATATACAAACATTGATAATAATGTCATACCAACACATACATACACGCAAGTCCAAACATACACCCAAACGAACAAACAAACAAACAAACACACAAACACACACACACACACACACACACACACACACATTCACGCCTAAACGTATGGAGGAATGCGGCAGGGGTTTTTATAAACTGATTATTAGTCGGAAAGAATACCATATATTTTGTCTCCTGCTGACATAGATGGGAATAAAGGATGCACACTGGTTATATGTATATCTACGTTAGAATTAAACATTGAACGCTATGTAGGGCCTTGAGTAACAGAGCCCGGACCAGACAACCCAGTGATGGATCTTGCGACTAACCTTGCACCAAACCTGGAATGATAACATCCATGGCCTGAGTCACCGAGCCTGACCACGCGGTCCATTTGGTCGCAGCTTACGACCAGCACAGGTGGACTGGGATCGGTCTACCAACACTGATTCCCCGAGAGAAGAAGTGTGTTTGACACTGGGTACTTATTCCAACCTGGAGCTCACCAGCGATGTTTTCTGAATATTCATTGCTCATATGTGCTAATTGCATGCAGATTTAGTGTGTGAGTCAGTTTAGTTTTTCGCCGCACTCAGCAATATTCCAGCTATATGGCGGCGGTCTCATGCAGTTTTAAATATCATATTGATATACAACACATTAACACTGAACACTGACCAATATTCCAGCTGTCTGTAAATAATCTAGTCTGGGCCAGATAATCTAGTGATCAACATCATGAGCCTCGATCTACGAAATGAAATGAAATGAGTCAACCATTTGAAACAACTGTTATGAAATTAGAAATCACTTCATTCCTCGCTTGCGTTTTATGCATTTTTTAACCTTTATCACTCTGTCGTTCGTTATTGAACGTCCCGTCGTACGTGATGTGAATGAATAACTTTGAACAGACACATAACCCTTTGCTTGTTCTGTGACCGAGTTTCAACGAGGCACCATAAAACATTCCTAGACTTGCTCTAATCTGTGTCTTGACACACTTGTGTTTTGTCAACATACTGGAGTTACCGTGTGGCTTATCTGTCCGCTAACACAAGACGTGGCAGCTGCCGGGTGCCGGAGTACATCCACTGACAGAGCGACACATCCCCGGTACCCGCTTCATAACGCTGCTCGCTGACACAGCTACCCCATACACGCCTGGCGACAAGCACGTGGAGTGTGAACAGTCCGCGATCGAGTGACGTGAGTATAGGCTTGGTTTGGTGATTGCTGCTGGTTTAGGGTAGGACGGACAGGGCTGTCAGTATAGCACGTGTCTCAGCAGAAGCTCTACACTGGTGGAATGTATTTTAGTTTCGCTTTCCGTTTGAAAATCTCACTTGAAATTCGAAATGGCATGCAAACATATATGAGTACAGTTTGTGTTTTTAAGAAGCGTTGACAGTTTTAATTCGTGTCCTGGGAAAACTCGCTTAAACGGGCATGTCTGGTGACTTCACACAGGGTGACACTCAGTCATCGGAAAAGGAAGTGTCCCTTACTGACTTTAGGAGATATAATCTACGAAAGTGGATCGGATGGTCGTTCTCTTTGACTTGGCTGATAGCGAGGAGGTGGCTCTTGATTTTAGTCACTGGATTTTCGTTTTTAGACTCGATCATTTACAGGCATCCATACTATGGCTGAAATATTGAAAGAAGGTTTTTGTGAAACTCGGGGAGACTTTGTTGTCTGTAAAAAGTTTGGTTTCAGTCAGGATTCACTTTTGGTTAAGAAGTTAGAAACCAGTTGCAGTTAACCCACACCCACACCTAAACCCACACCCGAAACCACATCCACACCCAACCCAAAACCTAAACCCACACCCACATCAGAACCCACAACCACACCCACGCCCACGCCCACACCCACACCCACACACCTAACCACCACCGCCATAAGATGGGCACCTGTCCTAACTAGGTTACGTTACAGGTTAAGGTAAGAGGAAAGCTTGTTGTAATCTTATCGTCCACCGATGAGGCGAGAAAGGAATTCAAACCCACGATCGTATATATTTATCTGTCACGTCAAGGGATCCCGCAGCGATCAGGCCGCGTCCGCACCACGGTGTGACGTCACAAAAGATATAGCTTTACAGCGATGAGAATACGCACTCGATATGAAAAAAATGTCACCAGGACAGCAGATGATGTTACAGCAATTAGGCAAACATTTTAGTTAAGTGAAACTATTTGTGCAGGCTTGCAAGCACAACACATAGACAGTCAGCACCGTTGTGTCGAAGTTTTTAAGCTGACGGGCCCTGTGTAAATACTTCGAGATATTGACCCGTGAAGGTCCGGGTAAGAATTTTGGCCTTCAGTAACCCATGCTTGCCGTAAGAGGCGACTAACGGGATCGGGTGGTCAGGCTCGCTAGCTTGGTTGACACATGTCATCGGTTCCCAAGTGCGCAGATCAATGCTCATTCTGTTGATCACTGGATTGTCTGGTCCAGACTCGATTATTTACAGACCGCCGCCACATAGCTGGAATATTGCTGAGTACGGCGTAAAACTCAACTCACTCACTTCGAGTTATTAGAGGTGCGACACAATCGCAAAATGATGACTGAGTTAAAGTACACAGGGACCCAACCTTTACTGCAGGACAATCGTATGTCCGATATATCAAAAATCTTCTGGTGTCCCCCCGCCGTGATATTCCTGGAATATTGCTAAAAGCGGCGTAAAACTAAAACTCAGTCAGTCAGTATATCAAAAATCGACAAAACATGACTGTTATACTATCAAATAAATACTAGTATTGGTGAGTAAACATGGTAAGCATATTTAACAATAGTCCAGCAATATCACAGCGTAGGGACCAGAAATCGGCTTCACACATTGCACCCACGTCGGGAATCGAACCACAGGCCCCCACTGCGGGTCAGAAAATCGATAAACTAGGCTCCGGTTTAGTATCAACACCCCCTACTATATAATATAGAAAGGTTCATCACAGAAATACGATGACATGATCGAAAAACGGACAATTACGCACATGTCAATGAATATATCGTATTTTAAAGGTCTCACAAGTATCAAAAGCTTTTGTACATATCTCTGATGTATGTATGAGGCATATACATGGGCTTTCCGTGGGGATGCATTTGATGGTTTTATTAAATCGCCAAAGACCAAGTTGCTGTGCCGGAAGTGTACAAAACTAGGTCGTCAGCGCAATCAAATTGGTTAATAAAATGACAACAAATGCACGTGCGAAAATGAGAGGGAAACTCAAACGTCTATCATCCAAGATGTCACTATCTGATGTTTTATCTTGGTAAGAATAATTTTAAAAACGAGTACAAATATTTTTTAAAGAAACACATTCATTCAGTGTAATGTGTTAGCCAATCAGATCGCCGGAGGTAGTGAAATCGAGCTAGTTTTGTATACGGACCGATGAATTGCAATCTAACTCGAAAACTAATAAACATAAAATACTCAATGAAACGCTGATCATAATCAAAACATTATACCCACTCTGTGAGGTTTTTGCAGAAAACGGATGGAGACGGCACAGCACAGGTTAATGAATAAATAACTTTGTCTGTGAACGTGCTTCTTGAACACATGACTCGTAACAAACAGTGAACTGTGTCAGTATTTTAATGATAGATTGTTAAACAACTTTATTATTTTTAGGACAAAGGTTCTGCAAAAACCTCACAGAGTGGGTATGATGTTTTGATTATGATCAGCGTTTCATTGAGTATGTTATGTTTATTAGTTTTCGAGTTAGATTGCAATTCATCGGCCCGCTTTTGAGCCAAACGGACTGTAACGTGTCTTTCTTTCATAAAGTTGATGTTGAGATATGTAAAACAGTGTGATACCCATAGAAAAGCTTAAATCAGCCATCGTATTAAATATCTCAAAATATATAGGTAGCATGGCCACCCGAAGATCGACAGGACTGGATGTTATTTGTAAATTGTTACTTGCCCATTTTAATTCCCCTAAAGGATTATCTTATGTTAGTTGGTATCTCTATCCCCTAGCCCAACCCCAACCACCGTCTGCGACACCCGACCTAGCTACATCCTTTACAGTTTCACAATTAAAAATATTATTTTGTACGTCAGCTATCGTTTCTAATAAAGCTAAGTCTACTTTCAAAATGGTCATTTAAAAAGTGTCCTTTGTAATACAATATCATCGCACACTAATTAACATAAAGCCATGGTCTGTTCCAAATAAGTCGACTTGGCCTTAACCGCATTGCTCATTTCTGCACTAATCTCTCCTCAGTAAAGTCCCTTTTTACGTTTTCTATCTCCCTGCAATCGAGACTGTAGTTAGGCCGAACTTGGTTTAACAGATATTTCACACTTTCACATATTAACTACATAAATTGTGGATATAAATGTGAAATATCAGGGTTTTTTTCTGTTTCCGACAGTAGTTTAATGCATTGCGTGACCGTATCACAACTGGTTGGGTCTATTATTGTGAAGGGGTGCACCTTTGTCAGTTCATTGTGAACATGTCCGAACAGCCGAGACAAGGTCTCTTCGACATCTCAGTGTCGAGAAATCATCTGCAATGTCCTAAATTTCTTTAATGTTTAATGTAGTAATAGTATTAAAGTAACACTGCATAATTACAGCAGATCTGAACACATCTATGTGTCAATAGACGTTGCTTCAATTCTAGTTCACATCAGTTTGTAATTTATTCATACTATATTCTATGCGTATGGATATTTATTGCAAACAAATGTTTGTAAGAGCTGTCCACAAATATGACACTTCTATGCACTTACATCAATTAATTGTATGTGTTAGTTTAACTACCACAGAAATATATGTAGTCTGTCCCATTATCCCCGAACCACATTATTTTCCCTCCTGCCCAGCCCTATCTGCAATGTTAAACGTTCTAAATGAAGCAAGTCTAGATTTCCTCAGTTTCAGATCTGAATATCCCATCTCGCAGGGGCTCCTTTTCAGTTTAAAAGGATTTACTTATTACAATAAAAATCATAAATATTCAGATACTTAGCGTAAGTCTATAATATATGTCAAAAGGAACTATAAACCACTTTTGTTGCATGAACTGACCGCGTTCTAGTTTCGGGTTTAGGTTTCATTAACCGGGTTTTTTGTACAAACCGGTTAATGAAACCTAAAACCGAAACTAGAACGCGTTTGTCAGAACAAACCTATGATTGGTTGATACATGACCCCATTGCAATTGCATAAACGCATGGCCGATTACAGTGAAACAGAATACGGTGGAAATACAAAATAACTTCATCTGTTCGGGTAACTATCGTAGACCAGCTAGTACATGTCAGCGAGAAGTTTAGCGTACATGCCTTTTGGGGGCTGTCTGGTGCACTGACGCCAGTGGACGGTGAGGTGTGTCTGTCCAGCTGGGCTTCCAAACACACGCCTTGTCCGTATTGTCTAAGAATAGTAACATGTGTAGAAGCAGTCAACACGACCTTATTAAATTGTGTTTAAAGTTAATAACCTGCAACAAAATACATTTTCAGTAAAAGAATGTGGAATACATAAAGATACATGGTAGTGTTGGGAATTGGTTAAAATCTCATAATTGATGATTGGTTCATTACCACCGATCAATCATCGAAAATAATTGGTTAGCGTCATTTATGAAATTTGTTAATGCTCAAAAAATAAGGAAAAAAACTTGTAGTTATTTTGGGGGTTTTGGCAATATTTCACATCTTTAAAGGATGACTAGTATGTTAGGAACATAAATTTCTTGGTGTCTTTAAGATAAATTCAATCATGACTTAGACGCTTGTAGTGCTTATGAAATGTAACTGAAAAATATTGTTAATGAAAACAAGTGTTCCAGAATTGTTTGTGTTCGATTATGAGAAAACACGATCGATTGCTTGGTCGTTTAGTCACTGCGACCAATCTTCGATTATTTCAATTAATCGGATCACCACTAATACATGGACTATATACGGTTAGACGGTACTCGCTCGGGTGCACATTGACAGACCTTGTACGGTCGGTGTAAAGCTTCTTCACACTTACTTCGAATTGACAGGAATCAGGGAGAATCAGCCAGATATATTTTTCTCAAAAATTCGAACCGCATTCGGGAGAGAATGTCAAAATAAACAAAAATTTGTAAGAATGCTGTTGGAATACTTAGAACTCACTTCGAACATGCCTCGAATGATTCTTACTCATTCCAAATGTACTAGATCACGAATGCAGCTCGAATGAATCGGAATACTGTAGGAATAATTAGGATGCCGTTAGAATACACTAAGAATTCTTAAAATGAATTTCGACTGCCGTACGAGTCCGGTTCGATTGCTGCGTGAATAACACTCGAATTTCAGTTGGAACGTACCTCGAATGCTGTACGAATTTACATAGAATGCATTCAGAACCCTCTTGGAATGATCCCCGAATATGGATCGTATGTTAAAGAAAATTAAAACAGAATGCAGCTCGAATATTTCAAATGCCCTTCAAATGCACTTTGAATGTAACACGAATGTCCGAAATGCATCTAGAATGCTGCCGGAATGTTCCACAAAGGGTATAAAAACCTGTTGAATCTGGACTATTCATCAGTTTCTGCCCAACTCCTATACAGCATGGACCCCCTGGACCATGTTACGTGGCTCCAGATTGCTGTCGAGATCTGATTGAAAGAGATGCGGAGAAAACCAGGAGGAGACCCCGGAGATTCCAGACCAGACCATGGCTGACAGAGGAAAGGAGGAGGCTGTATGGATATTACACAAGACTGACGGAGGAGCTCAGAGTTGAGGACACGCAGTCTTTCTTCAACTACCTTAGGATGGAGCCTGCCATGTTTGATGAGTTTGTGCAGAGAGTGGGACCAAGAATACAGAAGCAGAATACATATTATATGAGACAGGCGCTACCTCCAGGCTTGAACCTAGCCATCACATTGAGGTTCCTGGCTCCAGGTGATAGATACCCCAACATCATGTACAGCTTCCGCGTGGCAAGGAACACAATCAGCCGGATCATCCGAGAAGTATGTCAGGTCATTGTAGAGGAATGCAAGGATGAGGTTACCATCATCCCTACCACTCCAGAAGAATGCGCACCCATTAAAGAGGTATTCAGAAACAGGTGGAATATTCCTCGTGCCGTAGGAGCTTTAAATGGCAAACATGTGGCCATTAGGAAACCTGCCAAGAACGACTCATTGTACCACAACTACAAGGGCTTCTTCTTTGTGGTCCTCGTGGTCTTTGTAGGTGGAAATCACAAGTTCCTGTGGGTGGACGTTGGTGCTTACGAAAGTATGTCTGATGCTCAGATCTTCAACGAGTGCGAGCTCAAGGATTGTCTTGAAGACGGGAGCGTAGGATTTCCTGATCCGTTCCCCTTACCCCAAGATGACGAGTGTATGCCATGCTTTATTCTGGGAGATGATGCCTTTGGAAAAAGGACCTTCTTGATGAAACCGTATGGTCATAGGACTATCCAGAGAGAGGAGAGAATCTACAACTACAGGATCAGCAGGGGCCGACGGGTAGCGGAAAATTCATTTGGAATCATGGCCCAGAGATGGCAAATCCTCCTCACCACCATGCTGCCAAGGCCTTCCGTTGTGAAGGACATCATTGAATGCTGTGTCTGCCTGCACAACCTGATGAGGAATCGTTATCCTCATCTCCACATTGGTATGGTGGGTGAGGAAGACGAGCAGCACAACGTGGTGCCAGGAGGCTGGAGACAACTTGCGCAGCTTAAAGGTGTGAATGATATCTGAAGTTTCAGTGACAGGTGGCTACGCTTTTTATGCTATTCGGCGGTGTTCTGATGACGTCGTGGCTCATTTGAAGAGCATTCGGGACGTACTGACTGTATTCGAGCTGTATTCGATGTACATTCGAGCTGTATTCCAAGTGCAGTCGAAATATTTCGACAGGTTTGAATAATATTCCACCTAAACTGCACCAGCATTCGAAGTACATTCGAGGCGCATTCAGTACATTCTTGCAGGATTTGAAGTGGCTTGCCTTTTCTTTTCTCCCTCAAATACGTTCAGAATACTTAGAATGCAGTTAGAATGCAGTAAGAATATTTAGAATGCAGTTAGAATGCATTTTAAATGCTATTCGATATTTTTCCACTTCGAATGTACCTCGAACGTTATGAACATGTTCAAAACATTCGGGCATGTTACAAGAATTGGCACGAATAGTTGGAGTGTATTCGGAATGGAGTAAGAAGTTTTAGAATGCAGTTCGAATTTCAGGAATCTCCAGGAATTTTCATTCCGACAGCATTCCGGCTCATTCCACATCAAGTGTGAAAGGGGTATAAAATTCGAATTGATCAAAAGATTTTGTTGGGTGAATCGTACCTTCATTATTCAAAGTAAGCCATCGTCGTGGGCTATCAGAAGAAGCAATAAACTCAAGGGGAACGTGATATTTGTCAGGGAATATATGCATGTAGACTCCTTGCACGTAATGAATATTCACCACTTGTGTGATATATGAGGGTTATACATGTATATGTATATTTACCGAACAAAAGCGAGTACCTGTGGCTTAGAAGGAAAAGTTACGTTGACATCGTACATGCTCTGATTTACATACATATACATTCAACCATGTGCCGGTATTAATACGAATCCACTTAAAAGGCTTTACAGCACAAGGCTATGTCAAGCGACATTTGTTGCGGGCATCATCACGATGCGTTCACTGTTTCAGCAGCAGCAACAATGGAGATGGAGGACTTACAGATGAAGACCCCCGAGAAGAAGTCTTCCTATGTCCAGTTTAAAGAAAATTTCGAAGACCCAATCTACAAGAACAAGTTCATATGTACACTGTTCCTGTTCTGGGCGTACATTGTCCTGGTGAGTTCACTGATCGATGTTTATTGATTCCTGGTCGCGTCCTTTGAACCCTCTAATCAACCAATCAGTGTCAAGGCTTCTTAATTCTCGGTACGATCGTGCGAAATATTCCGGACCTGAATATCGAATATTATCGATGTGTTCAGAATGGAAAAACGAAGCCACAATCTACTGTTATGGGCTTATATTGAATCCTGTCGTATGAGCGCCATGCCATTTGCACCCAAAAGGGTTAACTGAAGTGTATGAAATTAGGCCCGTCCAACCGACCGAGACGGTCTAGATTTCTGACGGACGGTCTAAATCCACAGCTAGCCAGCCCGATGGTCTGGTAAATTTTTTGGATGTTCCATATATCTGAGCAATTTCACCATATTTGGTCTGGTTAAATCCATTTTGGGCTGGTAACATTTTGAAGTTACCAGCCCTGATGTCTGGCTGGATCTTTGGCTTATTTCATACACTGTTAACTGTTGAAAATATGTTTTTTTCTTTTTGTTTTGTGGTTTTGATTTGTTATCGAGGAAAGGAAATGAAATCGAATAGTTTTGTTCAAGAACCAGCACATTCATCATTAAATTAGTCGGTCACTATGAGGGTCAGCCGAACGTCATCTCATGGTTAAGTTACAGTTATCTCTAGGGCAGGTTCATTTGGTTGATTGTGTGTCATCTTCCCCTAACGGCGTGGCTCCGTGTTCATAATATCCTTCACTGGATCACCTGGTCCAGCCTCAATTATTCACATGCCGCCGTCATATAGATTGAGTGGGTGGTGGGGTAGATTAGTGGTTAACATGTTTGATTTTCACACTGAAGACCCGGGTTCGATTCCCCACATGTTAAAATATGTCCAGCCAATTGCTGTGGTCCCTCGCCGTGATGTTGCAGCATACAACCATATTCATTGATCCTATTGCTTGAATACTGTGCGACGTTTGACAACTCCCATTCATTCATTTTTGGTGCTATTTCTGCAGGGTTTTTCTGCTGGCCAAACGGGCCCTTCCTTCCTGGACCTCATGCTGATCACTAATACCAAGCTGGAGCAAGCCTCCGCCCTGTTCACATCAGGAGCTGTGGGCTACACCACTGGTGCCTTCGTCACCGGAATTCTGTACGACAAGTGTAACAAGCTGCTGTTGCTGGCAGCCTGCCTAGTCAGCAGCGCCATCGGCACCGCCGTCATCCCGCTCTGTACGCCGCTGCCGGCGATGATCGCTATGTACTTCATCAGATCCTTCGTGTCAGCGGGGGTGGAGACAGGTTGGTATATGTACATACTGGTTATGTCATAGTTTGAAGTACTACGGTACCGGGAAGGTTGGTTGGTTGTTTTTAAACGCCGCACTCAGCAATATTCCAGATATATTGCAGGGTATGTAAATAAGACTGGACCAGACAAGCCAGTGATTAACAGCATGAGCATCGAGCTACGCTGCTGGGATTCGATGCCATGCATCAGGTCAGCGAGCCTGACCACCCGATCCCGTTAATCGCCTCTTACGACAAGCATGGGTTGCTGAACATCAATTCTAACCCGGATCTTCGCAGGGTTAAATCAATGTAACTTTTATGACATGAAATCAATAAATACTCCAACATGTAACAGCTATAATCAAGCTATTCTACTTCCAGGAGGTAATGCCGACTTGATCCGACTCTGGGGCAAGGATAGTCGAGTTTTTATGCAGATTCTTCACTTCTCTTTCGCCTTAGGGGGTCTCATAGCCCCTCTGGTGACAGAACCCTTCCAAGCTCCAAAGTCAGCCCACGCCACAACAGAACCTGTCAATGAGACCCATCTCTTTCAGTATGGGGACAATACAACTACTGCGTACGTCCAGGAACTTTCAGGATTAAATGGCACCAGTAATAACATGACGATTGCAGACACTGAAGACGCTCCGAAATCTCAAATCCTTTTTGCTTTCTTAATCACGGCTGTTCTGTTTCTCTCAGCTTCTGTTCCCTTTTTTGTGGAGTTTTTTTCTTCGTAAAGTTGACAAGAACCGGAAGCCAGTAGAGGAGAAACAAGATGGCCGTCAAGGAATACCACTTCCGGTCTATATAATAACAGTGGCTATGATTGGGGCATTCTATTTCTGTTATTGCGCGATAGAGGAGACGTTTATGTCGTTCCTGGCGGTGTTTACTGTGGAAGGGTTGGACTGGGACAAGTCCGATGGTGCTTTGGTTACGTCAGTGTTTTGGGGGAGCTTTGCTGCATTTCGGTTCCTTGGGATCTTTATCATAAAGATATTTTCTCCATCCTCAATGATAATTCTGTGTATGTTAATTCTGTCAGCGAGCTTGGGTGCATTCCTGGTCTGTTCTGTCTTTGCGTTACATATTGGAATTTGGATTTCGTCAGTTGGGGTTGGCCTTGCAACATCTGTCATATTTCCAACGACCTTCACCTGGGTCGAAGAGCATGTCATCAGGGTCACGGGAAAGATCACGTCTGTGATTACGATATGCGCTGCATCGGCGGGAATGTCGACACCACTGTTGCTAGGATACCTGATGGAGGAAGTGACGTATTTGTGGTTCTCGTATTTGCTGTTTTTAATGTCGATTATCCTGATAATTATACATATCGTGCTGCGGCTGCAGTCAGTATTTGTGTTGAAGAAATATCACAGCGCAGCTAGGGTTGAATCACCCAGTGATCTGGCTATACCTCAAGAAAAGGGAAAAATGTTTCATCCAAATGCTTGATACTTGCACGTACAATGTGTCAATGAATATTTACAAACGTTGCAACTTTGATATGTAACGGCGTGACGTAAGAGATAAATATTGTAAAGTGTATGCCATCTGTTTTGGACGAATGAAAAATGTGTCTAAAGAAATGAAAACATGTTGAGTGAGTGAGTGATTTACTGTATACTAAAGCACATGATTTACATGGAAATGTGACCCGTGAAGATCAGGGTTAGAATTGGTCTTCAGTAACCCACGCTTTCGTAAGAGGCGACTAACGGGATCGGGTGGTCAGGCTCGCTGATTTGGTTGACACATGTCATCGGTTCCCAACTGCGCAGATAGATGCTGATACTGTTGATCACTGGGTAGTCTGGTCCAGACTGGATTATTTACAGGCCGCCGCTATACAACTGGAATATCCTCTGTGTGTGGCGATAGACAACATACAAAACTACATGGACGTGTACACACAGACGAATTTGCTAAGTCACAGTTTTGAGTAAGCTTCATCCAATATGAGGATACAAGGGGGCTCCCCCTCGTTGTCAACGAGTTCCTACATGGCTTGTCCGAAGCCATAGGCGCCTAACTCTTATATATTTATAAGTATGATATATACCTATCTATATAAGATATAAAATTGTATATGTTATATAGATATGCATATATCATACTTATAAATATATAAAAGTTGGGCGAAAATGCTGTGAAGCTTTAACAGGGATTTGAATAGTGCTTTATGCATTTCACAACAGGTGAAAGGAAGGCCGGAAGTGATGCTGGTCATTAATGCGAAACCAACGAGCACAGGAATCGTGTAGACAAACCACAAAGACATAATCAAATCTGGCATTGGCCTGAGTGAGTGAGTGAGTTGAGTTTAGCTTGGCTTTGGAACATATTCCATTTATATCACAGCATATCTGCTTGATGTTGGAGGCAAACTGGAAATGATGCAGGTCGCAGGCATTTGGCACTTCGTGACTCACAAACGCAAACCAACGGTTATGGTGTTGACAGACCATTCTGGCTTAAGGTCATTAAGAATTAAACATTCCGTATTCTTGCTCAATAAATATCAGTGACATTGGTCAGATTTAGATGCAGAAAATATGGAAGCATAAAAACATATAGGGTACAAACAGTAGCATTCATTGTACGAAATTCTTGAATAGAAACGCCTTTTCATTAGTTGCCCTCACTTAAGGACCCATGAAACTCGTTATTAGGGGTCGTCTTTGTAAGTCAAGGTGTACCCCTACAACACTGGCGTACAGCATTACTAGTGTCAACTTTGATTCAGTCTAAATAATGCAGACATTTACCAAATTGATGAGATCCAGGAAACATGGGTATGGTGCTGACAAGCAAATGACCACAATCTGAAAGAATCATGTTGCAGTTGGTCAGACAATGGTGATGCTGCCTCTGACAAATAGAAGTGCATACAAAACCTGTGATTTTGTGGAACAAATTTAGAATAGATGCAATATTATTACAAACATGTAAACAGGTTGTTTTCCTCTGGTGTAGAAATATCTGTGAAGGCATGGTCCGATTTAAGGAACACCAAGGAAAACCGGATGCATCCTGGTCCAATAAACTGATCAACTTGAAATGAGCACATAATCTTGAAGTACCCAAAGTTTGATATCATGACCATGTAGTTTGCTAAACAGAGCTTGGATGTGTTGTATGTGCTCTAAGAACAAAGTATGTACATGCAGGGGCGTAAACCAGAGGGGGATGCGGGGATACACACCCCACCCCACCCCGAATTTTATTCCTGAGGAGCCTTCCACCCTAATCTTTGGACTTCATGATTTATGTGCACCCCTGTCCCCCTTCTCCAAAATTTTGGAGCCGCTCTGGTACATTGAAGGGTGGGACACCAACTACTTTTCAAAATCTGGAAGATGAGAATATCAGGTTGCATTTACTTTACCAACTGGTTCACTTATGTCAAGCTTAAGCTTTGTAAAGGACAAGGACATCTAGCAATACACTCAAAACATAACAAACTCCACACTGTCTTGCATATCATCTGTTTTAATTCATTGCTATCAAAATACACCATAATGTTACTACAGCCTAGAGATTAGGCTTGACTTCAGCAATCAGACCTTTCTGAAAAACTTATACAGCTGAACAAAATAGAGTACACAATCTGTTTAGTTCCACAGATGAAAAAGGTTTTACATCCAAAACAATATACACAAGACCTATAACATCTCATCCAAATAGCGCATCCACGAAAGTTTACCACAAACATTCTATATTTATCATCAACACCACCTGTTGACACTTCTTGTGGCAGTGATGACCTACAAAGAAACACAATCAGGGGCCTGTTCCTCAAAGCGATCGTAGCGCTACAACAGTCGTAAGTCTGTGTTAAAGTATGGGCGTTTCGATCACCTTAGCGCTACGATCGCTTTGAGGAACGGGGCCTAGGCCAGTCAGGGACATGACCAGGTATGTGAGATTAGATATAACACTGCAATGCTGTGATTTCAATTTTAGATCAGCAGATCCTGGTAACTAAGGGATGCAACTCTGCATATTGAATATTGGCCCTGTAGAAAACTGCTCCAACCCGACCTACAATATTCAGTGGCATAATAATCATAATGAAATCCAAGACAAGCAGATTAGGGGAAGTATTTGAATGCCATTATTAACTATATTGGAAACTAACTCTTAGTTGAAAAGAACTGATTGCTTGCAGCAGTCATTTATTCTTCAGTAGAATATGTAAAATCATTAACAATATGCTTGCTATAACACTCACTCTTTGAAACAATACACATTCAGTTCAACATAAAATCATCACACAAACACCCTTATAGTGGTTAAAAAGAATGAAATAAATATTATTCCATTCAGAAAACTGACCCGTACATACATTATAGACACACAGTAATTATACCACATATAAAAACTAACTTTAAATATCAGCCTTCACTTTGTCCTGGCGTTGGTTGCCATCATTTAAATATTAAGACCTGGAAGGTTCACTCACAAGGCTATCAGTTAGGCTAGTAATGGTGTAAATTACATGAACTTAATGTCAATTAATATATAAATTTAGACAGAGCACAAAGCATCCCCAAGATATTCATGATGTGTTACTTTTTTCTTGAGTATACTATGTTTTTTCACCAGCCATGAATTGATATGGATGTTTTGCAGTGTAGTGATAAGCTTTTGAAACGTGGCTGTTTTCAACTGATGGAAGTCAAAAGGATTTCTAGGAATTTATGTGAACTTGATTTATCTGATGTGCAGGATATGGACAGAGTGACCACCAGGCTATGTGAGTGAGTGTGTATGCTTGGACATTGCCTTTCACAATATTCCAGCATTATCATGGTGGGGGACACCAGAAATGGGTTTCACACATTGTACCATATTCGGGAATCAAACCCAGGTCCTCAGAGGAATGAGCAAATGCCTTAATCACTAGGCCACCCCACCAGCTTATCTGCGTGTGATGTTACCTGTGTCATAAGTCAGAATATAGGTCTTTGAGTAACCAGTAAAGAATGACGACTCATCACAAAGCTTCCATAAACATCCTTGAATGGTGCAGGAACATAGAGTGTATGAACCTGTCAATTATTGAAGAGGGTATCATTCACAGCTTATTTGTAAAACATTGTTTGTGGACAAGTTTGATCAAGTATCGGGGACAATTTTTTTAATGCCCTTTATCAGATTTCCAAGGTCACTCTATTTTGTGGAATCCCTGATTCCTAAGAGAATGATCAGAGTTTTATTTTGCAGCACTATGGTAGCCTATAATGGACAAGATCACATTTCCTGATATAAAATATACATTGTTGACTACAGACTTTATGATCATGTGGACAGCATGGTGGATGTGAAGATCTGTTGGAGAATCTGGGGCAGGTTTTTGTTGTCCATACACACGTAGGCGTGACCCATCGGTAGCTGCTTCGTCAGCCTGGAATGTAGAAACATGCATCAATATTATTATATCTAAGGCCAGACCAATTTTATTTCTTGTTTTATGGGGTTTTGTCCTCAGTAAACCTAAAGGCAGGAGGGAAAAAAATAATAAATAAAATCACCAGTCAAAGTAATATTCCTTCTAAATACTAAAATGTTTTTACTTTTGGCAATTTATGAAGTGTATATGGGGCAAAATAAAATCTAACAAAAAAAATTCTTGTAAGTTTACATTTTTGGCCAACAAAATTAATTTCAATTATTTTTCAACTGGCGGATCCGTAAAACAAGAAATAAAATTGGTCTGGCCTAAAAATTATCTTATTTTTGTTTCTTTGTTATTTAACCATGAGCAATATTCCAGTTATATCGCAGCGGTCTGTACACAGCTGAGTCTGGACCAGACAATCTTGTGATCAAAATCATGATCATTGATCTACGCAAACAGGATATGAAGACTGTGTCAACCAAGTCAGCAAGCCTGACCACCAGATCCTGTTAGTTTCCTCTTACCAATTCTAACCCAGATTTTCACAGGTTGTTATAATTTATTGCTACTGTTGCCTACATCTACCAGTGACTAGAGTGGTGACATATATCCTGCTGAGGATTCATGATCAGTGTGCAATTTTCATTCTCAGCTCCCTGAGCAGTATACAACAGTACTAGGTGCTGGCTGTCCAAATATTAATGATAATATGTACCATTGTTGAAGTTGGTTCCAACAAACAGCAATCTCATCCAGAGTCTGATCGGAGAAATTCGAACAAACCCTAATCCTACCTGACGGCTTGATCGCCAAGTGATCCGATGAAGATAGCATAGGCATTGACGTCTTCATTGGAGTTAAGGATTTCTGCAAATCGCGAAGGTCGGATTCCATATCTGTCGAAGTTGGCATCACTGAGGAGGAGAACGAAGTGTTCGTCAGCCTCTTCATTGCCGATGACCTGGATGGCGTTCTTGGTAGCCTCCAGTGTGTTGTCTCCGCTCAGACAGAACTGGGAGTGGGCGTGCATCAGCTGGCAGAGTACACAAACAGTTGGCTTCAATACAAAACTGAGCTAAACATGTTTAGACATTTACCTGGATATCCCCATGTTAAAGCTCAGAGAACAATCGGCGATACATCTATGATTATTACAAGTGAGCGAGTTTTTACGCCGCTTTTAGCCATATTGCAGCAATATCACGGCGGGGGACACCAAAAATGGACTTCAGAGACTGTACCCATGTGGGAATTGAATTCGGGCCTTCAGCATGACGAGCGAATGCTTTAACCACTAGGCTACTCCACTGCCCTGATTATTGCAAAATGACATGTAGTTACAGTCAAACATTGTTGTGTTCAACTTACGTTTGTCTCTAAATAACAGCTGGATCCCCAGTACTATATCCACGCAAATAGTACATGCACAAGGCACTGGTACTTTTTTCCTCGATCATTGGATGTCAATCTCAATGGCACATCATATTATCAATCTCAACTCCCTGGGGAGCGTACAACTCTTGCAGCCACTAGGCGCACCAAGTTATTGCAGCTTTCCCATCCTTGCGGGATACCCATTCACAGCTGAACTGGGACACATAGTCACAGTACTTTGTCCAAGTTTACTGCGCGTTTCTGTACCCGCAACTAGGTGTTCGCACATATTTATGAGGCCACCATCTGGTCAATTACCAACGGATTCGCAGGTTCTTTTAAGTGCACAGACCTGTGTACTGTACACAAGGGGTTCTGACAACGTGGAAAGAGTCTGCACACAAAGTTGACTCCAAGGTTTTACATCCGGTCACAGGTGGGCTCGATCCCCGACACCTCAAGCTCGCTGAATCACTAACCTGGCACCTAATAGACAGTTTGCCCACAACGCCCTACCAGTATTCCTTAATTTGTTATCATTTTGCAGCTGTATCAGACCTTGGATAACTCAAAATAGGTCCCTCTAACTTTGACACACAGTGTTTGACTGTAGTTGTATGGATGGTAGCACACTATCCATGATTTCCAGAAAAGATATCCAGCAGTATACTAACCATGTTTCATATAAGGATATCTATATTGAGAGTCTGGTAGCATATTTTTGCTATGATTTGCCTAAAATGGCATCCAGACACTTGCCTGTTCGAGAGTACGCTGACCATGCTTTCTAGTAAAGATATCTACATAGTTGTGTGGCCAACAGTATACTATCCCTGAATATGAATTCTAAATAGTTGTATGTACGGCAACATGAACCCACCTTCAGCACATTGAGTCTCTCTCGGTTGTTGGTGGGTGGTTTATCTGCATTAACAAACTCAACCCTGTAATCCTCTCCTGAGTGGCCGTAGATGTCATACTGGAATAGAGAGCCATTATCGGCTGTAATTGACTGACATCTCTCAGTATATTCAAAGAGGCAGTAAAATCACTGCTGCAGCAGTCAAGGATGCTCACAAGGTTGGAGAAGTCACTCTCTCCATTCCAGACTCTATTATCTATATCCAAATATATTTAAAAAACAAAATCTAACCAATCTCCTTTCACTTACTCATTCAGACAAACAAGTATATTTTGTGAAATGACATCCCTTGAATTAAAGCTAAAAATACAGCCTCATAGTAGACCTTTAAGTGATTTACTGACTGACTGAGTTTGGTTTTATGCCACTTTTAGCATGTCATGTTAACGAACGGAAAGCCTGATTACATAAAAATGAAAATATAAAAGAAAAAGGCACGGGCATGTTATGACATGTCACAAATGGAAAAAAAAATCGCTACAGTTTTTGCTTCTTTCGTGGTTTATCTGGACATTATAAATGTAAGCTTGCATTTTCATTAAAAAATAAATTTATTTAAGTTGTAGTTGTATTATTTCAATTTTATTATAAAAATAAACTTCATATTTATCATCATGATATAGGTAATGTCTGTGAATGTCTACATCTCTACAATCCAAGATGGCGGTCAAATGTGAATAATGAACAACGGATATAGTGAACTAAATTTAACCAAACCTGCAGAGGTTTTCAATTCTTTGAAGAGAGTCGTCCTTGGGGTACATATTATGCATTTTCCGGCTGAAAAATGTCCTGTGACAGTTGTATCAATGTTTTTTGAATAAAAAGATTGTACAATAAATAAACTCTTTTATTTATTATACGGACCCTACCTCACGGAGTTACCTCCCTTAGCGCATGCGCACCAACTGGGTAGGCTCCTAGACCCGTATCATCATTCCTTCTGCTGAATTCTTATCAGTGAACAGAATTGCGGGGAGGTGGGAGGCCCTACCCCAAGGACGACTCTCTTCAAAGAATTGAAAACCTCCGCAGGTTTGGTTAATTCTTTTTCAGAGAGATCGTCCTTGGGGTACATATTATGCATAAACACAGACTCCCAAAGACCGGAGGCCAGGGAGGAGGGAATTCTGTCCAAGCACACTCAAAATATAGCGATCGTATCATGGAAAAAATTGAACAGATGCCATAACACTCACCTGTCACTTTCGACCCAGTTTAAGCTTCGCGAGAGGCATTATGGGAGGGAACTGACAGGGAGGATTTGTGCTCAAAGGCGACCTCTAGCATAATGAGACATTGCGTAGTGCGAATATCAACGAAATCCGACCCACTAAGTGGCTTCTTTCATGAGAGCACCGTGAGGAAAACAAAATACCACTCACTAACGATACAGTAACTCCGTAGAGAGAATCGAAAGGGGTACAGGTTCTCTGAGTGAGCTCACATTAGCAGACATGTAAATAATGGAATCTTATTGTACAGTAGCGTCAAAACAAACCAATAAACCAAGACTCACTTTCGGTCAGGGTGGCAGGACACTGTCCACTGGAGAGAACAATACGGCCAAAGTTTGCGCGATTCACGGGAATGCGTGTCGAGCTGATAATGGCGATATAAGCGTGCTTGGCGGCTCCAAATAGCGGCGGAGCAGATCTCTTCAATGGGGAGTGCCGATGCAAAAGCTTTTGATGCGCTACTGCCCTGACCGAGTGAGCCTTCAACCCCTCAGGGGAGGCTTGCCCTTAGCCTGATAAGCGGCACAAATACGATACTAGCCAGCGAGACAAAGTCTGCTTGCTGCGGCTGGCAGACCAGCCTTCCGCCACCGTAACAACAGAACAGCTGGGTACCCGTCACGGATCCCCTGCGTTCGTTTGAGATAGACTTTGGCGTCTTCACGGACATCCAGCGGGTGAGTGCTCGTAGGAGTGGTCCCCGATGTGGAAGGCTGGGTAAGAGTAGGAAGTTCGATAGGAGCTGTCACATGGAAAGCGTGATCGACCTTCGGTCGGTAAGTATCTGGGAGGCGAATACTGACACGATCCGTGTGAAACACAGTCAGCGGGTCGGACGACATAGCATGTAAATCGCCGACCCTTGACCAGATGTTACCGCTACCAGAAAAACAGCTTTCCAGGTCAACAACTGAATGGAAATAGCCGATAGGTGTGAGAAAGTGGGACGCACAGCCAATCGAAAGCACGATCGACAAATCCCAAGGTGGACTGGTTAAGCCTGAGAGCAGGTCGAATCCGTTCAGCGCCAGCGAAAGCGCTATGCGAGAGGGTGCTGCCCCAGAAGAGCACCATCGACAGGGGTGTGAAAAGTGGAAATAGCGGTGGAGTAGCCGCTGAATGGTCGAAGCCGCCAGGCCTTCTTCCAAAGCGAGCTTGCAAAACTCCAATACTCAGACTAAATCCGCCAAAAGGGATCTGCAATCCCCTTATCTGAACACCAGCGCGCATAGCGGGACCACCTATCCTCGTACTGAGCGTTTGCCGAATCCGCCTCGAAGCCAGAATTGTGTCTGCAACTGCTGCAGGAATTCCAGCGTGCCTCGAGGTTAGACCTGACAGAGGCCAAGCCACCCACTGAATCCGTGGATTTGGGTGGGAAGCTCCGTTCTGAGTGAGAATGTCGATTCGCAAAGGTAATAGAACAGGAGGCTGAGCCAGAAACCTGAGAATTACCGGAAACCAGCTCTGTGGCGGCCAAAGCGGTGCCAGTAGCACAAGTAGCCGAGCTGGCTGGGTGGACAGCTGTGAAAGGACACGGGGAATAAGTGGTAATGGCGGAGGCAGCCCAGAGCACTTTGCCCGTCCAATCCAGCAGGAAGGCGTCGGCAGCCAAGCCCTGGGTCGGTATCCGAGAGCAGAACACGGGTGTCTGATCGTCCGTCGGGGCATAAACAGATCCACCTGGAGCGACCCGTACAACTGGGAGATTACTGTGAATATCTGCCTGTCGAGCATCCACTCGTCGCGGGGCCAGGATCCGGCGAGAGGCGCATCTGCTCGCCGTTCTCCAGCCCGGGGAGATAAACAGGGAGTACCTGACAATCGTACTGAGTGGCTCCAGAGGAGAAAGTCCCACGCTTCCGGAGGCGCTGGGGACACCGTGCCTCCCTGCTTCAGGATATGCGACATGGCCGTCTGGTTGTCTAACTGAAGGCGGACTACCTGGCCACGGACATGCTCTCTGAAGCGCTTCGAATACCAACCGCACAGCTCTCAGTTCCAACACGTTGATGTGAAGGTGAGCCCGGCCGGACCAGAGTCGGAAGCCGACAGACTGCCCAAACGCCCCAGCCCGTGAGGGCGCATCTGTCTGAACTGTGAGAGCTGGCGTCCGGGATTTCCAAAGGGAACCCCTGGTGAGATTCCGACATTTGTCCACCACTGAAGGTGAGGTGTCAACCACCGGGGACTGTGAGACTGCGCTCCAGATCCTCCGTGTGAGTCCACAGCCGAGCCAAAGCTTGCTGTATGGGGCGCATCCTCAACAGCGCCCGCCACACTACAGAGATCGTCGCCGCCAATATGGCCCAGTAGAGCGGAGCCAAGTCCGTGCTGGTGCCTGGGGCTGGGAGAGGAATGAAGAGACCATCTCCCGAACTCTGGTGACCGGTCGAGGCGACAAGGAAGCGAGATCCTTGTTCGTTTGGAATCGGCGCTCCAAGAAAAACCAAGTCCTGGGTGGGTACCAGGTCGGATTTCTTGAGGTTGATGATCCACCCCAGTCGAGTTAGAATGTCTATCACTGTGTGAGTAGCATCTTGATTTCGCTGGCTGTGTTAGTGCTCGAGCAACCAGTCGTCTAGGTAAGGGTAACAACGCGCCTTCCTTGCGGCGAGCTAGGGTAGCTGGGACTAACATGAGCTTGGTGAACACCCTTGGGGCAGTCGATATGCCGAAAGGAGCACCCTGAATTGGTAATACATCCCGTCGTAAAGAGGAGCGAAGGTACTGCTTGAGCGAGGGATGTATGGGTATTATCTGAATCGCATCCTTTAGGTCGATTGGCGTGAGCCAATCGCCCGGGCTGAACAGATGAGATCACCGCGCGCAGTGTCTCCATCTTGAAGGATGGTACCGAGCATGCGATTCAACCCCTTGAGGTTGAGAATCGGGCCGGAACCCGCCGTCTTTCTTCCGGGCGAGGAAGTGCGTGGAATAAAATCCCGCCTGTTCCTCTCCCGGTGGAATGCGCTTTCGATTAGCGGACTTGTCCAGCAGAGCCTGAACCGTCGCGCAATATGTCCGCCCTGGCTTGACATGGCGGCACCGAGTGCGGCGTATGCGGTGAAGTCGAGGCGGACCACCGCTTCCACAGTGGGAGATGGCCTATGCTGACCGTGGCCAGCACCCAAAGCGTTGTTGGTAGCCTTCTCCCATTCCGGCAGGAATAGAGAAGGCGGCCTCCCACTGGGATCACGGGGTAGGAAGCTGGCGTGTGTAGACCGAGTAAGCGGAGCTGACTGGGCGTGACACACGCTTGAGCGGCAGCCTGATGGGTCAACGGGAGGTGGGGCAGACCTCCAGCGCCCAGCGAAAAAAAGGCTGGGAGCTAGTCGAGGACTGCTCCTTGCCCCTACCCTTGGCCGGACCTGTTCCTCCGCCTACCCCTACCAAGCGGCCGAAGCCAGCCGGCGAACTTCGGGTGTAGGCTGCACCCGGCGGAGGAAGGTGGCGCGGGGCTGAGGCCCGGAGACACCAGCGGGTGCTCCAACAAGGCCTTAGAGTCCTTGAAGGAGGTAGCTGCAGCGGCAGCCTCCCGTATGACCTGCTGGGCCCCTGGAAAGAGGGTGGCTCCCAGGCGGAAGGGAGGGCCAGCAAGGTCTGCTGTGTTGCTGCCGAGTACCTAGGCGTCGACAGCCACAGCCTGCGCATCCCCATGACTGCGCACATCACCGTCGCGCGCAGCAGACCGCAAAGAGTCGCTGGGCGAGGTGAGCCTGCACTTCCAGCTGGCCGGAGCAGCACGACATGCGGCGACCGTCGCCAGCATGCCCCTCCGCCCAGGGCCGACCTCTGAACCGAGGAGAGGTAGGCCTCATGGACCACCACCGCACCTGCTGCATCGGCGTTCGGTGGACCTCCTCGTAGGTCCGGTACGCGCGCCTGCAGGCGCCCGCGAGGGCAAAGGTGGAGTTGGCGCCTTGCCGAGCAGCGAGCTGCTCGGGAGGAAGCCGAGCCTCCCCAGAGGCGGCGGAAGTGAAAACACATTCGTCAACAATTGGTACAACGAACAGGAATCCTCCCCAAGCTGGTAGCGCCCGCCGCGAGTTCAGGTAAGTCAAACCTTACTTTCGGGCACCAGACAGAGAGGGATCGACCCCGTCCGAGACCAGCGAAGGCAGAATGCGGAGCTGCGTCTGTGAGGGTTGCCTAGGGGCAAGCGCCTGCGCCAGGCAAAGCGGAACTCAGTCGAGTCCACGCAACCAGCAGGCACTGCGGCCTGGGGTAGGCCCTCGGCAATTCTCTGCGGACCTCCCGCAAGGCGAAGCAAAGCGGAAGCCGCCGTCATGCTCCTCGACCTCCCCAAGCTCCATTGCCTCGGCGTCCGAGGCCGAGTCAGAGGCTGGGTCTCCTCGTAAGAGGACCCTAACCCGACCCGGTGGACTGCCTAGCGCTAGGAACCACAGGAAGGGAAGAACAGACAGACTGCTCCCGTCAGCACCAGCGGCGTCGCGTGGACCCGGTCCCGAGGCGGCTGGAGGCAGGCCAGGCAGAACTGGTGCCTCGGCTCTCATGGGGGCGGTGTGCGCCAAGGACCGGAATACCAGGAATACTCAGCGGCCCTCATGCGCGAGCTCGAGAGGGGACTGGGAGCACCTCCCTCTCCCGGAGCAGCCCGGCGTCGGATCGAAGCCAGAGGCAGCGGATCTACAGGCGCCTCAAGGCGAGGGATCGAGCCGAGCCAGCGATCCCACCCGGACTCTCCGCCCCGTCCGGAGTGGGTGAGGAACTCCTGCGGAGACCTCCAACCGACTCCGCGAGCGAAGGACTTCATCGAGTCCATCTGCTGCTGAAACATAGACTCCATCAGTGACATGTCAAAACCACTTTCGAAGTGGCAGGAGAGGGGAAGGGCCACGGGATTTTTTTCCCTTTTTGACACTGCGTTTGGACTTAGGCGGGGAACCTGCGTCAGGTCCCCTCCCCGCCTCCACGCATTTAGCGATAGAACAAGGTGTCGGCAGCCCGCTTCTTCTGGGCCGGGGGAAAAGGCCAGACAAATAGTGCAGGAGTCAGCCTCATGGCCTGTCTTCTCCAGACAGGCCACGCAACTGGAATGACTGTCGGCCCGGGGGATACTCCCCACAGAGCCGAACAGCATGAAAAGGCCTGAAACAAACACGCAAACATGTTAGTTAGCGGCGCCAGCAGCATATAAACACGTAGAAAACATTGAAAAACTACGTGAAGGTTACCCGCGGAAAGTAATAGTTGGTTTTAATCGCCAATATTACGACCACATGGGCAGCTAAACTTCCCGCCATGGCAGAGCAACACGTCGCGTAACCCGCGGGAAAGTTGGCGTATTTTGTATTAATACAAAGTCACAATTATGAAACAACCAACTGTAAAGCTTTACTGTTCCTTGTTTTAGGCAAATAAAGACCATACATACAGGTGGTGTCTCAGACATAGCTTTCTTAGTAGCTTTCAGCGCTGTCCGGCTCATGAAGTGCGTTCTATAAACACGTCTGTTCACGGCAGTGACAGCAGAAGGAATGATGATACGGGTCTAGGAGCCTACCCAGTTGGTGCGCATGCGCTAAGGGAGGTAACTCCGTGAGGTAGGGTCCGTATAATAAATAAAAGAGTTTATTTATTGTACAATCTTTTTATTCAAAAAACATTGATACAACTGTCACAGGACATTTTTCAGCCGGAAAATGCATAATAGTACCCCAAGGACGATCTCTCTGAAAAAGAATTCTTGGTCCCTTGGAGTTCGTTATATCCGTGTTCTACTGTATTCCAGCAACATCACGGCAGGGGACACCAGAAATGGTTTAAGTGATTTAAGATAGTAATGAAGGATATGACTTTATGGATAATATCTCTTGTTTATTGCAAAGAGTGATTTTTCAATGTAGATTCTTACACTGTTATAAGGCTACAAGTGACTTCACGCAAGGGATGAGAGGAATATATGCATAGTATGATGTGACACGCAGTGGATTAACATTATCTACAGGTAATTGATAACTAGCAGGACATGATTTGATGACTGCAATCTGCTATGTAATCCATGAGAGCTGCTGTCAAACTTGCCTACCTTGAACTTGTCTTCGTACTTTTCAAAAGCTTCCATCACCATCAGCGTAGCCTCCATCTCACGCTCCAGGCGGCCGTCATGGCCGTTGAAGCGGTACATGCTCCCCGACACATCTACCACCAGGCGGAGCCGCTTTGGTTTCTCTTGCGGTGTTCCCATCTAAAACAACAGTGATGGAGTAAATGAGTCGGTGAAAAACTAAATACTGATGAACAGAGGGTAATCATCACCTCAACACAATCTGTTCTACATTGTCATCGGTCATCAACGTTGTCATCGGTCATCAACGTTGTCATCGGTCATCAACGTTGTCATCGGTCATCAATGTTGTCCTCATCCTGTAAGGTTCCTAATTCAATGTAACCTTTGAGGAGATGGTTTCTATAACTGATGACATTTGGAAGGGCTGTGGGGTAGCCTAGTGGTTTAAGCATTCGCTCGTCATGCCAAAGACCCAGATTTGATTCACCACATGGGTTCAATGTGTGAAGCCAATTTCTGATGTCCCTTGTTGTGACATTGCTGGAATATTCCTAGGAGTGTTGTAAAACTAAATTCATCCACTCAGCCACCCATTCACCTACTGACTCACTCACAAATACCATTGAGTTACAGTTACAGAGGACCTGTAGCATTCATTTGTCAGCATCTGGTTCAGTTCAGGGTTCAGCTTTTAACTACGAGACATCGTTATCAAAACATTCTGAAGCCAGCATATATGAGAAAATATCATCCCAAATATAACATGTTACAGTGGGAGTGAAGCTGCCATAAATTGCTGCGTGAGTGAGTGAGTTGAGTTTTATGCCGCCATCAGCAATATTCCAGCTATATGGCCGGCGGTCTGTAAATAATCAAGCCTGGACCAGACAATCCAGTGATCAACAGCATGAGCATCGATCTGCGCACTTGGGAACCGATGACATGTGTCAACCAAGTCAGCGAGCCTGACCACCCGATCCCGTTAGTCGCCTCTTACGACAAGCATGGGTTACTAAAGATCAATATTCTAACCTGGACCTTCACGGATAAATTACTGAGTGCCACAATAGGATTTGAATCAAAGACCTTCTGATACAATGTCAGATGCCTTGGTCACATGACCATAGCAGTTAGCCATGGATGCTTGGATGTCATCTGTTTGAAACTCATTGCCCAGTTGAAACAGTAATTACCACAGAATGTTTCTTTACTCTTGTTGCATTAGAGACATTTAGTACAGAATACTTCCTCTGTATTTGATGTAGAACTGTTCTATTGTCTTACCTCTGGCTCCTTCTCACCCCTCCTCCTGTAAATGGACTTCTCCCCTGTCAACCCCTCTATCAACTTGGAATCATCCAGATCTCCGTAACTCTGGTTCTTCAGCCACTGTCGTTCCTTACCCTTGGCCTGGCAACAAACAAACACAGCCATGATGTACACTATATAGTGACCAAACTATGGGTCATTCTAACATGTACAGTCAGAGAATGAGGGAGTAGTACAGAGGAATGTAGAGAATGAGAGAGTAGTACAGAGGAATGTATCTAGTTGCAATAGAAACACTAATCTTGTTAACAACATCTCATCCCCATGCTCTGGGATGTGTCATTTTAAAAGATTTCTAAGGGACCGTTCGAATGGCCCCCCTAAAATTTATGTACAAATTAAGTGACCCCCCCCTTCCCCTGCAGGCCATGTACAAAATCAATGACCCCCCCATCCCTTCCCATAATTTTAAGCCTAATTCATTTTAATATTTTATGTACAAAATTACTGACACAAAATTGATGACCCCCTACCTCTCCAGAACAAAATGGGTCCCCCTAAAATCATCATCCTCATCATCCCCCAAAAAAAAATAAAAAAAAAAAATAAAATAAAATGAAATGAAATGAAATGAAATAAAAAAAAATAAAATAAAATAAAATAAAATAAAATAAAATAAAACAAAATAAAAATAATAGAAAAAAGCGCCAAAAATTATGAATGGTCCCTAAACACTGTCAACTCAAATTTCGCTTGCTGCTACAGATTCCCACATTTTAAACTAGCCATGACAGTCATAGTTTTAGTGTATTTGGCTTGCAGGGGAACCTGTGGTCAAAATGGCCTTACGAGGCCTTCTCTTTAAACTTCAAGTCACATGAAAACATTATAAAGTGAAAAGTAGGATCCAGACCGCTGACCATAGATTTCTGTGGCCTGAGGAACTCAAGTCTGAAGGGTGAATTATGACATACAGCTGGAATCTTGCTGGATTACTGCAGTACTGCAGCACCAACCAAACAACCACTCATCAACCCAACCCAACAAAAAAACAAAACAACACAACCAACAACCCACCCTCCAACCAGCAACCCAACCCACTAACCAACCAGCCTTACGAAGCAGCAAACCAACCCAACACAACAACCAACCCAAACAACACAACCAACAACCCACCCTCCAACCAGCAACCCAACCCACTAACCAACCAGCCTTAACAGCCACGAAGCAGCAAACCAACCCAACACAACAACCAACCCAAACAACACAACCAACAACCCACCCTCCAACCAGCAACCCAACCAACTAACCAACCAGCCTTACGAAGCAGCAAACCAACCCAACACAACAACCAACCCAAACAACACAACCCACCCTCCAACCAGCAACCCAACCCACTAACCAACCAGCCTTATGAAGCAGCAAACCAACCCAACACAACCAACCCAAACAACACAACCAACCATCCAAGCCTCAGCTAACCAATGTGTACTGACCTGTAAACTCTCCAGGATGACGCGGAGAGACTGCACTTGTCGTTTCACACTGTTGGAGAACTTGTCATACGTTTCCCCATCATATTCACTCATCTGAATCTCTCGTAACCTTGCAACAGAAATGGAAGTTAGACTTATAAATTTAACTTTGTCAAGTGCAGTATGATTATGTTATCTAACACTACTCCCACAAGGTGAAAATCTCTGTTGGAATCAAACAACATATACTACATCAATAATAACTTTGGATTTATATAGAGCTAGTATCCAGCGATCACTGCTCAAAAGAACTTCCAGGAGTTCTACATTGACTGGAGTCTATTCAAACACATCTTTTGTGAACATATGTCTTCATCAATATCTGAGAATTCCTACCTTTCTTTAAATGCTTTCTCTTTCATCTGTCTGGCAGCTTCTCTTACCTAAAATGGAATGGCATGAAACATTATATAAAGTCTCGTCATAATGTTTCAGCATAATGAACCTGACCACTGAATGCACAGAGTCAGCTGGTATGACAAGCACCTGTAGCTTTACCTATCCTACCTCGGAACCCCATTATTGTCTATTATCTCCCTGCAAACCTCGCATCAATTTCCCAGAGAAGAAGAATCATGTTTGATGCAGATAATGCCTTAGATTGGCAAGGAAAAATATCTAAGGGGCAACATTCCATATAATAAACCCCTTATGTCTGTGTTGAAGTAATTTGCAATAGCAATTTCAACAAAATGTTAATATCAATATGATTCAAATCCTCTGTCTACTGCCCTCCAAAATTGTGGTCAATCTGTTACCCCATCTACCACATGTCCCATCTTGTCCCCAATAAAGGACAGGTAAAATGAATACACACCTATTGCAATATTTTTAATGTTGTTTTCCAAGGATAAATATAATAATAAGGGCATTTGAAATGCGCTGAATTCTGCACCACGGAGGGGCATGCTCAAAGCGCTACAATCTGATTATTATTACCCCGGATAACCCAAGCTACCTGGGGCTAGAAGGTTAATAGTCAGATGACTTGTCCCACCGGGTACCCATTTTCTGCTCGGCGAACAGAGGCAAGTTTGAACAAACTCACTTGCCTAAGGTGAGACCACATGTATCACATGTGCTTCATTGTGGGGCAGGACTGAAGTCCTTGAAACTCCCAGAAGTCAAGCTGACAAACAGTGACCCATCCAAGGACTCTCCGCGCCCAACGTTGCTTAACTTCAAATGATTTGTGACCCAAGTCATGTTTTTCCTTGTATTCCCTCAACCATCCCATCCCTGCCCTATATCTGACACATGCTTCATAAAACAGATTTATCCTCATCTCATGAGTGCTGCAACGGGAGAGATACACTCACAGACTCAGGAACAGCATCCTTCTCCCACTGTGGCACCTGCTGAACATCGTGTCCTGCGTCTAGGCGGTATGGACCACCAAAACCACCAAGACCCGCTGTGCCACTACCACCTGCAAAGTTTGTGTATGTAAATTTTGTTTTTATCAACTGTAGACCTTCTGCATATATAGAAACCGACACCTTTTCTCAAAATCACACATGCATGACCATCCTCTATGATGTAGGGTATTATATCTGCATTCCATAATGATAAATACCCTCTGCCCATTCATAATTGAAGCTTCATTATTGAAGTGATATCACCATCTTCATCACTCCTATCTCAGAAGTCTTGCTAATCACTGTTATCATCACTCCAATCACAGCCTTTACACAGAATTCCTCTCACCCATAACCGATATTTCAATGGAGTTATTCTTAAGATCTTCCAATAAGAACTGGCCGAGGAAAGCTTGAATTCCCCTCAAGGGTACAATGTGTGAAGCTAATTTCTGTCCCAACATTGAAATTGCTGGAATATTGCCTAAAGCAGAGTAAAACTTAACTCACTCACTCATAATGAAGGCTATTCTTGACAATGGGAGTCTGACTGACTGACTGAGTTTGGTTTTACGCCACTTTTAGCAATATTCCAGCAACATCACGACAGGGGACACCAGAAATGGGCTTCACACATTGTGCCCATGTGGGGATTCGAACCCAAGGTCTTCGGCATGACGAGCCAACGCTTTAACCATTAGGCTACCCCACCGCCTCACAATGGGAGTCTACGTAACCATACCGTTGTGAGCTTATAACAAACTTCTCCATTGATTGTACATCTTCCTGTACATTTTAACCTGAGCACGACTCTACTAGCTAAAGTCAGCTGAGGACGCATGTACTGACCCACTCCACCTGCCCATGTGTTGCCGCCGACATGGGGACTATTGTCTGGGTCAACCTTGCCATGCTTGGGGTCAATGTCCCCATGATCATCACGCCCACTCTCCTTCTCTACTGTCAACTGCAATACAAGAAACAATAAGAGAATGGAGAACCTGCCTCCTTCGAGACATTCATTTGTGACAAACTCTAGACATTCCTCAGTGAACTGACTTGTAACAAAGCACATGATTTACACATAAAATCGTATGCTTCTTTATCTACTCACACTCTTTTTGAATGCCGACCAAAAAATTCGAACTGACTGGTGTACAGGGACTATTATTTATTGACGCTAATTGACCTGTTGTACTGTGTTATTACTGTAAGCCATATCCTGGGTGGTGGCAATTTGTTAGTTGTTGATTGATTTCTGGTGGATATTTTCTGAATTCATAATCTATTTCTGTACATATGTCTTTCTGGGTTAAACTGTGCTTTTCAACATTGGAAACACCTCGTTACATGATATATACAATATAATTGATATATAATATAGCTCTGAATCTATGGAACATACTTGGAGTGGTTTGTCTTCCTGATAGCCAATCATGTTCCTCCATTCTTGCAAAGATCGCTCCAGGTGAACGAGAGTTGTCTCCCATGTCCGAACACACCCACCCATATCTACCGTCACCAGACTATCATTACTCAGTGGGGCCATGAACACGTTCACGTCAGCTGCGTTGAACAGCCACGATGCGTAGGGCGAAACTCTTGTAGCTCTGGAAGCATGACAGAGGACCGTATGGATGATGAGGTTTAATGATAGGGCACGGCACACTTGTTGACTTCCATGACTTTACGCCTAATACTTTTTGCAATGTCACATTTTCATGACCCCATCCACCATCCCATAAAAATCTAACCAGCAGTCCTTCCCATATGCTTGTCATAACAGGCAAAGGGATCGGTGGTCCAGACTTGGTTATCACCAGGGGCATAGATACCATTATTAAAAAAAAAGCCTGGTCTTACACATGATTTTTGCTAAAGATCACAATGAAAGTTGGGCAAGTCCTCAATACTATCTAAATATAAAGCTTTGGAACCTATCGGGCTTACACGAAAAACATTTGCCTGCTACGCGCCTGATCACATGTCATTGTATCAGCAATATTCCAGCTATATGTCGGCTGTCTGTAAATAATCAAGTCTGGACCAGGCAATCCAGTGATCAACAGCATGGGCATCGATCTACGCAATTGGGATATGATGACATGTGCCAACCAAGTCAGTGAGCCTGACCACCCGATCCCGTTAGTCGCCTCTTACAACAAGCATAGGCTGCTGCTGGTCAATTCTAACCCGAACCTTCATGGGTTTGTATGTTAAGAGCAAGACAGTTGCAAGAGGTGGAATAATCTATTATTACCCAGGAACTGGAATGTATCGGAGCTTGTGATTTGCTATATCTGCAACTTCAAGGTAGCCACTCAGGTCTTTCACAGAACTGTCTGTAAACAAGCAAAACATCAAAGATAAATGGTAGTTCAGGAACTAGGTTAATAATCATGCATTCCTCAAACAGAATTTTAAGTTTGTCTCTGACACCAGATCAGGTCTTAATGAAGGTTTTGAACGTATAGGAATTATATGAGTCACCAAGCTGTTTGATTGGCATTTTAGAAGTTGAAGAATAATAAGAAGAGAGTGAGTGAATGAGTGAGTGAGTGAGTTTTACGACGCACTCAGCAATATTCCAGCTATATTGTGGCAGACTGTAAATAATCGAGTCTAGACCAGAGAAGCCAGTAATCAACAGCATGAGTATCAATCTACACAATTTGGATACGATGACATGTCTCAACCCAGTCAGCGAGCCTGACCACCTGATCCCGTTAGTCACCTCTTACAGCAAACATGGGTTACTGAAAACCAATTCTAACCCGGATCTTCATGGGTAGAATTAACAGAAACATATGATACTTTATGGATGATAACTTATTTACCATATTATGAAGCAACATGTCGGTATAGGTTCTGCTCTTGCTTGACAAACGTAGCAGCATAATATAATAAAGAAGTTGTCATCCATAGAAAATGATAATAACTTTTGACTTTGTCTAAACATGGATCAAGAAAAGCAACACCTGCTAAATTCATCTCTGACAAGATTTCACTTTTTTAAATGTACTTGATCTTGACTAAATTCCATGCTAATTCTTCAGAAACAATCTCTCTTCCCAAGCATGTTTAAACAGTCACCTCAAAACCTAGGATAGGTGCATTCATATCTACTGACCTTTAGGGAGGATATCTTTCCCGACCTTCCATGTGGGGAGGGCTCTGATGATCTGTCCGGATTCCGGCAGGAAGACGTTTGTGGAGGCTGGGTTAGGGGCAGTGGGTTTGGACATCAGACTCAGGAAGGGGTCAGACTTGGACTCGGAGCTGGACGTCGGAAGAGGCTCTCGTGTGATGCCGTAAACTTCTGCTGTTTCCTAGTATGGACATTTCATTAGTAAAATATACCACAGGTTTATATCAATAGGTAAAAAACCAGATGATTCCTTGAAATAGACAAGAAACTACCTTTTAAGTTAATCTTGAATCAACCTATGCTGTTAGGTTCTATTTTGCCTCATTAATATTATGGCAGATGATATGCTAAAAGAAAAAGAAGAAAATCAGCAAAATAAATAAAAACAGCTAACATTTCATTATCAAACATTCTGGTTATCCAGTGGATGATATAATAATAATAATAATAATGCTAATTTTTGAGCCTAGAATCCAACATGATGCTGTTCTCTGGCGTTACATTATTACCCTGATGGAATTGTACTGTCAAAGCCGCTACCAAGAGCTTCGTGCGACCGTATAGGTCCGTACATCCGCTTCCCAGGTACCCATTTAGAACTGCTGGGTGGACTGAGTACAATGTGGATGAAGTGCCTTGCCCAGGGACATAACACAGTATGAAACCCAGGTCACAAATTTCGGTGTCTCCACCGGGATTCAAACCCGGGCCTTTGGCGTGAGAGGCCAGTATGCTAACCACTAACCAATACACCACTGTATCTCCACTCTGTTATAAGACTGTCTCTATGCAGCAATTTCATCCTACTTCACCCCTCCCAATCTCAACCCTCCACCCACACCAGTCTCACCAGGTCAGGGAACCCCAGCAATATGGAGGCGTAAGTTCCGGGAGTGACAGCCACCCTGTTGGGACTGGATATCTTCTGCTCGAGGGCCTTGCTCAGCACGCTGTCACTGAGAGGGGTGGTGCTGGTCAGTAGCAACTTCTGGTCAAGATCTGACAAGGACAGAGTGAGTTAGTGAGTGAGTGAATCTGGTTTAGTGCTGGTTTGAACAGTACAGGTTTGCTTGCTTAGTATTGCAGGGAAGCCCAAAGACATGCACATCTTCTAGAAACTTAATCAAGGTGAACCTGGTATTTACACCCATGATCACAGGTTTCTGGCAGGCCTGGGGGAAGTAACTCTGACAGGCAGAGGAAGACTTCTTGCCCCATTTCTCACTTTTCACCTCTCAGTCTTTCACACTCAAGAATATTTAACTATATAATGACATCCTGTAAAATCAAGTCTGGAACTGACAATCAAGCGATCATAATTGGAAGAGGTCATCTGGAGACAAACACAGAATCATCTTAGTCATTTAGCCTGATCTGTCATGTTGCCACATCAGGTGCTGGAAATCTATTTAAACATGGAATACTGCCTCCAGAGAGAGGTACCATATTAAGCAAATTATCTTAATTGAATAAGATTACCATACAGAAAGGTATTCATGAATTAAATGTGATGGCCTGTTGCCTCAGTACCGGTACCCTTTCTCCTTAGCACATCCCTGGTGCCACTAACCCCCAGCACATCCCTGGTGCCACTAAGCCCCAGCACATCCCTGGTGCCTCTAACCCCCAGCACATCCTTGGTGCCTCTAACCCCCAGCACATCCCTGGTGCCTCTAACCCCCAGCACATCCTTGGTGCCACTAACCCCCAGCACATCCCTGATACCACTAACCCCCATCACATCCTTGGTGCCTCTAACCCCCTACACATCCCTGGTGCCACTAACACCCAGCACATCCCTGGTGCCTCTAACCCCCAGCACATCCCTGGTGCCACTAACCCCCAGCACATCCCTGGTGCCTCTAACCCCCAGCACATCCCTGGTGCCCCAACACCCAGCACATCCTTGGTGCCACTAACCCCCAGCACATCCCTGGTGCCACTAACCCCCAGCACATCTCTGGTGCCCCAACACCCAGCACATCCTTGGTGCCTCTAACCCCCAGCACATCCCTGGTGCCTCTAACCCCCAGCACATCCCTGGTGCCACTAACACCCAGCACATCCCTGGTGCCACTAACCCCCAGCACATCCCTGATACCACTAACCCCCATCACATCCTTGGTGCCTCTAACCCCCTACACATCCCTGGTGCCACTAACACCCAGCACATCCCTGGTGCCACTAACCCCCAGCACATCCCTGGTGCCACTAACACCCAGCACATCCCTGGTGCCTCTAACCCCCAGCACATCCTTGGTGCCACTAACCCCCAGCACATCCCTGATACCACTAACCCCCATCACATCCTTGGTGCCTCTAACCCCCAGCACATCCCTGGTGCCACTAACACCCAGCACATCCCTGGTGCTCCAACCCCCAGCACATCCCTGGTGCCGCTAACCCCGAGTAGATCCCTGGTGCCACTAACCCCCTGCACATCCCTGGGGCCACTAACCCCCAGCACATCCCTGGTGCCCCAACCCCCAGCACATCCCTGGTGCCGCTAACCCCCAGCACATCCTTGGTGCCTCTAACCCCCACCATATCCCTGGTGCCACTAACCCCCATCACATCCCTGGTGCCTCTAACCCCCAGCACATCCTTGGTGCCTCTAACCCCCAGCACATCCCTGGTGCCCCAACTCCCAGCACATCCTTGGTGCCTCTAACCCCCAGCACATCCCTGGTGCCTCTAACCCCCAGCACATCCTTGGTGCCACTAACCCCCAGCACATCCCTGGTGCCACTAACCCCCAGCACATCCCTGGTGCCCCAACACCCAGCACATCCTTGGTGCCACTAACCCCCAGCACATCCCTGGTGCCACTAACCCCAGCACATCTCTGGTGCCCCTCACCCCAGCACATCCTTGGTGCCTCTAACCCCAGCACATCCCTGGTGCCTCTAACCCCCAGCACATCCCTGGTGCCACTAACCCCCAGCACATCTCTGGTGCCTCTAACCCCCAGCACATCCTTGGTGCCTCTAACCCCCAGCACATCCTTGGTGCCTCTAACCCCAGCACATACCTGGTGCCGCTAACCCCCAGCACATCCCTGGTGCCACTAACCCCCAGCACATCCCTGGTGCCACTAACACCCAGCACATCCCTGGTGCCACTAACCCCCAGCACATACCTGGTGCCGCTAACCCCCAGCACATCCCTGGTGCCGCTAACCCCGAGTAGATCTGTGTCTCACCTCCGTGTTCTTTCACTGGCTGCAGCAGGAACTCAGCTGGGGCTGTCCTCTCCATCACATACTTGCTGCAAGCAGAGGCAGTGCAATCATGGTAGCTGTTAGTCAGCAATATGACTTTTACATTACAACACTTCAATGTACTATCAGATTTTAAAAAGAATATTTACATTCAAATTATTTGCCTTGCTTCTGAAATACCGGTAGTAGTTCTGGAGTACACAAATATCCAATCCCTGATCTAAGTATGAGCCATCTGTAATACCAGTGAGTGAGTGAGTTACGATTTTAAGTCACATGTTTCAGCCATATTGTGACTAAAACAAGTTATACTTTCATAATACATAAGTTAAATTATAAAGAACGAAGGACAGTATCCATCTGCTATACCTGCCCATATACACTGGACTCTGTGACCAGCCATCTGCTATGCCTGCCCGTATACACTGGACTCTGTGACCAGCCATCTGCTATACCTGCCCATATACACTGGACTCTGTGACCAGCCATCTGTTATACCTACCCATATACACTGGACTCTGTGACCAGCCATCTGCTATACCTACCCATATACACTAGACTCTGTGACCAGCCATCTGCTATACCTACCCATATACACTGGACTCTGTGACCAGCCATCTGCTATACCTACCCGTATACACTGGACTCTTTGACCAGCCATCTGTTATACCTGCCCGTATACACTGGACTCAGTGACCAGCCATCTGCTATACCTGCCCGTATACACTGGACTCAGTGACCAGCCATCTGCTATACCTGCCCGTATACACTGGACTCTGTGACCAGCCATCTGCTATACCTATCCGTATACACTAGACTCTGTGACCAGCCATCTGCTATACCTACCCGTATACACTGGACTCTGTGACCAGCCATCTGCTATACCTATACGCATACACTAGACTCTGTGACCAGCCATCTGCTATACCTACCCATATACACTGGACTCTGTGACCAGCCATCTGCTATACCTACCCGTATACACTGGACTCTTTGACCAGCCATCTGTTCTACCTGCCCGTATACACTGGACTCTAAGACCAGCCATCTGCTATACCTGCCCGTATACACTGGACTCTAAGACCAGCCATCTGCTATACCTGCCCGTATACACTAGACTCTGTGACCAGCCATCTGCTATACCTACCCATATACACTGGACTCTGTGACAAACCATCTGCTATACCTACCCATATACACTAGACTGTGACCAGCCACCTGCTATACCTACCCGTATACCGTATACACTGGACTGTGACCAGCCATCTGCTATACCTACCCATATACACTAGACTCTGTGACCAGCCATCTGCTATACCTACCCATATACAATAGACTCTGTGACCAGCCATCTGCTATACCTACCCGTATACACTGGACTCAGTGACCAGCCATCTGCTATACCTGCCCATATACACTGGACTCTGTGACCAGCCATCTGCTATACCTACCCGTATACACTGGACTCTGTGACCAGCCATCTGCTATACCTACCCGTATACACTGGACTCAGTGACCAGCCATCTGCTATACCTGCCCATATACAATAGACTCTGTGACCAGCCATCTGCTATACCTACCCGTATACACTGGACTCTGTGACCAGCCATCTGCTATACCTACCCATATACACTGGACTCTGTGACCAGCCATCTGCTATACCTGCCCGTATACACTGGACTCTGTGACCAGCCATCTGCTATACCTATACGTATACACTAGACTCTGTGACCAGCCATCTGCTATACCTACCCATATACACTGGACTCTGTGACAAACCATCTGCTATACCTACCCGTATACACTAGACTCTGTGACCAGCCATCTGCTATACCTACCCATATACACTGGACTCTGTGACAAACCATCTGCTATACCTACCCATATACACTGGACTCTGTGACCAGCCATCTGCTATACCTACCCGTATACACTGGACTCTGTGACCAGCCATCTGCTATACCTACCCATATACACTGGACTCTGTGACCAGCCATCTGCTATACCTGCCCGTATACACTGGACTCTGTGACCAGCCATCTGCTATACCTATACGTATACACTAGACTCTGTGACCAGCCATCTGCTATACCTACCCATATACACTGGACTCTGTGACCAACCATCTGCTATACCTGCCCGTATACACTAGACTCTGTGACCAGCCATCTGCTATACCTACCCATATACACTGGACTCTGTGACCAGCCATCTGTTTGAGTCTATCTGGTGTATGGAGTGGATGTTGACAGGAAGTGACACTGAGTGAGATATCCCTTCCAAAGCACTTAGAAAGTTCACAATGCCACTGAAATGTAAGATATTCCATCAATATGCATGAATGTTGGTAAACACAAATCAAGACATCCATGTTAATGTAATAAAAAATTACTGTGTTTAATTATTTTTTTCAACCATAATAGATTTATCAAACTTATAATTTTAACAAGTCTTGCCTTAAATACGTAAAATACTGACACCATTTAAACACTGACATGAAAAACAAATAAACAATAAGCGAATTTGGGTCAGTTTGTCAGTTGTTAGCAAATATCTACACTGACTCAACCCTTGATGAACCTTTCATTAGGCTGTTATACGTAAATAATTACATCATCCCCAATTCCTCCCTGAAAGAACATAAGTATGCATCAATCTTTTCAAAACTGAAAAGGCAAGCAGTACATTTTAGAGTGACTGCTGGCCATCATCATGAACATATATTACATCTTGTTCTATCCCATTTCCACAAGTCCTGGAGGACACTGAGGAGTTTCTGAGACATTATCAGTCCTTCAAAGCGTGTACACTTCAAAACTTTTATCAGAGATTCAAACATTTTATCAGGGAATTGAACCCATGAAGGCGCTTTAACTTCTTCGAGGTGTCCACACAGTATGTTAATCACTGATGTGGACCATCGCTTTGTGTTGAGAGACAGGCAAGTGAACACAGAGAGTCTTACCCATTCTGTTTGTAGAACACAACGGTGTTGTAGCCGTCAGGGGCAAATGAAGGACACAGGCGAAACGGATTCTGGTGGAAAGAGTTAGTAAGTGAAAAGTTTTATTAAATCAGATTTAATAAAGTGAGTGAGTGAGTTTAGCTTCACGCTGCTTTTAGCAATATTCCAGCAATATCACAGCAGGGGACATGAAAATACACATGAGGGACACATGAAAGTATAAGCTTTCCTTTATTTCCAGAATTTCACCCACAGAGCAATACATACCTTGTGAAGAAACCTGGGAAAGAATAAAGGAACACCTGTACTTTCAAGTGTTCCCTTATTTGTTTCCATGAGTATATGTTCTAATGAATGTTCTAGTGTCTGTCATGATATCTATTCAAGATCTGTCTGTCTCTAGACAATGCATGCTTTGCATTTAAACACATTAGACAAATGCATTATGTTCACCAACAATTTTAACCTAACTTTTAAATAAGCCAATAAAAGAAAAATGCTATAATTTCTATTCTAATAAATTCTTTTATAAAATATACCATGAAATAATACCGATAACTAACATATGTTATATTTAGGTTTACACTTTCTCATTAAAGTTGAGATTCTAGTAGTTTTGTCCCAGGATTCAAGCCGAACACTCTTCAGTGTCAGGTACCCACAAGCACACAAAGACCGCATCCGTGGTGTAGTGGTTGGAGCATCCGCCCGGAGAGCGGAAGGTCGCAGGTTCAATCCCACAACCGCGGCATACCAAAAGACGCTAAAATATTGTACTTGTTGGTCCCTACCTGGCGCTCGGCATTAATGGGTACAACAAGGACTGGTCGGCTCAGAGTCAGTATAATGTGTCTGAGTGGGGTATTCATGCTTCACTGCGGTATGGTATCTCAGTGGGCTAGCACTATAAAACCAGCTTAAGTCTGGGCTAGTACAAACAGCCGCACATACACATACACACGCATGCATGTCGTCATATGAGCGAAATATTCTCAAGCACGACGTAAAACCCAATTTCACCTCACCTCACCAGCACACAAAGTCAGCGATCTAACCCACTCAGCCTAAAACTTCTGCATTTTAGATGTAAAGAGAAAGTCTGTAACCAAGGATCAGAGTAAAAGAAGCTCACATTTGGTCACTATATTGTATAACTTCATGCTTAATACATACCACAACTTTTGGAGATGATGTTGGGAAGCGTCTTTTCTCTGGAGGTGTTTCAGGAAGAGCGTCACTCATCAACCTGGTCACCTGGCCATTCTCGATATTCACCGACAGAACTACATTAGTCTGAAACACAAACATCAGCAATTTACATCAGAGAAATGAGTTCCATAAACGATACACCTATGTGGAGAATCAAACATGAATTAGCATGATGAACAAGTGCTTGTACCACTAGGCTACCCATTGCCATTAAACTGGTGATGTTTTATTACCTTGCAGAAAAACTGTCTGGAGGTATGCTGTAACTGAAACTAGACTGGAATGGGTTAAAAATGTGTCTTCAGTTGTTTTTTATTTTATTTTTATTGTTTTACATTGCTGTCAGCAATATTCAACCATACATACATACTAATCTTTGTACTTCGCCAATATCCAGCTCAGCAATATTCAACCATACATACATACTAATCCTTGTACTGTGCCAATATCCAGCTCAGCAATATTCAACCATACATACATACTAATCCTTGTACTGTGCCAATATCCAGCTCAGCAATATTCAACCATACATACATACTAATCCTTGTACGGCGCCAATATCCACCTCAGCAATATTCAACCATACACACATACTAATCTTTGTACTGCGCCAATATCCACCTCAGCAATATTCAACCATACATACACACTAATCCTTGTACTGCGCCAATATCCACCTCAGCAATATTCAACCATACATACACACTAATCCTTGTACTGCGCCAATATCCACCTCAGCAATATTCAACCATACATACATACTAATCCTTGTACTGCGCCAATATCCACCTCAGCAATATTCAACCATACATACATACTAATCTTTGTACTGCGCCAATATCCAGCTCAGCAATATTCAACCATACATACATACTAATCTTTGTACTGCGCCAATATCCACCTCAGCAATATTCAACCATACATACATACTAATCTTTGTACTGCGCCAATATCCAGCTCAGCAATATTCAACCATACATACATACTAATCCTTGTACTGCACCAATATCCACCTCAGCAATATTCAACCATACATACATACTAATCCTTGTACTGCGCCAATATCCACCTCAGCAATATTCAACCATACATACATACTAATCTTTGTACTGCGCCAATATCCAGCTCAGCAATATTCAACCATACATACATACTAATCCTTGTACTGCGCCAATATCCAGCTCAGCAATATTCAACCATACATACATACTAATCCTTGTACTGTGCCAATATCCAGCTCAGCAATATTCAACCATACATACATACTAATCCTTGTACATACATACTAATCCTTGTACTGCGCCAATATCCAGCTCAGCAATATTCAACCATACATACATACTAATCTTTGTACTGCGCCAATATCTAGCTCAGCAATATTCAACCATACATACATACTAATCCTTGTACTGCGCCAATATCCAGCTCAGCAATATTCAACCATACATACATACTAATCCTTGTACTGTGCCAATATCCAGCTCAGCAATATTCAACCATACATACATACTAATCCTTGTACTGTGCCAATATCCAGCTCAGCAATATTCAACCATACATACATACTAATCCTTGTACTGCGCCAATATCCAGCTCAGTTGCTCAAAGGCGCTTTGTGTTTCCCTCGATCACTGGATGTCAATCTCAACAGCACATCATATTTTCAATCTCAACTCCCTTGGGAGCATACAACTCTTGCAGCCATTAGGAGCACCAAGTTAATGTGGTCATCGGGGTATGATGACGCCGTATCAACCAACAAAGTCATCCACATTAATCACATGATCCATTTAGTCATCTATTATGACCAGCACAGACTGCTGGCCACAATTTCGAAACTAAGAACCAATACAGGTTTTTCGGGCATTACATCACATTTTTAGTTGTGAATATCAAACACCCACCACTTCTTCATGCAGGATGACAGAGTCGTCTAGGGGAGCTGAGAGTGCCTGTATCTTCACTCTGGGCTTGTAGGAGCCGGAGGTAGAGGGGAAGACGTCGTACAGATCAACAAAGTTGCAGGTCTTTGTCTTCGTGTCCATGGCGTACAGACCGATAGGGTTAGCTGTGGCTACGTAGATCATGTCGGTTTTGTTCTGGCCTGGACTCCGGTGGGAAGCTGGGAAAAAATTAAAAGGATTTGATCATTGATGAAAGAGTGTGTGAGTGAGTGAATTGGGTTTTACACCACTTCTAGCAATATTCTAGCAATATCACAGCATATGACTCCAGAAATGGGTTTCACAAATTGTACCCATGTGGGGATTCAACCCCAGGCCTTTGGCTTTAACCACAAGGCTACCCACCCCTCCCTCCACATCGATGAAAGAAAACAAAAATGAAAACAATAACATACAACTTAACACATAAGGGAGATTCTGAGTGTGCACGTGGAACCTGAATATGTGTGACTTGTTGCAGGGAGAATGTGTCATGGAAATAGCATTCCATATTTCCAAAAAGCATGTTCAATACCGGTACACAAGTACATCCATTACTTTTATGTGCCAACATTAAATAGCGATGTATCTCTCTGAAACATTGAGTACTATATAAGTGACAAAGTCTGGTTTCACTTTGAACTGAATTTCAGTTACATCAAGGCATGTCAGCTTAGGCTGTCCCTATTGTTTTCGTATCAAGTACCTTTGCTGACGGCAACATCACAGATAATGTTCATCTCCTCTATGGGCAGCTGCCAGTATGCCTCCTGTTCTGTGAACACGGCTGATCGGGCTTCCGTTCTGTCGAGAGGCTTGGTCTCCAAATACATAGCAACTGGACCCTGAACAACAAACATAGGTTCTGAGAGAGGTTGATCCTCTGGGTCCATGACAAACATAGGTTCTGAGATAAGTTGATTCTCTAGGGTACATGATAAATAAACATGAATTGATTCTAAAAGAAGTTGATCCCTCAGTACATGACAAACATAGGTCTCACAGACATTGATCATGTATAGGTACATGTCAAACAAACAAACAAACATAGGTTCTCAGAGAGGATGATTGTCTAAGGTACATGATAAATATACACGAACTGATTCTAACAGAAGTTGAACACCTCGGTACATGACAAACATAGGTCTCACAGAAATTGATCATGTATAGGTACATGTCAAACAAGCAAACAAACATAGTGAGTGAGTGAGTGAGTTTAGTTTTATGCCGCACTCAGCAATATTCCAGCTATATGGCGGCGGTCTGTAAATAATTGAGTCTGGACCAGACAATCCAGTGATCAACAGCATGACATCGATCTGCGTAATTAGGAACCGATGACATGTGTCAACAAAGTCAGCGAGCCTGACCACCCGATCCCGTTAGTCGCCTCTTACGACAAGCATAGTCACTTTTTGTGGCAAGCATGGGTTGCTGAAGACCTATTCTAACCCGGATCTTCATGGGTCACAAAGAAACATAGGTTCCCAGAGAGGCTGATATGAAGAAAATTGGAAATTTTGACTTTAAATTGTATATTTATATACTTATCCTATCTCACGATTTGCACTTCTCTCCCTTGCTTCGACGCTGAGTGGAACGAATGAGAACTTTGCCTGTAGGCCTCTCTTGTCCATACGCCCGTGTTCCCCAGGCTGCTCTCCTTATAGGACAGGTCCCTAGTCCCCGGCTAAGCGTGCAGCACGTTCCCCTGTCTACCCACGTGACTACCTCAGAGTGATCATTCTCTTCTTGGAGCTACCGCCGTAATCTGAGTAGCGGGCAGGCTGGGTGGGCATACATCACGTGAGATAGGATAAGTATATAAATATACAATTAATAGTTAAATTTCCAAATTTTTAAACTTATCCTATCTAACGATTTGCACTTATCCCGTGGTTGGACGGCGGGTCGCAGATTACCCTAAGTCAAAAGGCACTGACAGTATATACTGTATAGGCTAATGACAACCGTAGATAGCAATGAACAAGGGAGGCCGGATCCGACTAGCATAGTACCTATACTAGTGATGGGTTCTCATGAACCCCTTGGCTTACTAGGCACAATCGCTCCCAAAGAGTGGGTGCTCCTGAGCGATGTGGTGTTCGGCCGCAACCCTTGCATACGTAAGGGGACGCAACTAGGCGAGTCACCTCACTTCGTCACGATTTATCAGAGTACCCCCGTAATTAAAGTCTTACAACTAGTAATCGGGCCCGCACCTGCTTCGAGACAGCCCCCCAAACCCCATCATGAAGAGGGGAAAAGGAAAGTGAATCGGAAAGCTCACACGTTTAACGTTCAGTAGTGTTGAAGTTCTGCATGGTTTGTTGCACAAGCTGTTCAGGGTAGTTGTTGACCTGTGTGAAGTCTTGTTCTAGGTAAGGTGTTGCTTCAACAATAAAACAGAGAGACCCACACGTCTACAATCTGCACCCTTTGTCATCAGACTCCCCTACTACTGAATTGTCAGCCACAAAGTCCAGAGACTCCTAAAAAAAAACAGGCCAATATAGATGTTGTTTTCAAAAGACGTAATACCATCCTCAACACCAAAAAAGTTGTTTATCAAACTATCATTAAAATATTGAGACAGTTCACTGTTTGTTACGAGGGAGGAGTGCAGAGAAAGGGACAGCCAGGTGTTCGAGAAGCACATTCACAGACAAAGTTATTTATTCATTAACCTGTGCTGTGCCGTATCCATCCGTTCTCGAACACCTAGCTGTCCCTTTCTCTGCACTCCTCCCTCGTAACAAATAGTGAACTGTGTCCATATTTTAATGATATATTGTTAAACAACTTTTTTATTTTTAGGACAAAAATTCTGCAAAAAACTCACAGAGTTGGTATGATGTTTTGATTATGATCAGCGTTTCATTGAGTATTTTATGTTTATTAGTTTTCGAGTTAGATTGCAATTCATCGGTCCGCTTTTGAGCCAAACAGACTATAGAAAGACAGTTTGAACGTTATTTGTTTGAACGCCTTATTATGCAGCGACTCATACCGAGTGATGGAGGACAACTGACAAATCCCATGCAGGAGGTCAGACCTTCCTACACTCGTCAGCAAGTCTGAACAAACGAAGCTGATACTGGAGCTCGGGAGTAGTAGACACCTTGGTTCCAGTAGTAATGGCTAGAACCGAATTAATGGCAGCCAAATAGGTTGACAATGTACTACCTTCAGTTTAGTTGCAGCCCATAAATGCTGTAGAAATTCTGCAACAACCTGAAGAGATGCAGTGGTGGGTGAATTAATTCTCCTAATTCACAGTAATGTTCAAATTCCTTCCATTATCGTCATACAACGATCAAGTCGATGTCCTATACGCAGATGTTATAGCTGTAGCGACTCTAAATGGGTAGCCCTTGGCTATCAGTGATTTCTGTAAATGCGCCGTGCAGATGAAGGGTTAGTGATGACCCGTGGTACACGTCTGAATGTGGATGGGTAACAGGTGGGTAACGGTACTGGATTCGGTTCTGATAGCTTTCTAGGCCGACGAACCAGCTTTTCACTGGCCAAAATGGCGCAACCAAAAGTAGATGAATCTTGCTGGTCGCAAGTAAGCTTGAACTACCTTGGGTAGTAAGAGCCGGGGGGAGGAGGAACACGCATGCGTTCAGGCCTTCCCAAGATATGGCTAATGCGTCGTGGTCCCATGTCTGAGGGTCCGGGACTGGGGACACATTGCTGAAGCTGCTGGGTGTACCGAGTGGCAAACAGGTCTACATCTGGTCGCGATAACAGGTAGATCATCCATTGGAATATCAGTAGTAGTTTCCACTCCGTGGGTGACGGGTGTTTGGGACATGGCAGGGCATCAGCAATGACATTCCTCGCCTAGGGACTGTGTCGGGCTCTGGCCACTAAGATGAGTGCATCAATTAGATGATAAAATTGAAACGTCCACTGCAGCAGAGCTGCTGATCCCTGATGGTTTATGTACCATACTACCATGGAATTGTCTGATTGAATCAGTAGATGGGAGGACCGTAGTACTACTGCCCAATGCCAAACGGTGATAATGACAACGCTGAATTCCAATTCGTTGATATGAAGAGCCTTTTCTCCTGATGATGGAGAAAGTGAGCTCCCCAGCCCTCGAGAAATTTGTCGGTGAACATGTGTTGAGTCGGTGTGAAGGGCACCATAGAGACTCCTCCGCAAACATTCCGCTCATTGAGCCACCAATGAAGGGCTGGATGTAGCTGTGCGAGAAGACGAATCAACTCCCTGGGGTTGTTGTCCCAGATGTACGGGCACAGAAAACATCTGCGTTGAGCGTGATGGGTCGCCAGGGAGTAATAAAGATAGTAGATCGCTGCCTGGTGACCGTCCGGACAAAACTGCAGTTACCTCTGAACTCAGTGCTTGAGCTAAGGTAGAAAACTGAGAAACCCCAGCCAAAGTCAAACCGTTCACGGGTGTTTCTGTCCCACTCGATAAGCAGTCTCTCTCGGCTGGCCAGCGAAATCACGACACAATCACTCTTACTGGGAATGGCACCGTTCATTGTGACTAGCAGTTGAAGGCTGGACTTGATGTCCGACTCATAGGACCAAGACAAGTCTGCCAGGGCTCTTCATAGTCACTCTAATCATCAAAATTTCCGGTAAACAAACAGTAGTCCGCCATTTGCAAGCGTTACACACGATGCAACAGTGACAAAAATCCGGACAACACTTTCTTTAGTAAACCGGGCGAGTCACAACCCATAAAATCCAAGCTTAGCGATGCTGGCTACTTGACGAGACATCACTGCTACCATGCACAGAAACTTGACCCATCTGTCCAGACACTTGCTGATGACGTAAAAGGAAGGGTGCTGAAGATGACGAACCAGGCAAAGATTGCACCCAGCGATATATACCAAAACGGTGTGACTAGTAGTCTGTAGTAACTTGACTCAGTGAAGCATTGCAAAATATTCTTGGATAGCAAGCTTATCTGGTAATGCCCAAACGGGTGGTTGTAGAGCTGATATCTACGCCGAAGGGTAGATTCACTGAACCAAATCATTCATCAATGGTGAAGATTCAATGGTAGATTAAATCTGGAATGAGATGAGCCCCGGTCACGGAGGACTCTTGAGATCTGGGATCGTCAGAACATCAAGTGTCCAAAAACTTGCTGATGGCATAAAAGAAAGGGTGCTGAAGATGACAAACCAGGCAAAGATTGCACCCAGAGATATACACCAAAACGGTGTTACGAGTAGATTCAATCTGGAATGAGATGAGCCCCGGTCACGGAGGACTCTTGAGATCTGGGATCGTCAGAACATCAAGTGCCGAGCGTAAAATGTCTGGATGTTTGCGCTACTGACATCAAAATTAATTAATGTGAATCGATTCGGCATGGTGAATCACATAGCTACTACTGTACCTCTGTTCAAAAAGCAGAAAAAAATGGTACCAGGTGGGATAAGTTATGTGACTAAAAGCTTTAAGCAGCTCACTAGCCATAAAGTAATTATTATAGGATATTTATATAGCACACATATCCACGCAACTAGCAAATGCTCAAGGCGCTGGTATTGGTAATCCGGATATCAAGGTAATCCAGATAAACAAAACAGACTGTCGTGCTTAGAGCTTGCCACTCTGTGGTGAGGAATTCAGAGCTTCACATATGCCCTGAAAACTGGGATCATGTTGAAAACTAGTATAATTAGACAAATTTGGCAAATTCTAGATGCAAGTTCACGATCCTCATGAGGATGTAAACACCCAGTGTTGACAAGTCCCGATCCTCCATGTTGAAAGTAATAAGTAGAACATCTGGTATCTTTGTGTGTCGAATCAACCAAAACAATTCCTGCATCTTAAAGGCGACTGGCATAGCCCGAACCATGCAAAACAAAGACGAGGCTCTATGTAGGTTAAGTGTCTTGGGAGGCATCCTAGACACAAATAGGGTAGGCTATGATGAACCAGTAAGCTGGAAAGATGCGCCGTGTTGGAAACAACATGAGACAACAGTGGTGATTCACCGAATTTGGTGAATCAAGGGAATTGGTAGGCAAGGTCCGAACAACGGATTATTGACGAATGCTGCCAGTTCGATGAATGCTGACGGTTCAGTGATCTTGAATGGTCTGGTGAACCGGTTCGGCGATATGAAGCGATTCGGCCTGGTGAAACAGTACGGCATGTTGAAGCGATTCAGGCTGGTAAATCAGTTCAGCTTAGTGATCTGGTTCAGAATGGTGAGCCAGAACGTTGATGTGATCTGGATCGGCGCTGTGGTTTGGATCGGTTCGATAATCCGAACGTTTCAATGATCACAGCCCATAGAGAGATCTAGAACGATCAGATGAGCCGGTTCAGCGAGGTGAAATGTTCTGGCCGAGGTGAATTGGTTCACCAGGGGAGACTATATATCTATATATATTGTAGATTATCCCTGGTTCAACGAGGTGAATCGATTCGATGATATGAGCCGTTTCGGCAATAAAAACCAGACATATATGGCAAATTGAGTTGGTGTTCTGACCCAATCCGCTGTGGCGAACCGATTCGGTGTGGTGAATCGGTTTGACACTGTAAATCGGCTGTGTGAGTCAGCTGGCAACACAGAGCGGTTCGATGAGGCAGAACGACGAGTAGACATCTCATTACACAATGCCATATAAGTGTGGATTCGAATCCCGTATGGGACTCAACCCAACAAAAAGGTACAAGAAACTGTACTTAATGAGTACTGTAGACATCTGACGATGCGCCAAAAAATCATCACCTTCCGACAGTGTAATCTTCGAACGACAAGCAGTTAATACGGGTCGTTGAATGCAGGGGTTTTGTCGGGTGACAAACCATGCTGTGTTGAAGTATAACCAGCTCTGTCTGCCAGCCAGTGGGAGCAAGCCCGTCCATATGCTCTAAAAGCATCTTAGATAAGGAAGCACATTCCCGACAACGCTTGTTCCAGGAACACAGGTCAACTATCCATGATATATTTCTCATGTTAACTTGTAAGGAAAACTGAGAACTCTCACAATATGTCCACACAGTGGTGCGACAAGAAGAAGAATGATCACTCTGAGGTAGTCACTTGGGTAGATAGGGGAGCATGCTGCATGCTTAGCCGGGGACTAGGGACCTGTCCTATAAGGAGAGCAGCCTGGGGAACACGGGCGTATGGACAAGAGAGGCCTACAGGCAAAGTTCTCATTCGTTCCACTCAGCGTCGATGCAAGAGAGAGAAGTGCAAATCGTGAGATACGATAAGTTTAAAAATAGGTTATTTTGACTTTTATGATATGCTTCCATGTCTTTTCTGGTGAACAGTTGACTAGCCTTTGCATGTGTTTGTGACTGGTGCCACAAGTGGATCAGGATACGCTCACCTTTATGCAACACTTTTCATCATCACAGTTTCATTCATAAATACATGTACATAGCCAGAATCAAACGGTTTTGTTTCTTTACTTATACAGACAGTATGACGATTAAATTGAAATGTGAATGTTTTTTACAAATGATACAGTTATCTCCTCAGTGGGATATTGTTTTCTTAATCATGTTCTTAAAGTTTTGATTTCAACATTCACATTATCATCAAAAATAGAAATGTATGCAGTGTATGTTCCTCCTGTGTACCTTGACTCCAATCTGTGTGGTGTCCACTGGCAGACTCATGAGTGACGTCTTCTGTCTCATTCCCTGACTTGATGTCTTCCATTGGCCAATCACCTCAAAGTTTGGCAACGGGAACCTGCAAGCACATCACACAACATCACAACTTGGGAACAATCAGTACGTAAGGGAAGGGGCATTGCTTGTTCAACCATGATTATGCAAAATATCGAAAACAAAGGTGCAGATCCAGTTTTTCTTGACTTCCTGTGTTTCCACATCAAACAAATATCATCATAATAGGTCCATAAATATCCTTTGAGATGACACTTAGAAATTGGTCTTCAACCTTCCCCTACCTGTGTCATGGTCTTGGAAAAAGATCTGCAGTAATTACAACATGCCTTGTATGAAGTGCTACAGTTGTCTGATGCCCTGTACAGATGATGAGTGAGTGAGTGAGTGAGTTTAGTTTTACGCTGCACTCAGCAATATTCAACCAAGTCAGCGAGCCTGACCACCCAATCCCATTAGTCCCCTTTACCGACAAGCATAGTCGCCTTTTGTGGCAAGCATGGGTTGCTGAAGACCTATTCTACCCCGGATCTTCACGGGTCTGTACAGATGATGAAGTTGATACAACAATTTTGCACAGATGTACTGCAGAACTTGATGGTGTTATTGGACTGTCTTGAAGGTAATTCTGTGCTTGTCAGCATCATCCTCTCCTATGACTTGCATCACTTCAACTCCCTCGTCTTATCAAGAGCTGAGCTTCCATGCTTCCATTCAAAGATGCATTAAAGAGAACTCACACAGAAACGTTGATGAAACTCATTAACACAAGTACGGTGCTGACCAACTGTGAGCAACAAATCTCTGAGTCCAACAACCAGGGTGTCAGGGGGTTCGACCTTGGCTCCATTGCAAAACAGTAACTTCAATGTGGTCTTTAGTCATTTTCAAAAGTTGGAAGGCGAGGAAGATCGGTGAAGGAAGTTTAGTTTACAAGATATCCTTCTAGTCTGTCCAGTTTTCTTGCGACACAACCAGTGACAGTGTCTTTGTCTACGTCTGTCTCCAGTGTTTATGTGCTCTCAATCATTTGTTCATTGTATGGTATTGTTTAAGTCTGCTTTCACATTTTGGCAACATTTTTTGGTTTTAAGTTCGAATAGATAATTGTCTGATACTGTGTGTTCCTAAACATATTCTGAAAATGTATTGATCACATCTGACTCTCAGCTTTTGTTTTCCTGTGCACCTTATGGCAACATGACTGACTATGGCACGATGGCATTATCAAGTTACAGTGTCCTGCACTCAGCCTGATAACCTGCTGACCATTCTATGTTCGTTCTATTCATTTCAGCTGTAATGGTAAAGATCAGAGAATTTGAGACAAGGCAGCTGACATCTGAACAATCTCATTAGTCAGATATTTTTCTCCCTGCGTAATCTCTTCCAGTGTAAGTCTGACAACATTTCCACATGAAGGTGTATCAGGTGAACTTTCAAAGCAGGTGGTCAGTGAAAAAAATTCAAAATTCGCAGTGTGGGCCAAGCATTCAAAACAGCATTTCTAATTTCCTGATCTTGGTATGTTGAATGTACTGGTATGCTATATATACTGGTATGTTGAATGTACAGGTATGTTTTATTTATCATACAATGGATAGTGTTCTCGGCAGGATAAAGCCAACGGATATTTTCGGTATCCGTTGGGGTCATATAAGGATATCGATGCAAATTAGAGAGGTTATATGCAAATTTCAGGGACTACTTTCACAGTGTAAACAAACATGGCATCAAGGGTCGGTAGTGTGTCCAGATTAACGACCGTGGTTACGGTACTGTCAGTGCTTTGATCCCAGAAAATTCATGCCTGGTTTTTATAGATGGAGTAGATTACAAAGCGAAGATAAAACTTCATAGGCTTTCGAAGATACCAACATCAGTTCCCCGACCAACTGTCAGTGTTAGCGAGAGAACGGTGCACAGTGTCATGCTAACATTAAAGCGTATTTGGTTGTTCAAAAGGTTAATTGAAGGTTTCTGAAGTTCCACGTGAGTTTGTTGTTATTTTTCAAACGTAAGCTAAGATTTGTTGACAACAATACGTGCTTTAGCATAAAAGCTTACTGGGAACTAGATGACCGCTGAGTGATCAGGAGAAAATTATGTCACCGGGCTTGTGACGTAACGTATTACTCCGCACATATTTGTGACGTCATAGACATTCCACAAAGTTTAATTTCATGATTTGTGGCATTTGAAATCGCATTTTTTAAAATTATAAAGCAAAAATGACATTGTATGATAAATAAGTTATCACACTCGTGTGTTTTGGATGGTTAATATTCTGCATTAGGAATAAACACTATGTATTCAGCTCGCCAAGGCTCACTAAATACAATGTTTATTCCTAATGCAGGATATTAACCATCCAAAAACACACTCGTGTGATAACCTATATATACTGGCAGGTTCAATGTGCTAGTGTGCTAAATATACTGAGAGAAACAAATTTAGAAACACAGGAATATTCAAGCGTTCCTTTAATATTTTCAGTTTTCATCACCAGCTTTGAATAGGCTGTTGGAGTGAATCTGAGAACAGATAAAGGAACACTGCTATGAAGTGGTGCTCCCTTATTTGTTTTCTAGAGTATATATATACTGGTATGTTGAATGTACTGGTATGTTAAATATGCTGGTATGCTATATATACTGGTATGTTGAACTTGAATGTGCTGGTATGTTGAATGTACTGGTATGCTATATATACTGGTATGTTGAATGTACTGGTATGCTATATATACTGGTATGTTGAATGTACTGGTATGCTATATATACTGGTATGTTGAATGTACTGATATGCTATATATACACTGGTATGTTGAATGTACTGATATGCTATATATACTGGTATGTTGAATGTACTGGTATGCTATATATCCTGGCATGTTGAATGGACTGGTATGCTATATATACTGGCATGTTGAATGTACTGGTATGTTATATATACTGGCATGTTGAATGTACAGGTATGTTATATATACTGGTATGTTGAATGTACTGGTATGTTATATATACTGGTATGTTGAATGTACTGATATGCTATTTAAACTGGTATGTTGAATGTACCGGTACACTATATATACTGGTATGTTGAATGTACTGGTATGCTATATATACTGGTATGTTGAATATACTGGTATGGTATATATACTGGCATGTTGAATGTACTGGTATGCTATATATACTGGCATGCATGTCTGGGAAACCAGAAATGGGCTTCACACATTGTGCCCATGTCGGGATTCGAACCCGGGTCTTCGCGGCGTAACGAGCCAACGCTTTAACCATTAGGCTTCCCCACCGCCCCAGAATGTACTGGTATGCTATATATACTGGCATGTTGAATGTACTGGTATGCTATATATACTGGTATGTTGAATGTACTGGTATGTTGAATGTACTGGTATGCTATATATACTGGTATGTTGAATGTATTGGTATGCTATATATACTGGTATGTTGAATGTACTGGTATGCTATATATACTGGTATGTTGAATGTAGTCATAGTAATCGGCAGCATAGAAGGCACAAACAGCATTTTTGTATACACTTCTCCAAACTAACATAAACACTTTATAGGATAAAGAATTTATTCAGTCTTTTATATAAATATTCTCACACTTCCGCACATTATGTTTCACCTGACATCCTTCAGACAGTGAATTAAGCAAATAGAGTAAACTATATATTGAAAACAATGTGATTTCTGAAACATCTCTAACATGTCATCAACTGTGTCTCTCATTATGTGAATGATGAGGAGGAACTATGACCCTAATGTCTTTGGAAATGGGAAATCATAGAGTTAGTCATTTTGACTCTCTGACTTTAAACCCCTTCAGTGAAAGAGACTCACTGCCCAGCAGTTTACAGCTCGTAAACTGGACACGAGTTAGTTTGGTTGAGCAGTATTATAAACATTAGGATATATCTCCACACTGATAATAGCAGCGCTTTGGGCAACATGGACACCCATGCTCTCAGTGGTGTCTACTTCTGAGCTGGAGATTAGGGCTTGCTTGTGTTCAAATTTGGAAAGAGACACTTCCTGAAAAACACCTTAGTATTCCTGTCCCATATTAGCTGATATCGGTACTTCCCTTCATAAGTTCATAACATACAAATAACTGTCCTCATACAAAGGTCCCATCACAACCTCCAAACAAAGTTTTTAAAAGTTTATATCATAAAATTTAGTCAACACAAATTGCCTCTCTCATCTCACCTCCTCCTTCAATATATCTTCTGAAGCATCTCATCTAACTTCTAATTGATTACCAATATAAGTGACCATACAAATTCCAAACAACGCAACGACACCCATGGCCTACACTGTATAGAATGTTATCAAATAAGATACTTCTAAAAAATCAGTTTAGCTCTATCACAGATTGATCCTAAAAATGTGAAATATTCATAAAACAATGAACCCGTTTGCCACTAAAATGAAAGTACTGTACTATATGACAAACAAACACCACAGTCTTGCGCTTCTCCATTATACACCACAGAAATCAGATACACCAACAAGAATAAAGATTTGGTTGTTACAAGATTTTGTTAAAATCAAACCATTCAAAGAGACAACACTATTCAACTTTATACAGGGCTATTCTGCTTCTACTACACATTACATAGCCTATACAAATATACACCTCAGCAGTGCTCCAAATTGAAGTGGAAATTTAATTTGGCCCTTAAGATTAGCATTTGACTGTTGAGCCAGTAAATATGATATACTATTACAAAGAAGTTCAAGTTCGCCTGATTCTCTCATGTTATCATACTTCATCTGTAATGGCTTGAGAGATAAGTGCAACTTAATTAGAATCATGGGTTCTTAACTTCTTTTGAGCAGTGTATCCACTGACTGACTGACTGAGTTTGGTTTTACGCGGCTTTTAGCAATATTCCAGCAACATCACGGCGGGGGACACCAGAAACGGGCTTCACACATTGTACCCATGTGGGGATTCGAACCCGGGTCTTCGGCGTGACGAGCCAACGCTTTAACCACTAGGCTACCCCACCGCCCAGCAGTGTATCCATGTTACAAGGGTCACTTGTCTTAGTTCATATCACTTACTATCTTTTGTCTCTTGCAAAAAATTGAGTAGCATTGCATTTCTTTAAATATTGCTTAGATTTTTGTTTTAACAGTTTGTCATATAGTACAGACTTCAACACCACCATATCACATTGTTATGGTCAAGATCTATGACGAACCCTGAGTTTTAGGCCAGCAGTACTGAGCAAGGAATACTGGTCTCCCAGCTTGGTTTACTCTATAAGTTCTACATCTTGTAACAACCAGATCTTACTCTTTAGCGAGGCTGATTCTGGCTTCTCGGACGCCGAGTGGGATGCCGTGTTTTTCCATGGTCTGTACGATGGTCTCCTGCAACTCCTGGTTGTATGAGTCGAAGTCAAACACGTTCTTCACCACGGTTGTCAAGCCCTCACTTGGGAATTTCTGAAACAGGAGCAGGAGTGAATCAATAATTGTTAACATTTATGTGACAGTGAATTATCAATTTAATGTCCAGATTTTGTATTGCCTTGAACGTGTCCTTTTCACAAACAACAAACCAGTGAAATTCATACGTATCAACTGGACCAGACAATCCAGTGATCAACAGCATGAGCATCAATCTGCACAAATGGGAACCGATGACATGTGTCAACCAAGTCAGCGAGCCTGACCACCTGATCCTGTTAGTCGCCTCTTACACTGACTGACTGACTGAGTTTAGTTTTACGCCGCTTTTAGCAATATTCCAGCAATATCACGGCGGGGGACACCAGAAATGGGCTTAACACATTGTGCCCATGTGGGGAATCGAACCCGGGTCTTCGGCGTGACGAGCCAACGCTTTAACCACTAGGCTACCCCACAGCCCCAGTCGCCTCTTACAACAAGCATGGGTTACTGAAGATCAATATTCTAACCCGGATCTTCACAGGTCACCTGCAAAAGGAGGTTTGTTTGTTTGTTTATTTGTTGTTTAATGCCGCACTCAGCAATATTCCAGCTATATGGCATCAGTCGGTAACTAATCGAGTCTGGAACTAACAACCCAGTGATCAACAGCATGAGCATCAATTCTACTGTATCAATTCTAACCCAGATCTACACGGGTTGTAACAGAAGGTTAAAGTAACTGAAGTTACCTGTATATGCCGGACCATGTTGACAACTTCTCGGGTAGAGTAGGGGTACGATATAAGACCTTGGTCCGCCATATCTCGTAGCTCCCCGAAGGCCATCACTAACTTTCGGAGAGTCCCCTCAGACACATTCGGACCATACTGTCTCAACATCGCCATCTCCGACTCAATGTCTGGATTGTCGATTGCGTGACAGCTAAATATGTCACCTGGAGAGAACACAAAACAAAAAACATTATTCATTATTCATGGGATGAAAAACAAGAGTCATCTGGTGATGACACACTGCCTGGGTCAGGTGCAGTTTGGAAATAGAAGCTGGTATACCCCTCTTCTGGTTCATGGAAACTACTTCAGTTCAAGGAAGAGAAACACATGGCTGTTCAGTATTTTCAGTATATAAGCACAATCATCACAGCGCACCAGTTCACCACTGGGCTAATTTCCAGAGCAAGTTTCAACTCGAGATATTCAACACTGTTGTAGTTCTTCCCCAGAAACAAGCATTACCCTCATTTTCAGGAAATTCCAAAATGTCATAAATAACAAACCAAAATAAAATAAAATCCCAAACCATCAAAAGGCACCAGTTGATCGCTAGACTGGTTTTTAAAAGGACTGACTGACTGACTGAGTTTAGTTTTACGCCGCTTTTAGCAATATTCCAACAATATTACGGCGGGGGACTCCAGAAATGGGCTTCACACATTGTGCCCATGTGGGGAATCGAACCCGGGTCTTCGGGGTGATGAGCCAACGCTTTAACCACTAGGCTACCCCACTGCCCGGTTTTCAAAAGGAAAGATTTGACGCAACTTGAGCACTAGTTTCACATCATTTGTAGGAGTATTTCAGCAATATCATGCTTGGGGACAGCACAAGTACTGGCTCTCTAGAGGATGAATAGGAGATGATCTCATACATTGAGTAACTTGTAAAATGTACAGAAAATTTAAATGCCCAGAGACTTAATAGAAAGTTGACAGTTTATTGATCTCTTACCCATAGCACCAAAGAAATCATTTCCAAGGAAGGGGAAGCCTGGTCTGTTGGCTAGAACAATCATCCTGAAGTCTGGGTGAGCCACGATCACGCTGCTGGAGGGAGACATTCCTGTCCTGGCTGTACACACAACAGGCGGAGTCAGTTGGGAGTTCAAGGTCACATCGGGAGTTTAGCTTACAGTCAAATATTTGGTAAGAGTGGATTGCCATTGACCAGTATATTCGTTAGACGTCTCACCTGACAAAATCCTCCTGCCGTCTGCTAGATGCATCTCTCCCGACTCCACCAGTGTCTTCAGCACACATGTAACATGTGTGGGAGCCTTGTCTGCCTCATCCACAACCAACACATGACCTTGCTTCACGGCCTTGACCTACAGCATGATATAAGAGTCTCTCAACATTTGTCTTATGCCACAAAACATGATTGTATAGTAAGTACTTATGCAATTACACCGCTTAATGGAGCGCTGTAACTCAGTATGACATTCATGGCCAGCATAACAGACAGCATACTTTAGACAGTATGACAAGAATGACGCATAATATGTGGTGTGGTGGGCGAACTGGCTAAAGAGCCAGGCTAGTGATCCATCGAGCTTGAGGTGACGGGAACAAGCCCACCTGTGACCGGGTGTAAAAACCTTGGTGTCAACTTTGTGTGCAGACTCTTTCCGTGTTGTCACAACCCCTAGTGTACGGTACACAACCCTGTGCACTTAAAAGAACACACAAATCCGTTGGTATATGACCAGATGGTGGCCACATGAATACGTGCAAACACCTAGTTGCGGGTACACCAACATGCAGTGAACTTGGACAAAGTACTGTGACTTTGTGTCCCAGTTCACCCAGCTGTGAATGGGTACCTCGTAAGGATGGGAATGCCACAATAACTCGGTGCGTCTAGCAGCTGCAAGTGTTGTATGTGCTCCCCGGGGAGTTGAGACTGATAATACGATGTGCCGTTGAGATTGACATCCAGTGAACGAGGGAAAAACAAAGCGCCTTTGAGCAGCTGAGCTGAGCTGGATATCGGCGCTATACAAATGTTAGTATGTATGATGTATGTATATAATATAGGTTATATTTTTGGAGTTCAAAGAATAATCATGAAATAGAAAAACACCATTTAATCATTGTTATATTACTCTTTCACTCATTGTTTAAACATTGTCAGATTACTCCAACATTGTCCAGCTGTTATTCATAACTAAAGTGGGCCAATGGTCAAAACTATACTGTGAGTCCTGTGTGTGAAGTTAAGACATTGTCACTGTTGTGTTTATCATCTGCCACTAAGCAGATGTACATCACAGAATTTGTGTCAGTGGATGAACAATGTAGTGTTTGGAATGAACTACAGGACTACTTATTGACAGTTCCCCTGTAAATTAAGTTTTGTATGTTGGTTTTGAACGCCGCATTCCAAATATTCCAGCTGTATGACAGCAGCTGATAGATAGTAGTCATGACCAGACAATCCAGTGATTGACATTACGAGCATCAATCTAAGCAACTGGGATATGATGACAAGCATCAACCAAATCAGTCAGCCTGCCCACTTGCTGATATTTTGGTGAAGGTCAGTTCTAAGCTGGATCTTCACAGTTCCCATAAGACCTACCAGTGGAGAGTCTTCGTAAATAATGACGCCATCTTGAACAGTTGGTTGCAGTGTCAGCGTCTGAACCGTTGTGTCTCTGTCAAATAAAACAAGGAACTTAAATTTGTCCCCATTCAGCTGACGTCACGTAAGATTACCTGTTGAAGACATCACACAATTCAACTTTCAAATACACATCATGCATCGAATAAAAACACTATTATGGAATACGCAAGTACACGGGATTAACCGTATGTATTAATATGTCGCCTCTTCCTGTACCTGTGTAGCTGGATGTACTCCCGGGGGCGGTTCAGCATCTGGAGGAAGCGGTCCACGATTTTGTTCTTGCCGACGCCCTGGTTCCCCACCAGCAGCAGGTGCTCCCCCAGGGTGAAATCTCTCAACATGTCTTCCATCACAGACAGGTGCTGCAAACATCACGTTACGATGGAGACAGTTGGGGGGATATATCCAAACAATATGGTTACACTAATGTTGATTTGAAGGTCAGAGACTGTTTGCTTGTTGTCATGGAGATTGTGCCAGAAGGACTCGGCAGTACAATTATATAGAATAGCTGCAGTTTATACACTTCCATACTAATTAGTTAAACAATCTGTACTGCAACCAATGCTTTCCTTACCAGATCTGTATGTCTGACTGACTGACTGAGTTTGGTTTGACGCGGCTTTTAGCAATATTCCAGCAACATCACGGCGGGGGACACCAGATATGGGCTTCACACATTGTACCCATGTGGGGATTTGAACCCTGGTATTCGGCGTGACGAGCCAACGCTTTAACCACTAGGCTAACCCACAGCCCCAGATATGTATGTGGTCTTACGAATAAATGTTCAGACAAACACTGTTGTGTTGAGTTTGAAGGTGCTTGACAGCAAACTGAAGACTAAAGAAGAAATATGCAGGGAATCAACTTTCACTTTGAGCCAATGGGAAGTTTGACACATCAATGTTTGACACAGTTGTGTTTGATTGTACTTATCAGATCTCAGACATCCTTCATACCTGTGGATTTTCATAGAAGAGAATGTCTGGCACTTTGGTCTTGTTCTGTGGGTTGTACACCGGAACCGTCGTACTGCCGATACGGAGCATATCTCCCTGCACCTCGCATGTCACAGAATTCTCGTAGGATGCCACGGAGTGGTCCTGTTTCAGAGGCTGTATCCCGGCGGAGTCGAGAGTCTGATCCAGGGCTTGTCGGGCGAGACGGGGCAGAAACCTACACATACCATGAGTGCACTTGTATAACAAAAATATCTTCATTGCTTGATTGACGTTTAAGTCATGGATCTGGAAAGGGGTTAGTATGTTTTTATGCCACTTCAAACAAAATTCCAGATTTATCACCAGAATAAGGTTTCACAGTGTGTACCCATGTAGGAATCGAACCCGAGTCTCTGAGGTGACAAAGGAAGGCTTTAGCCACTGAGCTACAATACTGTCAATTTAAGTCATGAAAATGAATGAATGGTTCTAATTTACAAGGACATATCCAGACATTAATTTCTCATTCTCATTATTATTGTGAATATTTATGCCTCATTATTCAAATGTTGTTATTCCACGCAACAACAAGCATTGTCACTACAGTGACATAATCCCCCGCCGCAAATTATCAAATCAAACTTATAAAGTAATGAAAGTTTAAGATGAAGTTAAATGTCAACAAAAACATTATCTTGCTCTTTAGTTGTTCAAACACACACATATTTTGAAGACTGACTTTGACCTTGACATGAATGTCATAGTGTATGAAATATGCAAAACTAGTACTAAAGAAATTGCTTATTGAAAAACATTCAAGCGAGGTCTTGAAAGTCCATGAAGAAAATCCAGTGAACCGTTCTTAAAATATCTTCCTGACAATTCAGGTTAACATTCTGAAATCTTCATAGTGTCGTTGTGACCCTACAAATTATGTGAAGGTCACTAAAATTGACTGGGCCCTGGGCCTTCCCTAGATGAAGCTTGGTGTCAAATATGAAGAAAATCCACTGATCATTTTTTGCGATATCTTGCTGACTATCTTAACAAGCAATTTAACATGCTGAAATCTTCAAAGTGTCTCTGTGACCTTGAAACTTAAGTGAAGGTCACCAAAATCGACTGGGCCCTGCGCCTTCCCTGGATGAAGCTTGGTGTCAAATATGAAGAAACTCCAGTTAATGGTTCTTTAGGTATTTCGCTGACAAGCATAACAGGTAGTTTAATATTCTGAAATCTTCAAAGTGTCTCTGTGACCTTGAAAATTAAGTGAAGGTCACCAAAATTGACTGGGCCCTGCGCCTTCCCTGGATAAAGCCTGGGGTTGATTATGAAGAAAATCCAGTTAACGGTTCTTGAGACAGCTTTACATGCAGGTTTACATGCTGAAATCTTCAAAGTGTCGCCATGACCTTGAAAATTATGTGAAGGTCACAAAAAATCGACTGGGCCCTGTGCTTTTCCGAGATAAAGCTTGGTATTGAATCTGAAGAAAATCCAGTGAACGGTTCTTGAGATAGCTTAGCATGCAGGTAAAACGTGAAAGTCCCCTTGTGACCTTGAAATGAAGGTCAAGGTCACCAAACCTGACTTGGGCCTTTCTTATAGTGTGATGAACCCAGGTACCAAATATGAAAAGAATCTAGAGAACGGTTCTTAAGATATTCCAATTCGTACATACGTACAGACGGAGCCTAATACTATATTACGCTAAACACGCGGCGGGGGAAAAAAACATATGATTATCGACAGTATCTTCTGAAATGTAACTGCCTTTTTGTTTTCACTAACTGCTGTTTCTATCCACAAGTTAGTTTTCTGTTTGTAGCTTAACACCACACTCAGTAATACCAGGTGTAATATCAAACTTAGTAATACAAGGAGTAATACCACACTCAGTAATACCAGGAGTAATACGACACTCAGTATACCAGGAGTAATACGACCCTCAGTAATACCAGGAGTAATACGACACTCAGTAATACAAGGAGTAATACCACACTCAGTAATACCAGGAGTAACACTACACTCAGTAATAAGCTCTAAATGCCTCTCAAAGAAGTTATCAGTAATACCAGCTAGATGAGGGTGGTCTGTAAAGTACAATCTGGGCCAGACAAACCAGTGATTGACATCTTGAGTACGGACTGACACAGCTGGGTTATGACACATGCATCAACCAGTCAAAGACACTACCACTTGATCTTTGCAGCAACAAGCATGGATTGCTGAACACCAATTCTTCACCGAGTCTAAAGCCTTCGATCAACAGCAATCACCGTGGTTACAAAATACTCTATTCACTTCTGCTGAAAAATGGAAGCTGAGAACACCCTAAGGCACCTATATTCTCACCTAGACAGACAGGCCTTCTGTACAATGCCATACAAGTCTTCATTTGGGTACTGAGCTAGACTCCTGGCAATACGGAGCAGTTGGCGGGTAGACATTGAGGCAGCTATAGATTGTATCTGAAACAAATTTAGTGTACTGGTGATCATGAGAATAACAAAATAAGACAATGATGTAACAACGATATAACAATGACACAACAATGAGACAATGATGAAACAATGAGACAACAATAACATAATAATGAAACAATAGACAAAAATGTAATGTTTTAAGTAAAATTGATATTTTATACTTATCCTGACTCATGATATTTTGCTTATCTCCCTTTCCCTTGCGAATGGTAGTGGAACACTTGAATCCCTTGTAGTTCCCGAGCGGACGTAAAAATACACTCACCCATGAGTTACCTCCCCCTTACCGGTCAAACAGTCATGTGATTGATGTCATAAATGTATGTCATAAACCTCAGGATACAATACAACCTTGTGACTACTAGTAATTTTGAATAGAAAGAGTTGTCAGACTGATAGCAATGCTAAACATGTTAAATATTTCAGGACTCACATTGTTTTCTTTGCATGTTTTCATAAACCAACATCAATCTCTCTATTCACCACTGTATCACAGTTTGACTGACTGAGTATGGTTTTACGCCTTTTTTTAGCAATATTCCAGCAATTTCACGGACACCAGAAATGGGCTTCACAAATTGTACCCATGTGGGGAATCGAACCCGGACCGAGCAAACGCTTTAACCACTAGGCTACCCCACCGCCCCAACAGTTTGAAGTGATTCACATTTCTCTTGGAATTGGGTATATTTCCAGTGTTGCAAGTCAGCAGTTATACTTTCATTTTGAACATAATTCATGGTGATTGTGGTGCCTTTGTTCCCACTACACAGCTGTATATTCAGGAAAGTAGTACATGATTTACTTACAGTGGGGTCTGTGGAATCTCTCAGCTTGTGGACAAAATCAAACAATTTACTTAGATTTTCAGCATTAGGAACCTGAAATCAAAGAAAACAATTGCTGGTTTGTTGTTTGTTTGTTTGTTTGTTGTTTAATGCTGCACTAAACAATATTCCATCTATATGATAGCGGTCTGTAAATAATCAAGTCTGGACCAGAAAATCCAGTGATTAACAGCAAGAGCATCTCCCTACATAGGAAAGCGTTTCCTATTCTCGCGGTACTTACGGATATCGGTTGAAAAAATAACAGAAACAATTCTTATCATATGAATGCTTGTTGTTATTAAATGAAGGGCCTCAACTTTAACATATGCATCTATCAGCTGCTAGATCCATCAGGTGAATTACCACTCGTGGGCCCGGTGATAAACAATGCCATCCGCCATTGACAAACGAGGCTTCTCCTATTCTCGCGGTATTACCAGGAATTAACGTTATTGAGAGTATGTAAGAGTCATCCTGCCGGAAAGGGCGGGAAAAAGTAATGATATGTCCAAGTTGGTATAAACTCCCCAATATTCGTGACACTGCAAGATTTTGATCATTCACCGACTTGGTCCAATTCCTAGTTACCAGTTGGTGATGTAAACAACCGCTAAGTGTCACGCATTGGCGATTTCGACAGAAAACGTATTTACCACGAGAGTAGGAAACCCGCGAGAATGGGAGAGGGACCTATAAGTAGGATCGATGATATGTGTCAACCAAGTCAGCAAGCCTGACCACCAGTTAATCACCTCTTACAACAAGCATGGGTTGTGTATAGTATATTGTTGACTAATGCTAAAACTATCATTACTCCTTGTAAAGTATGCAAAGATGAGCACCCACCAGTCTGTGTATAACATCTGTCTCCTCTGCCCGTGACAGCGGTCGCATGTGGTGGTACAGGAACATCGTCAACATCTCCGGCGACATCCACTGCTGCTTGCTGCTCCCTACAACTGGGGGTTCCCCGAGGGCGATGAGGCGGAAGGATGGATGGATAGGGAAAATCCTCCTGATACAGAACAGTGATAAGAGTAATGGGGAGAACAAGGTTAGATGGAGAGTGGAGCCCCCCTGAACACCAGAACATGCGAATCCCCCAAAAAACTTTAAATCTCAGAACGCTGACACACAGTGTGAAATAGTTTCCACATTTTGCAAGCCAGGTGGGTTAGCTATGCCTGAAAGTTACTAGCCCACAAAATAATTCACTAGCCTGAAAATTTGAATGTAGAAACTAAGCAAAAGATTACAAAAATAGATGAGAATAAGATATGGTTGGCATGACACCAGTTTCATCATTGAACTGCTAATATGATGAACAGTTTTATCAGGCCATAATCTTGCATGATTTAAACTGTATTATAACTTAACAAGGCAGAGAGACTGATATATTCACAAAATGACCCCATGAAAATTCAGAAGCCAGTCGGGGGCAGTGACTGTGGAGATTTACTGACCCGACTGGATTTTTACTAGCCATGGATTAGTGGGCCAGTGGCTATTTCGCACACTGCTGAGACACCAGAACATCAGACTCCCTTCAATCTAAGAATTCCACACCAGAATTCTGGGACACCAGAACATGAGAATCCCTTAAACCCAAGAATCTTAGAATCCAGCAGCGTAAAACTAAACTCACTCACTTCTATGTTATCTATATTTCTAAGATATCAACAGGAAGTGGATATTGTGGTATAAACTAAAGTAACTCTGCTCCAGTTGGAGTGGTTCTCTGCTTACCGCTCCTCCAGCTGTTGTTGAGACAGCCCTGTCTTCTCCTGTATGTCCTGGTATCGATCGTGTTGGAGCAGACGCGTCCCGTCATACAGCTGCAGATCTCGCTTCGTGTACCAATCTATAAGCACAAGCTGAGTCATACAAAAACTGAGGTAACCAAATTCACAGATGTAAGCAAATTATATGAATCATGTCAAATATTGGGACACACAAACCTGGAAGTAAGTGAGTGAACATCATTTCTGCCCTTATAAAAATATCAATAATATACCAACCATACTTTTAAGAAACTGTCAATGTATTGATTCTGTTAAATCACTTTCATGCTTATTCTAATAAAACTTCATCTGATCCCACCAATATATTCTGTATATCATGTGACTTCTGGACTGAGTTAGCAGGGATGGTGGGTTGGCCTTGTGGTTAAAGTGTTTGTTCGTCACACCGAAGACCTGAGTTCTATTCCCCACATGGTGTCCTGACATGGGAAGCCTCATGACCCCGTCATGATATCTCTGGAATATTGCTACAAGTGGTGAAAAACTAAACTCACTCACTCACTCACTCACTGATATTCGGAATATCTTGTGACTTCTGGACTGAGATCGCACTTCTCGCACATGTCTACCCCTCCTATACTCACCTATGCAGCACAGAGAAGGACCCGGGGTTTATTCGATGAACTCCATCAAGTACAGCAAGGCTTCCCTCCAGGGCAGCAGTGACAAGTGGAGAGTGGCGCCACGTGGTATCGCCATTCGGTAACGTTGTCCTCTGCTGAAGTAGGTCCCGTGATGTCATATCCTAGATTCCGATGAAATAAAATATTCTTCAATAACCCTTTTCATAATGAGTCCACTGCAAAGTTGTCCAAACATAAATACCTGTCCAGATTACAACAATATGAGAGTTGTGTGCCAAGGTTTAGCCAAGCATCCATATAAGGTAAAAACAAACTGACTATTCAGTTGCCATGTAACCACTGCTCAGGTGTATATCGTAGCCTGTAGACAAAACTGGGTGGATTACCATGTGAAGGACATGAAATCACATCAAACCACAGATGGACAGACAACTTGTCTTGTTGTTTTTTTAAGATTTCAGAATCAAAATTGGATGCAGAGAGAAAGCATCCATTTCTTTGAATTTGTTAAAAAGGAGGGAATTTTAGGCTCCTACAGGGCAGCAATCATCGTTAAAGTTTGTTTGACACTGTTTGCCTGTGTTTCCTTCTAATTACGGTGTTTTAGACTCTCTGTGAGAAATTATTAAACTAATTGAGGATATTACCAAGGATGTTAGAATATGGGGGAGGTAATATGAACAGCAGCATTCTGGGAGCCAGTGACTACATAGCTCATGAACAGGATATGGTATGTTTCTATAGACACCAACTGGGAAGTAGGATAACTCCGTTCCTTCAACTGATTGTAATGTTTACCTGATACAACATGATGGGTTCTGTGTGGTATCCCAGCATGTCGGCAAACTGCTTCACCAACACACTCTTACCGCAGCCCTGAAACCCACCAATATTCACATTAATACCACCCACAAGGCATCTCTTACAGCAGTGACATGTCTCAAGCAGCTTCTACAAAATGTTTGGGGCGGTGGGGTAGCCTAATGGTTAAAGCGGTGGCTCATCACGCCGAAGACCTGAGTTCGAATCCCCACATGGGTACAATGTGTGAAGCCCATTTCTGGTGTCCCCCGCCGTGATGTTGCTGGAATATTGCTAAAAGCGGCGTAAAACCAAACTCAGTCAGTCAGTCTACAAAATGTTCAAATTTTGGATTCATCCATCAGTCTCAGCAATTCAGTTTTTAAGACAAGTCTGTGACCGGGTGTAAAAACCTTGGAGTCAACTTTGTGTGCAGACTCTTTCAGTGTTGTCACAACCCCTAGTGTACAGTACACAACCCTGGGCACTTAAAAGAACCCACGAATCCGTTGGTATATGACCAGATGGTGGCCACATGAATACGTGCAAACACCCAGTTGCGGGTACAGCAACGTGCAGTGAACTTGGACAAAGTACTGTGACTATGTGTCCCAGTCCACCCAGCTGTGAATGGGTACCTCGTTAGGATGAGAAAGCCACAATAAGTCGGTGCGCCTAGTGGCTGCAAGAGCTGTATACTCCCCAGGGAGTTGAGATTGATAATACGATGTGCCGTTGAGATTGACATCCAATGATCGAGGGAAATATACCAGCGCCTTGAGCATGCACTAGTTGCCTGGATATGTGCGCTATATAAATATCCTATAATAATAACTAAGCCAATATTTTCCATCAGTTTCATTCAGTTGCAATAAGTGACAAAATTAGTGAACCAGTTAAGAAATATATTTCCACTAAATGATACTAGTTGATGAGGACCACAATCATTGGATTTTGACCTGCCCCGCTGTAATTTAGTTGTCTCAGTCGAGTGGACCAGCGTGAGTCTTTAAGCTGTCCATTTATAACATCATCACCACAGAAACATCACGTTAACATCATCACATTCATGCTTAAGTCTTAGACTCTTCATTATGATCTTATCTCATGTGTTCCCTTTCTTTCCCCATGAGTATATATTTGGTTCAGCTTCCCTACCCTTGGTCCCACTAGACAGAAGTCTGTCGTGACGTGTGACTGCAGCATCTCCGACAACAGAGCATCATGGTAGCCGGTCCTGATGAACGGAGATTCCTTGTCCCCTGCTGATGAGGGGAGTGTCCCGGCAGACACCTGGAAAGACAATACCTGAGTTTCTGCCACAGCTAAAACCTCACGTTGAATACCTTAAAGACATGTTTGGTCAAAATATCTCACCTGAAAATATGAAAGGTGACTCTGCTACCTGAGACATCTGTGACTGTCACCTGAGTTGCGGTAACTAAATTACTAATTTACTAATACCCTACAGTTACTTGTACTACCTGAGACACATTTGTGATCAATCAATTTCACCTGTGTTGCTTTAACTAATTTATCAATACCTGACAGGTACTGCCTGAGACACAGGCATCAATCCATCTCACCTGTATTAAAGGACCGTTCATAATTTATGGCTAGGGGGAGTGATGATGATTGTTATGGAGAAGCATGTACAATGTGACTGACCAACCCTAAAATGTATGTACAAAGTAACGCATGTCATGTACAAAATCAATGACCCCCTCCCTCTTCCCATATTATAATATTTAAATATTTTTATGAACAAACTTGATGACCCCCTTACTACATGCATACAAAATTGATGACCCCTCTACCTCCCCAGAACAAAATGGGTGCCCCACTAAAATCATCATCACCCCCCTTAGCCATATATTATGAACGGTCCTTAAGATACCTAAATTACTAATAACTGACAGGTACCTCCACTCCGCAAGAAAAGTTCTCAATGCATCTCACCTGTATTGCTGAAACTAAATTAGTAATACCTAACACATGAGACACAGGTGTGCTCAATCCATCTCACCTGTATATGTGACAGGTAATTCTACTCCCCAAAATGTGTTTCTCTCACCTGTACTGGATGTGCATCTCGACCCTGAGACAGCGTCACCATTGCCTCATTTCCATGTTTATCCACATTGCTGACACTATACACAGGTGTCGACCCAATCAACTCGAATTTCTGAAAGGTCAAATTAAGCAATGTTTAGAGGATATCATGAATACATTGCATAAAATGGTGCATCCATATCAAGGTGACCCGTAAGTTGTAAAATTTGATGCCGGTAACAACTTTTTACAAAATCAGTAATTATATCAGAATTAAGACACAGAAACTTGCAATAACTGTAATGTGCCATTTGGCTTAGATGTAACAGTCATAAGATCTATTTATGACTGTAGTGAGTGAGTGAGTTTAGTTTTACGCCGCCATCAGCAATATACAAGCTATATGGTGGCTGTCTGTAAATAATCGAGTCTGGACCAGACAATCCAGTGATCAACAGCATGAGCATTGATCTGCGCACTTGGGAACCGATGACATGTGTCAACCAAGTCAGCCAGCCTGACCACCAGATCCCGTTAGTCGCCTCGTACGACAAGCATGGCTTGCTGAAGATCAATTCTAACCCGGACCTTCACAAGTAAGCAATATGTAAGGACATCTTGAATATGATCTATACAATGGTGCATCCATATCAAGCTGACCCGTAAGCTGTAAAACAATTTGATGCCAGTACCAACTTTCACAAACTCAGTAATTATATCAGAATTAAGACACAGAAACTTGCAATAACTGTAATGTGCTATTTATGACTGTAAATATGACGTTGTGACATTCCCACATCAATCTGAAGGAGGCCATTCTGAAGCAAAATGTAACACTGTGGACCCATGATGATCCAGGTTAGAATTGGTCTTCAGCAAAACCTGTACTTGTCGTAAGAGGAGACCAACGGGATTGGGTGGTCAGGCTCACTGACTTGGTGAATGCATCCAATCCCAATCGCCTAGATCAATGTTCATCATGTCACTCACTGGATTGTCTGGTCCAGACTCCATTATTTACAACTGCAATATTGCTAAGTGTTGCATCAAACAACAAACAAATGATCCCAAGCTTTAGTCTTGTGATGTACTGTTCTATTCACGTCTATTCACACTAGGGCTGCGCAGTATAACCGGTTTACTGGTATTTACCGGTTCAGACATGAAAACGATACGTATTGCGTTACGCTGATTGAAAACCGGTATTTTGACTTGCATTTGCAAAACTTCGTAACACTCGGAAATCTCCGGATATTTCCTTGTGTCATTTGTGCCTAATAATTTTTACATTTCTATTTTATCATGATGAAAAGTTGTTATTAAAGCTTAATCAAGCATAGTGATTTTGCTGTGTTTTTGCTCTATAAATCAAGCATTAACTCAATTATAAGTAGTTTTTTGTTTAAAAATACTTCATGCAATATATTGCAATACATATCGCAATACATACTTTCGCATCGCAATATATCGCAATATGAAAATTCTGCAATACCCACCCCTAATTCACACACACAACTGATCTGCTACAACTCACACTGAGTGTGTCCTCAACGGCCGTCTTCCCCTCCGTGCCCAGCATGAGGTTGTATGGGTACAGTCTCTGTATCAGCTCCAGGGACGATACGGACGGTACAGCATCCTGCAACATGAACATGGCAATAAACAAGGGCAGACAACTTCCATTTTCTGTAACAAAAGAATTCCAGTAAACCAAGGAGGACAACCCATGTGTTATCTGACATAAACGCTCAGATACACAAGGGGAGACAACCCCAGAGTTAAGGAACATAAACACCCCAATAAAGAAAGGGAGCAAACCCTGTGTCCAGTAACAGAAACACTGAAATATACAAGGGGAGACTATCCATGTCCTGCATCGGACACTCGGATGAACAAGGGTAAGCTGAAAAGGCAAGGCTTTCATCTGAGGGATGACTCAATACCCTGCTTAACATACAAAATAAGCTCAATCAGACATTCAGATTCAATGTGATTATTCCTGTTCACCCACCATGATCCTGACTAGATGTACTAGATTGTCAAGAGGGAAGTCTGGTAGCCCGAGGGAGGTGGACTCTGCTGTCAACATGGTGGATGCAAACGACAACAGCTGGGATATCCTGGAACCAGACATGTCAGAGTTATATAGTATGACCAGAAATTATTGAGCATTTTAGGAATATGTTTAATTGGATTTCTAGTACAAACAACCTTGACCAGCTATCAAGTGCTTGGTTTCATTCAAGAAAGACAACTCCATTAATCCTTTTTTCAAGGAGTGTGAAGAGTTATCCCCCTTTGTTTACTTGCTAGGAGACGACATTTTCAGTGATCCTCAGTATGGATGATTTAGAGAAGAGGAAGTTGATTTTAGAGTATTATAACAAGGACATCAGATCAGATAACGTGATTTCAAGTAGAGCACCTAGGCCCAGAAAATTGACTGTCAGTGACAGGAGGCGGCTTGGTATTCTTGTTTCTAAAAACAAACGAAGGAGTTTAGAAAACTTATGATAGAGGAACTGTGGTTGTCTGTAAGGAGACAATTAGAACTGAGCTGCATGCAATGGGTTGGCAGAAAAGTCGAGGAATTCCATCACCCATCATGGAACCTGAACAAAAGAAGCGAAGGTTGAACTGGTGCTTACAGCATAGAAATTGTACCTGGGACAATGTGATTTTCTCAGATGAAAGTTCTGTGTGGCTGTTTCCTAACACTTTGAAATTCTAGACCAAACAAACTGAAAAACCTTCATTGGGCCCAAAGTACAGTCCAAAATTTAACGTGTGGGGAGGCATATCTGTGTTAGAGGCAACGCCCCTCTGTGTATTTGAAGGGAGTATGAACAGTGAGCGGTACACAGATATTTTTGAGGGACATTTAGTTCCATCTGCTCGCATGTTCTATGGAAATATTCGGATTTTCCAGCAGGACAATGATCCAAAACATCGTTCAAAGCATTCACAGGCCTGGTTTCAGACCCTAAATATGACATTATTAGATTGGCCAAGCTATAGCCCTGACCTAAATCCAATAGATAGTGTTTGGGGACTTATGAAGGAAGTGTCATTAAGAAAAATCTGACAAATATTGCTGAAATGAAAGAAGAGGTGGTCCAATATTGGGACAGCATGGACCACGACTTTCTAACTTCTTTGATCAGTAGTATGCCCCGCCGCATTGAAGCCTGCATTGCTGCCCATGGGGACTTGACAAAATACTAACTGTTCACCTGTCTTTGAATCTGGAGTTATGTTCTGCTAATATTCACATTTAATACGTGAGTAATGAGTGGAAAAATTTAAATCTTTACAATCTTTAAATTTTCAATAATTTCTGGTTGTTCTACATGCAAACAGAAATGACAAAACCCTTTCCACATCTATAGGAAAGCTCTGCTAAGAGCAAATTTGATGGTACAATTCCATGAGATAAGATGACTGAGCATGTGTTTACGAATCAATATCTAATATGAAATATCTGACATGATCACTGAACAACAGAAACATTCTGATTCTCCTTCTTAAGCATGGCATCGTTACGATAATTTCCATAGGCCTAGAACAACCTTCATGCCATGACATCATAATGAATACTTGAGAGAGTTTTAGTGCACACAACTGTTACCTAATATATGCAGGGATTTACATGGAGTCCTGTATTTGAGGGTCCCCGGGACTCATACTCCTAATTTACAGGGGTCCTGGACAACAAAATGGGGGTCCCAGAAACTTAACCAAACCTGCAGAGGTTTTCAATTCTTTGAAGAGAGTCGTCCTTGGGGTACATATTATGCATTTTCCGGCTGAAAAATGTCCTGTGACAGTTGTATCAATGTTTTTTGAATAAAAAGATTGTACAATAAATAAACTCTTTTATTTATTATATGGACCCTACCTCACGGAGTTACCTCCCTTAGCGCATGCGCACCAACTGGGTAGGCTCCTAGACCCGTATCATCATTCCTTCTGCTGAATTCTTATCAGTGAACAGAATTGCGGGAGGTGGGGAGGCCCTATTTCAAGGATCGACTCTCTTCAAAGAATTGAAAACCTCTGCAGGTTTGGTTAATTCTTTTCAGAGAGATCGCCCTTGGGGTACATATTATGCATAAACACAGACTCCCAAAGACCGGAGGCCAGGGAGGAGGGAATTCTGTCCAAGCACACTCAAAATATAGCGATCAGATCATGGAAAAATTGAACAGACGCCATAACACTCACCTGTCACTGACCCAGTTTCGCCTCCGCCGAGAGGCATTATGGGAGGGGAACTGACAGGGAGGATTTGTGCTCAAAGACGACCTCTAGCATAATGAGACATTGCACGAGTGCTTAATATCAACGAAATCCGACCCACTAAGTGGCTTCTTCATGAGAGCACCGAGGGGAAAACAAAAATACCACTCACTAACGATACAGTAACCCGTGAGAGAATCGAAGGGGTACAGGTTCTCTGAGTGAGCTCACATTAGCAGACATGTCAATAATGGAATCTTATTGTACAGTAGCCAAAACAAACCAATAAACCAAGACTCACTCGTCAGGGTGGCAGGACACTGTCCACTGGAGAGAACAGTACGGCCAAAGTTTGCACGACACGGGAATGCGACGAGCTGATAATGGCGATAAACGTGCTTGGCCGGCTCCAAATAGCGGGCGGAGCAGATCTCTTCAATGGGGAGTGCCGATGCAAAAGCTTTGATGCGGCTACTGCCCTGACCGAGTGAGCCTTCAACCCCTCAGGGGAGGCTTGCCCTTAGCCTGATAAGCCGCACAAATACACGATACTAGCCAGCGCAGACAAAGTCTGCTTGCTCGCTGGCAGACCAGCCTTCCCGCCATCAGAATAACAGAACAGCTGGGTACCCGCACGGATCCCCGCGCTCGCTTGAGATAGACTTTGAGCGCCTTACGGACATCCAACGGTGAGTGCTCGAGGAGTGGTCCCCATGTGGAAGGCTGGGTAAGAGTAGGAAGTTCGATAGGAGCTGTCACATGGAAGCGTGGATCGACCTTCGGTCGGTAAGCATCTGGGAGGCTTAATACTGACACGATCCGCGGTGAAACACAGTCAGCGCCGGTCGATGACATAGCATGTAAATCACGACTCTTCGACCAGATGTTACCGCCACCAGAAAACAGCTTTCCAGGTCAACAACTGAATGGAAATAGCCGATAGGTGTGAGAAAGTGGGACCGACAGCCAATCGAGCACACGATCGACAAATCCCAAGGTGGACTGGTTCGCCTGAGAGCAGGTCGAATCCGCTCCGCCAGCGCAGAAAGCTACGACAGAGGGTGCTGCCCCAGAAGAGCACCATCGACAGGGTGTGAAAAGTGGAAATAGCGGTGGAGTAGCCGAATGGTCGGGCCGCCAGGCCTTCTTCCAAACGAGCTTGCAAAAACTCCAAAACTCGACTAAATCCGCAGAAAAGGGATCTGCAATCCCCTTTATCTGAACACCAGCGCCGCATAGCGGGACCACCTATCCTCGCACTGAACGTTTGTCGAATCCCACCGAAGCCAGAATTGTGTCTGCAACTGCTGCAGGAATTCGCGCGCCTCGAGGTTAGACCTGACAGAGGCCAAGCCACCCACTGAATCCGCGTGGATTTGGGTGGGGCCCGCTCTGAGTGAGAATGTCCGTCGCAAAGGTAATAGAACAGGAGGCTGAGCCAGAAACCTGAGAATTACCGAAACCAGCTCTGTGACGCCAAAGCGGTGCCAGTAGCACAAGTAGCCCGAGCTGGCTGGGTGGACAGCTGTGAAAGGACACGGGAATGAGTGGTAATGGCGGAACGCCCAGAGCACTTTGCCCGCCCAATCCAGCAGGCAGGAAGGCCGGCAGCCAACGCCCCTGGGTCCGTATCCTAGAGCAGAACATCGGTGTCTGATGCGCCCCGCCGACGCAAACAGATCCACCTCGAACGCACCCGCATAACTGGGAGATTACTGTGAATATCTGCCTGTCGAAAGCATCCACACGCAAGGGCCAGGATCCGCGAGAGCCGCGATCTGCTCGCGACGCTCTCCAGCCCCGGAGATAAACAGGAGTACCTGACAATCGCACTGGTCGCTTCCAGAGGAGAAAGTCCCACGCTCCCGGAGGAGCTGGGGACACCGCGGCCTCCCTGCTTCAGGATGTATGCACATGGCCGCCTGGTTGTCTAACTGAAGACGGACTACCTGGCCACGGACATGCTCTCTGAAGCGCCAATACCAACCGCACAGCTCTCAGTTCCAACACGCTGATGTGAAGGTGAGCTTCGCTTCGACCAGAGTCCGAAGCCGACAGACTGCCCAGAACGCCCCAGCCCGTGAGGGACGATCTGTCTGAACTGTGAGAGCTGGCGCCGATTTCCAAGGGGAACCCCTGGTGAGATTCCCGACATTTGTCCACCACTGAAGGTGAGGTGTCAACCACTGGGACTGTGAGACTGCGCCCAGATCCTCCGTGTGAGTCCACAGCCGAGCCAAAGCTTGCTGTATGGGACGATCCTCAACCGCTACCGCCACACTACAGAGATCGCCGCCGCCATATGGCTCCAGTAGACGGAGCCAAGTCCGTGCTGGTGCCTGGGGCTGGGAGAGGAATGAAGAGACCATCTCCCGAACTCTGGTGACCCGGTCGGGCGACAAGGAAACGAGATCCTTGTTCGCTTGAATCGCGCCCAAGAAAACCAAGTCCTGGGTGGGTACCAGGTCGGATTTCTTGAGGTTGATGATCCACCCCAGTCGAAGTTAGAATGTCTATCACTGTGTGAGTAGCATCTTGACTCGCTGGCTGTGTTAGTGCTCCGAGCAACCAGTCGCCTAGGTAAGGGTAACAACGCCTCCTTGCGAAGCGCAGCTAGGGTAGCTGGGACTAACATGAGCTTGGTGAACACCCTTGGGGCAGTCGATATGCCGAAGGGGAGCACCCTGAATTGGTAATACATCCCGCCAGAAGAGAACCGAAGGTACTGCTTGAACGATGGATGTATGGGTACATGCAGATACGCGATCCTTTAGGTCGATTGACGGAGCCAATCGCCGGGCTGAACAGATGAGATCACCGAAGCGCAGTGTCTCCATCTTGAAGGATGGTACTTGAAAGCATGCGATTCAACCCTTGAGGTTGAGAATCGGACGAACCCGCCGCCTTTCTTCGGACAGGAAGTACGTGGAATAAAATCCCGCCTGTTCCTCTCCGGTGGAATGCGCCGATTGGCGGACTTGTCCAGCAGAGCCTGAACTTCGTCCGCGCTAATATGTCCGCCCTGGCTTGACATGACGGCACCGAGTGCGACGATGCCGGTGAAGTCGGGCGACCTCGCCCACAGTGGGAGATGGCCTATGCTGACCGTGGCCAGCACCAAGCGTTGTTGGTAGCCTTCTCCCATTCCGCAGGAATAGAGAGAGGCTGCCTCCCACTGGGATATGGGTAGGAGCGCTGTGTGTAGACCGAAAGTAGCGGAGCTGACTGGGCGTGACACACGGCTTGAGCGGCAGCCTGATGGGTTAACGGGAGGTCGGGGCAGACCTCCCGCGCCCGCGAAAAGGCTAGGAGCTAGTCGAGGACTGCTCCTTGCCCCTACCCTTGGCGGACCTGTTCCTCCGCCTACCCCTACCAAGCGGCCGAAGCCAGCCGGCAGACTCGGGTGTAGGCTGCACCCCGGCGAGACACCCGCGGGTGCTCCAACAAGGCCTTAGAGTCCTTGAAGGAGGTAGCTGCAGCGGCAGCCTCCCGTATGACCTGCTGGGCCCCTGGAAAGAGGGTCGCCCCAGACGGAAAGGGAGGGCCAGCAAGGTCTGCTGTGTTGCTGCCGAAAGTACCTAGACGCCGACAGCCACAGCCGGCGCATCCCCATGACTGCGCACATCACCGTCGACGCAGCAGACCGCAAAGAGTCGCGCGCGAGGTGAGCCTGCACTTCCGAAAGCTGACGGAGCAGCACGACATGCGGCGACACGCCGCCAGCATGCCCTCCCGCCTCCAGGGCCCACCTCTGAACCGAGGTGAGGTAGGCCTCATAGACCACCACCGCACCTGCTGCATCGCTGGCCCGTAGACCTCCTCCTCAGGTCCGTACGCGTCGCAGGGGATGCCCGCGAAGGGCAAAGGTGGAGTTAGCGCTTTGCCGAGCAGCCGGAGCTGTTCGAGGAAGCCGAGCCTCCCCAGGGGCGACGGAAGTGAAAACACATTCGCCAACAATTGGTACAACGAACAGGAATCCTCCCAAGCTGGTAGCGCCAAGACGAAGTTCAGGTAAGTCAAACCTTACTCGGCACCAGACAAGAGGGGATCGACCACGCCCGGAGACCAACGATGGCAGAATGCGGAGCTGCGCCTGTGAGGGTTGCCTAGGGGCAAACGCCGCCAGGCAAGCGGAACTCAGTCGAAGTCCACGCGAACCAGCAGGCACCGCTGCCTGGGGTAGGCCTCGGCAATTCTCTGCCGGACCTCCCGCTAGGTCGGCAAAACGGAAGCCGCCATGTTCCTCGACCTCCCCAAGCTCCATTGCCTCGGCGGCCCCAGCCCGAAGTCAGAGGCTGGTCTCCTCCGTGAAGAGGACCCTAACCCGACCCGGTGGACTGCCTAACGCTAGGAACCACAGGAAGGGAAGAACAGACAGACTGCTCCACGCCAGCGCCAGCCGGCGTCGTGGACCCGGTCCCGGAGACGCTGGAGGCAGGCCAGGCAGAACTGGTGCCTCCGCCTCATGGGGCGGTGTGCGCAAGGACCGGAATACCAGGAATACTCAACGGCCTCGCGTGAGCTCCGAGAGGGGACTGGGAGCCCTCCTCTCCGAGCAGCCGAGGCGCCCGGATCCGGCCAGAGGCAACGGATCTACAGACGCCTCAAGGTCGAGGGATCGAGCCGAGCCCGGCGATCCCACCCTCGACCCTCCACCGGCCCGAGTGGGTGAGGAACTCCTGCCGGAGACCTCCAACCGACTCACTTAACGGAAGGACTTCATCGAGTCCATCTGCTGCTGAAACATAGACTCCATCAGTGACATGTCAAAACCACTCGGGCGGCAGGAGAGGGGAAGGGCCACGGATTTTTCCCTTTTTGACACACGCTTGGACTTAGACGGGGAACCCGCGCCAGGTCCCTCCCGCCACGATTTCGATAGAACAAGGTGTCGGCAGCCCGCCTCTTCTGGGCCCGGGGAAAAGGCCAGACAAATAGGACAGGAGTCAGCCTCATGGCCTGTCTTCTCCAGACAGGCCACGCTAACTGGTATGACTGTCGGCCCGGGATACTCCCCTCACAGACCTAACAGCATGAAAAGGCCTGAAACAAACACGCAAACGTGTTAGTGAACGGCGCGCCAGCAGCATATAAACACGTAGAAAACATTGAAAACTACGGAAGGTTACCACGGAAAGTAATAGTTGGTTTTAATAACGCAATATTATTTACCATTATGGCACGCTAAACTTCCCGCCATGGCAGAGCAACACGCGCGTAACCTAATGGAAAGTTCGCAGATTTTGTATTAATACAAAGTCACAATTATGAAACAACCAACTGTAAAGCTTTACTGTTCTTGTTTTAGACAAATAAAGACCATACATACAGGTGGTGTCTCAGACATAGTCTTTTTTAACAGCGCCGTACGGCTCATGAATGGGTTACTCAAAACACGTCTGTTCACGGCCGTGACAGCAGAAGGAATGATGATACGGGTCTAGGAGCCTACCCAGTTGGTGCGCATGCGTTAAGGGAGGTAACTCCGTGAGGTAGGGTCCGTATAATAAATAAAAGAGTTTATTTATTGTACAATCTTTTTATTCAAAAAACATTGATACAACTGTCACAGGACATTTTTCAGCCGGAAAATGCATAATATGTACCCCAAGGACGATCTCTCTGAAAAAGAATTAAACATTATCATTAATACTGTTATTGTATTGTGTATCATGATCATCACATTGTTACAATAATTAACTTGCAAATAATACCATAACCCAGCTAGTAGCAAACTCAGTGATAACGTATTGTCACTTGATTGGAATTTTTACAAAATGTACTTGGACTTTTTCTGAGTCCCTGTGGATGCTCTAATAAATTTTGTTGCGTCCATTGTCAATGTTTATGTGTATAGGACGCAGGAATTCATGTCCCATGAATCCTGTATATGCAACCAGAATGAATCTGTACATGCTGAAGGAGCTGTGGACTTGTCCATTTACCACTGTGATAACTCTGATCAAGAGCAGCGGTCAATCTGGGACCTTGAACTTAAGGCTAAACAGAATCCTGGCTCAACTAAGGGAAGTAACTTGACAGCTTATACCATTGTCCAACTTGACAGCTTATACCATTGTGCAACTTGTCGGTTTTACTATGGTGCAACTTGACAGCTTATACCATTGTGCAACTTGACAGCTTATACCATTGTACAACTTTATAGCTGATGCAATTGTGCAACTTGATAGTTTATGCCATTGTGCAACTTGACAGCTTATACAATTGTGCAGCTTGAGAGCCTATACCATGGTGCAACTTGACAGTTTATACTATTGTGCAACTTGACAGCTTATACCGTTGTTCAACTTGATAGCTTATACAAATGTGCAACTATATAGCTGATGCCATTGTGCAACTTGACAGCTTATACAATTGTGCAACTTGATGGTTTATACCACTGTGCAACCTGATAGTTTATACCATTGTGCAACTTGACAACTTATACCATTGTGCAACTTGATAGCTTATACCATTGTGCAACTATATAGCTTATACAAATTGTGCAACTTTATAGCATAGGCAATTGTGCAACTTGACGGTTTGTACCAATGTGCAACTTGACAGCTTATACAATTGTGCAACCTGATAGCTTGTGCCAGTTGTGCATTTTGTCGGTTTATACCATTGTGCAACTTTATAGCTTATGCCATTGTTGATCTTGATGGTTTATACCACTGTGCAACTTGACAGCTTATACCATTGTGCAACTTGACAGCTTATACCATTATGCAACTTGACAGCTTATACAATTGTTGTACATAATCTATTCTGGATCAGACAATCATGTGATCAATATTGTGATCTAGGCCATCAAGGTATGTCGATACTCAGTTAACCAAGCTTCTCAGCCTGAACACTAAATCCCCGTAGATGCCTCGTAACACCAGTCTGGGTTGTTTTAACCATAGAATCCCACCAAGGTGCTCACACAATGGGGCTCCTGAACAGATGGGTGACCAATGGGGTTCCCAAAACAGATGGTTGACCAAGTTCCTCAGCCTGGCCCAAAAAATTGATTTAGATGCCCCTTAAGACCTGGAATCCTACCAGTGTGTTCACACATTGGGGATCCCGAACAGATAGTTGACCAATGGACTCATGATGATCTGAATTAAAATTGGTCTTCAGCAATTCGTGCTTGTAGTAGAGAAGACTAAACATAATCCAGTGGTCAAGCTCACCCGCCTTGGTAGATCATGTCATTGTATCCCAATTGCATACATAAATGCTCATGATATCGATCACTTGTTTTTCTGGCCCAGACTCAATTAGTTTGTGGTATATTTAGATTCCTGTCATGAATTGTATTGGCAACATTAAATAACAAAATGAATAAAGAAACTAAAGCAAATGGACAGTATATTCCTACCTTTCGGGAGCCACATTCCTAGTGTTTTCTTGTAAGGCTTCTAAAACTTCCTGAAAGATGAAAAAAATAATGCATGCTAGTCAAATTCATATCCACATCACAGAGAGACCTATCATAAAAACAGTATTATACCTCATAAACATCCAGTTGCAACTGACCAACCATCAGTCTGCATTGGACATTGGTTCAAACTACTACTGGACTGGCAATAATAACATTATGTTGAAAAAGATATACACAAAATAGTAATTGAAAATTGTGAAAAATATTCTGTTGGCATTATTTCAAAATTACCTTAAAAGGCAGGGAATGTACATCTCTAGCTTGAAACCGGGAACGTAAAGGTGGATCTAGTGGGTTTCCTTGGTAACGTGGAATTGGCAAGCCAAGAGCAATAACTCTAAAGCGTTCACTAACTCGCACTAGATTGAGAGAATTCAGTTCTTCCTCTGTATGGTCCTGGAGCAGTTTATCATATCTGTCCGCAGCCACCAGGAAGCGGCCATCGTCAAGCTGCATTTCACGATTTTCAAGAAGGTTATTTAACACTGGGAGCACATTCCTCTCCGCTTTTTCAATTCCTTCCAAAACCAGAATTCTTCCCTCCAAAGCAGCCCTTACTGCACACTGAAGTATAACAACAAATAGGTAATGCTCAAACAATTCAACAAAGGACAAGGCATTAGTCAGGTTAACGGTCGGGAATCAAGCTGCAAAGTCGGATATTATAAGACACTTCGTCAAATCTGCCCTGTGCCACAAAGTGAGCATAGTGCTGTTATGATCATAACTCCCATAGCTTTAAACAAATCTCAAGAAAGGTCAAATTTTGACCAAAGTTGAGGATTCATTGCCCTGTGCCACAAAATGAGCATAGTGCTGTTATGATCATAACTCCCATAGCTTTAAACAGACTTACGATCATCATAGAACTAAGGTGGTCATAATTTAACAAATTGGGTCAGACTTGGTGATTTGGTTAATGAAGTGTCATCATAGCCTGACAATCGATCACTGAGTTGTCAGGTCCCGATAGGATTATTTAAAAACAATTCAAAGGATGACTGGGCAAGTGGACTGGACAATTACACAGTTGTCAAATAACCAGTTAAGCTGTGGAGTCTGACAACCTAATAACATGTATCACCTCTCAAGCTCCAAGTTTGAGTTGGTACAGAGTTAACTAAGCTGGTTGCCAGAGGTTTAGTTGGATTAGTTGGTCAGACTGATGACAACTGGTCATGATATTGTATGGTCTGGATGACGTTATAGATCGGCTGTCATTCTATTGCTTGAGACAGTTTATTCTGAATATTACTCCATTTAAAATTGGAATTACTTTTCAATTTCTTTTTTTGACAATATTGCATTAACATTTGTCAACAACACAGACAATACTGTGAGGCCTTCATTTCATATTACAATAAATCACTGTCTATTTCCTGAAATACCAACCTGGTCAATGTAGAATGCTGTTCCACCTTGTATCTCTCGTCTCTGTTTGAGGTCAGACTCGGTCGTATCTCGAGATAATGAAATGTACTCTGACTCACGCTGGGTCAACTCCTGAAACATAGTGGTGAATAAGTTCAAATTTAAAATCAGGTACCTGTAGGTAATATTTAGTGAGAGAGTGAGTTAAAACCTATAGAAACATCAGCAAAATTTCAGCCCTTTTGTGAGAGAGTGAGTTCAAATTTAAAGAAACATCAGCAATATTTCATCCCTATTGTAGAAAGCCAGCTGCTCAAGTAAACTGGCCAATTTTCAAAAAGAGGAAACCAAGAATGTGTTCATTAGTGTTGGGAATTGGTTGAAATCTAACAATTGATGATTGGTTCCATACCAACGACCAATCATCGAAAAAAGTTGGTTCGCGTTAGTTTTTAGATTTTCCTATTCAGGTTGTAGTTGCAGATAAGAATAAAGAAAAAAAACATTTGGTTCTCTGTTGTTGTTTTTCGTTTATTTAGAAACTGCACAAATTACAATATTTTGCAAATTTCACATCCAGTGTAAAATGATTCAGTTCCAGTGTAACATTAACTTCCCAGATTCTTCCCAAATATTCAGTAATGACTTTTCAGAAAGTGAAGTGAGTTTTCTAAGAATTAAACACGTTTTCCGGCCCTGACAACGTCCTAGATATGTTCGATCATCAAGTATTTCAAACTCTATTTCAGCGGTTCCAAAATCGTTTGTGTTCGATTATGAGAAAATGTGATCGATTGCTTGGTTGTTTGGCCACTGCGACCAATCTTCGATTATTTCAATTAATCGGAACACCACTAGTGTTCATATATGAGAATCAAAACACAATCATCTGCATGACAAAACAAAGGTAGGGTTCTACCTTGACCTATAATTCTAGGGTTCAGGAGACCCTAATAATTACTTGTCCTTACAGCCAATATGAGGTTAATCTAAAGGAATGAAACAGTGGACTACTGAAACATTAGAGAACTACTTTTGCTACATGACATTTGTGGAGGTACATTTTTCATGTCAAGAATTAGGTACAAACAATATCATTGCACATATCTCTGAATACAATATATTTCTCTCTGCCCAATTCTACACATTCTTACATGCGAGATGCACACATCTGTGTCATTTGAAAGTCTGCACCTTGTATTTACCAGACAAGTTCAGTGGTGATACACCTGCTTCCATGTACAGATTAATGAAACAACATTTGATGGACAGAACCTACCAGATACATCATTGCCACCTCTCTCCGGAACGGTCCAGGCGGTCCTATAAGAAACACATCCTGTCCTAGCAGGTCCTGTAACCATGGAAACAATAACTGTAAGCAACTTTAACCACTAGTCCAATGCCAGAGCGTAATAAGGTTTCTTCTGGTCCATAAATTAAGACAAAATTTATTGAAAATAACGCGAAAATACAACTTGTGATCTGTACAAACCTTTTGCATGATCCATCTCAGGTGCCGTAACACGGACTGGGAGACATTGGCCGGCACTGGAAGCAGAAACGTTTTCACAGTAAAATAGGGCAACTCAGGTATTTTGTTAACTGGTAGATTTCATATGTGAAAACACATATCCATGATCTAGCCAACTCAAAATACATTTGTTCAAGTGTTTTACTTGCCTAAACTTACAACCTCATGGCTCAGGCAAATCACTGAGAACTGTGGAGAGGAACTTACGATATTTCCGGGGCACAAGCTCTGGGTTTTTGGCATCCCGCAAGATGATGCTGATATCACCGATACTTGCCCTCGTCCCATCTGCAGGAGAGAGAGACTCACATGTAGCTATGGTAATACATCAAACAACATGCCAAATGGAATACATCATTGTCATGCCCATATAAGGCAATATTTTACAGATGCCTGTCTCATTCCATTTTCCAGGTAAAAAACACGTTAGATTAGAGTTTTATTTTCCTTTGTTTCATATTTGCGGAAAAAGCCCTTGTTTACATGAGTAGTTTCTTCATCTGAATAAAGGACATATGCTCAATCTTCCAGTGCTTTTGACATGGTACAGGTTTTGCACTCCCTTTGTAGTATGGTTCATGTTGATTAAAGGTCTGCCTTTTTTCGAGGTCATCATAATCATCATAAAAATAATCATTTGAAATTTATAATCTGTTAGTTGCCCTATATCCAATGTAATATTTTTTGTAATTGGGGCGACAATTTTCAAATGTTTACTCAACCCAGTCATCAGTTCAGTTAGTACTGGGGAGCGCACCTGTCTGGCGTACAAGAGATGATAGGCTGTCTCGCGTACACATTACGTCTCTGACTGATCATTTTGACAAGTTGAAATCTATAAATAGTAAAATGTTAAATACGGTCTGTTTGGTCCTAGTGCCACCAAACATAATGCTGCATGAGACTGAAAACACAACTGGATTGTCTGTTGATCGAATATATTACTCAAAAAAAGTTAAAGAAAACACAGTTTTCACAATATGCATATGCAAGACGGTCCCTAGGTACGCGCACAAGTGACTACATAAGAGGGGGTCACTCATTCGCATGACTGCCTGATCTCAGACAGAGAAATTTTGCATGTCACACAAAAACATGTCTAAAAGTAGTGAAACTGAAACAAGATTTGGTACATTTAAAGACAGGTGTTCAAGTTATTGAATGACATGAATGAAAACATAAAATGATAAATCAAATAGACAAAAATGTGCAAAATTGAAGCAAACATTTGACGAAGTCAAAAACTAATGATTCCTATGTTACTATCTGACACCTAAATACCAGTAAAATACATCTGACAGAGTCATAGGCGGATCCAGAGGCGACGCACGCACTCGCACACCCTTTTGTGCTGAAAGTTTGTTGAATGACCATTGAAACTCGGGTGAAAATGACGTGTGCACCCCCCCCCTTTCTCAAAAAGCTGTATCCGCCCCTGAGAGTACCAGTAACCATGGCAACAAGAGGTAGGCCACCTAAATAAGAATTATGGACAGCTTGGGGCATTGCTAAGTTGGGGTGATTTGTGTCTTAATGTCACTGTAAGATTATAGTGGAATTTGCCTGCCATTTACGTATTGCCAGGTTGCTGAGATATGCAGCATATAATGACTACCCAACTCAGACATAGTGACAGACTGACTACTGACTCGACCAGTCCTCGTTTCATTCCCATTTTGCCGCAGGCAGGGCAACAACAAGTGCCATCTTTTGGTATGATGCGGCCGGGATCGAACCACCGACCGACCATCCGCGATGTATACATAAGTTAAAGGACGAATGTACTCATCGTCGCATGCTACTTGACCACTGGCTCACAGCTAATCAACGAACTTCGCGACTGTTAAGATTTGTCTTACATAAGGACCTTTGACCGAATGACCGTTCTATGAGTACCACTGCTTATTTTCGCTATGTCACTCTAAAAAAGGATATAAACATTACAAATTTCAACTTAATTTGACGTTTTTATTTATTTTCTTTACCTCCGCTTGATGATGATAGCCGTATCCTCAGTCCAGATCTGGCTCCCGAGGGGCTCAGCACCGCCTGCAAGTGTTTCAGGCGCCTCCCAGCCCCCTCCATGCTCACCCTACTGAGGATCCACATGTGATGTACCTGTGCCTACGTTCCCTAAACTGTCACATTGCTGCCGTCCATATCTAGGTCGCAAACAGGTGCAAAGTACTTGCAATAGGTCCAAAGTTCACGTTATGCAGGGCGCAGCCATTACTGTTTGCGTATACTATTTTCTGTAAAACGTATGAATAGTTTATCATACATGACAGCAAAAGGTCCTGGTATGGTGCATATTTCTCTTCGCTGATAATGAACTAAAATAGTACAAAATTTGCGTTTAATAGTAAATAAAAGGATTTAGTCAGCAGAATAATTGTTACAAGAAATATTATTTAAACGATACACATATAATATACATTTCTAGGGGTATAAGTGTACGAGTTACGAAATGATAGAGGGGTATACTCCGATTGGGTTGTGGTTAAACTGGATTCACCATTGGTACGCGCTAGAATCTTAGCGCTAAAAGCTAAACAGGTGTCCAGTCACGATTGAAACCCTTATGCACGATATAATTATTAAAACCTAAAACTACGTAGTATTGTCGTTTCGTTGCAGTACGTTTCTTTGTACTTTTGTTGATTTACGTTCACGATAGTATGAAAATGCAAGAAAAAAAATAAAAATTCGTAAAATAACAAAAATATTTAAATGAATGAAACCTCCTAATTTATGTTCATAATAAGTGTCCCACCCCTTGCCCCACCGCAATGCGTGTAGAAAATAAAGACCACCGCTTAGTGCTGGTACACGTACAAAATTGATGACAGCCTACAGCCCCAGATCAAAATGGGTGACAGACCATCCCCCTCAAAAACCATCACACACACAGCCTAGTGGTTAAAGCGTTCCCTCGTCACGCCGAAGTCCTGTGTTCGAGTCCCAAACAAGGGTACAATGTGGGAAGCCCAATTCTGGTGCCCCCCGCCGTGATATTGCTGGAATATTGCTATGAAAAAAACGGCGTAAAAACTAAACTCACTACTCGCGTGGATCCGGAGTAGAATAGATCCCCACACCTATTCTCACGAAATGTGCACCATTTGTAATTTTATGTGTCTCCGCATTAAAAAAACAAACTTTTTAACTGATTTCACCTGTTCATTTCATGTTTATATTAGGCGACAAGTATTCGGACACTTAACGTACTTTCCATACACTTACATGTTATTTCAGTGTAGCATACGTAATTTTCATGAAGTGAGTTTAGGATGGATCTTTGTGAATTTTTACAGGCAAATTTGAAATCATCTCTGCTCTGCGCACATAATTTCAGTTCAAATTTCCGACCACTATTTAACTAATGACATCACATTTATCCACTTACGTATGGTTCCACAATGCACAATCCCATAGGCCTCCATGTTCAAGGAGTTCACGGCACTGTACATATGTTGATTAAATTGTTGCCATTCGATTAATATGCAACGGAAAATTAAACAGAAATTATGTGATTGTAGGTACGATGATTCCTCACAAATGTGAAAAATTTGACTTAGATCTTACGAAAATTAAATTCATGAAAATTATGTGCTACACTAAATTAACATGTAAGTCTATGGAAATTGCGACAAGTGTCCAAATACTGTTTGTTGCACGATTCTGTAGTTCTCTGTTGATTGAGTGCAGGAATGGATACAATCTCAGATTCTACTCTCCACCAATTCATCAGCATAGTCATGTTCCTGTTGAGGTTCCTCCTCACAGGACAATGAATAGCAGCAAAGGCATTGTCGGTGATAGTGGACGTTGGCTTTCAGACATGAGTGAACATGATATTATGACAGAATTGCACCCCAAAGGAGTTGAAGATGATACTGATGTCGAACACGTATCTCTTCACATTTGGTCTTCAGTTGCATCTAAAATAAATGAAAGCGGCATATTGCTACTTCAGCGTGGATACAGTTATCCATAATCCTTTGAGTTGCTATACCTGTCGAAAGTATGATCATGGGTCCAAATCTTGCCACAATCCAACCAACGACGTCTCACACGTCTCAGGCGTCTCACAATGTCTGTAAGACATCGTCTTTATGTGTGCATTAACACTCGTGGAGGAAACACAAGATACCGACCACAAAAGCATCCTGGAGTGTACATTGAACTCGATAACAAATTTCAAACCCTATGATTTAAATTGTGAGACTGACATTTCAATTATCCCTCTGTAAATTTAATATGTTTGCTTTGTTTATTTTGTTTACCATTGTAAATACTGTGGAAGTCATCCATCATTCCAATACAAATGAATTTTCCTTCAATACATTTGGTTATTGTTTCCTATAACGGTTTTCGTCATGGGACACTTTCGCTAACATTTAGTTTATAATATACACTTAAAACGGTATTTTGGAAAATATATATCATCGTCAATATCAATTGTTAAATATACAACGAGACTGATGCAGACTGAGTTAGGTTATACTTATAAATAGAACTAAATGCATGTGTGTTGACCACAGAGGAATGAGAAGAGATAAACAGTCTCTACGATGACCAGCCCTGTGACTACCTTCGCCAGCTCGTACATCTGTAAGTAGCCACCAGCTCTTAGATCAATGGATACGCTCAGACATCCACAGCCAAGCACTAAAACCTCCATGGGTGATAGAGCCTTTTCTGTAGCAGCACCAGCTCTATGGAACAATCTTCCTGTCACCCTCAGACGAACTGAGTCCCAGCCATCATTCAAGAACTTGCTGAAAACCTACTTTTTCAAGATAGCTTTTGAACAGAACTCTGTTGTACTCGAAAGTGTACACTAGGCGCTATGCAAGCCAATTATTATTATTATTATTTTACAGATTAGAGATGAAAATGCAGCAGAGAAGGTTCGGGTGGTCCTGGCACAGTCAGGCTGGTAATGCTCATCATCAGCTCAGGGTCCTCGCCCCCTCTACACGCAGCCCAGATATAGGGAATGGGACTTCTCCCAGGAAACACTGCCTAGTCGAACCCACCAAGAACTTTCCGGAGAATATGAAGGCTCCCCAACACTGCAGCCTTCTGCATTACCAAGAGTGTCAGAAGGGCTGTGCTCCCGGTGGAGAACCCGGGCACTCTCCTGATCTGCGCCAAGAGATCAGGATGTACCAAACCCAGGGCACCGAGAACAATGGGGAGCCTGACGACAGTGTGCTTGGGATGCAAGCGAGACATTTCAAAGGCGAGGTCCACATACTTAGTATGCTTTTCCTGAATCTTGTCAATGACATTGCTGTCAAAGGGGACATAAAATTCGATGATATATATAAATTCATTGGTTTTATCAAAAAGGACAAGATCAGGTTTGTTGGCTGGAATTCTTCAGAGGCTGTATATGGGCCTATTCCAGAGAAGTTTGAAAGCATCATTTTCCATGACGACCTGGACATGTTCAGGGTCGTACCATGGATGGACCTCGGAGTCAAAGCAACAGGCATGTCGGAGACGGTAGTAAAGGCAACGAGCCATGCCATCATGTCGTTTAAGATAAGCTGTTTGTGCCAAGGAAGGGCATCCACTGACAAGGTGTTGACAGTCTCTGTGAATTCATTGCACAATCGACATTTCATGTTAATATTTTCTTTAAGAATCACATTTAGGCGATTGCGAGTGGGAAGTGTCTGGTCATGAGCAGCAAGAAGGAAGCCCTCAGTTTTACATTTGAGACCAGCCGACTTCATCCAGGCGAAGGAGTGGGTGGGATTGCTATTCTGTTCCACACACTGCATGTACACGCGGTGCAATGGCTTCTCAGAAAGCTTCTCCACAAATGACCGACTCTGGGCAGACTTGGTAAAGGACTTCACCTGGTTTACTCCCATCGCTGTACCGTCCAGCAGTACATCGCCATCACCAAAGTCAAGCTCAAATTTCAGATTCTGTCCAACAACCTTGGCACGCTTAACATAGCTGTGGAATTCCTTGCTTTCATCATGAGTCTTCACATGCATCACCAGAGGATCATCCGATAAATAAATATGTGCAAAGGTACACAATAAAATTATATCACGAAGAGTCTGCACATTAATCAAACCCCGACCTCCAAAACTGATTGGCATATATAAACGGTTTAGAGAGGAACCAGGGTATCAGACATGATCCTTCTGGTCAGGCGGTCAAGACTTTGGATGTCTTGTTTTGTCCAATCAACTACTCCAAAGGAATAGGAAAGGACTGGCACAGCAAAAGTATTGGTGGCTTTGACTTTGTTTCGAGCATTTAGCTCTGTGCTCCAGATTTTCTCTAAGCGAGATTTGTACTCGGTCCGAAGTTTGTCTTGAATTTGGGAACTCTGGAGCTTGTCTCGAACTTTCATTCCAGGATTATTATTATTATCATCAGTAACATTAAAGTAAAATTGGTATCTCCTTTGGCAAGGAGCTCGATGTCATCCATGTAAAGGAGATGAGTAAGCGGTGTTGGGGATCTGTGCTGAGGAGGTCCGGGATGGTAACCCTCCTCTCTGTTGAGCAGAAAGCTCAAAGGATTTAGAGTCAAACAGAAAAGTAATTGCAAAGGACTAAAGGAGTCCCTCTAGAAACTCCCCCTTCTGATTGGTATAGATTCCGAAGTCTGCACCTACATCTCAAGTTGAGTCGACCAGCAACTCATTAAAGACTTGAGTAAATCAAGTAGTTGCTCCGGGAGGTCAATACAATGAAGAGACTTCAGAATCCATTCGTGAGGGGCAGAGTCGTATGTTTTTTTGTAGTCAATCCAGCACATGGAGAGTTAAAGCAAAATACTTAGAGCTATACACTGTTCTTTACATCGGGTAGTTACCGAAACAAGGGATCGATGGGAAAGGGAAAAGGATCATTCCAATCCACCACTTGGAATAAGAATACAAACAAGTATTTATGTAGTTAAAATTGATTTTGGCGATATAGCCTCAACTCAGGTTTCTTCATCTTCAACATGTAGTTAGTAAAACCTGAGATAGACCTAACATTAACAAAACTGAAATCTGGAACAAACCAATAAATTCACAAACAACAAAATAATGAATTGGAAACACTTTAGATGCTTACAAATTTATCGTCACAGATGGATCCAAGTGCGGTGGCACAGGTGCTGGTGCCACTAGCATTGGACCCAGAACAATATCTTCAAGATTTCCTGGTGCCAGCTCCATTTCACACCAGAGGCTAATACTGTATCAACAGCACTAAAATATATAATCAGTCTGGGTATAAGCCGCCACGGCGTTGTTGTGGTTAGACCGTCCGCCCAGAGAGCGGAAGGTCGCGGGTTCGATCGACCGCGTCATTACAAAAGACGTTAACATATTGCACTTTTTTGGTCCCTGCCTGGCGCTCGGCATTAATGGGTAAAACAAGGACTGGTCGGTACGGGGTCAGTATAATGTGTCTGAGCATGGTATTTCAGTGAGCCAGCACTATAGACCAGCGTAAGTCTGGTCTAGTACAAGCAGCCACACATACACACGCATGCACGTTAATTGTCACATGAGCGAAATATTCTTCAGTACGACGTTAAACCCCGTTTCACCTCCCTAACTTCTAAAGTATAAACAGTCCATCATATTTTCAGATTCTCTCTGGTGTCTCCAGGCTATTAAAATTTGTCTTCTATACATCCACATTCTTTAATTGAAATTATTGAATTCTGCAATTACCTTGCTATTGGCCAATACGATAGCGTCTTTTGTTTCTTAGCAAGCCATGTTGGAATCCCTTGTAATGCAATGGCTCATGATGCAACGCTCAACAAATCTGTGAAACATTTCTTATCCCATATACAGCGATTTTAAACCTGTCATGAGATGTTACACTCGGAATCTAATGCAAAAGAAGTGGGACACCCAAGTAGGTATCAATAAATTAAATGAAATCAAACCAACTATTGGTTACACCTACTTGGTGTAAATACACCTTTCATTTCGCACACGTGAAGATCCGGGTTAGAATTTATCTGCAGTAATCCATGCTTGTCATAAGAGGCGACTAACGGGATCGGGTTGTCAGGTTCGCTGACTTGGTTGACCCATGTCATTGTATCCCAGTTGCGTGGAGCGATGCTCTTGCTGTTGATCACTGGATTGTCTGGTCGAGACTCGATTATTTACAGACCGTCGCCATATAACTGGAACATTGCTTAGTGCGGAGTAAATCTTCATTCACTCACTCACTCACTCAAGTTCTCAATGGTTATTCAAAGAAAGCATGTTAATAATATAAACACGTATTTATTTGTTCAGGACCTAAGCGTTCAAGATTTGTTCTGTTAACACGATGGACAAATTATTGTTTCAGATTAATGTTTCTTGACATTCATTACCAACTGGTCACGTGAAGATATTTCTGAGACACAACTGCACAAAACATTTTAAGCGGATGTTCGGTGCCTTCGAAACATGTTTACCTCCCTTTGATTACAGGACGTTGACAACTGCGAGCTAAGCACAGCGAAGTACATAAAAGTGATATTGTAAAATCGCCGGTATGGCGACAAATATGGAGGTAGATACACCTAGGACAAGTGTAATGGCCACTGCAGGAACGTCGGGCAGCGTATCGGTGGCTCTCCATCCCCTCGTCATCATGAACATCTCCGAACATTGGACAAGGGTCCGTGCACAGGAAGGAAAGCCGATGCAAGGTGTTGTTTTTCACTGTCTACATTAAGGCCAATACCATTGTACTTTAGATATATGTGCCGTCTTTGGGACTGTATTTTTAAAACAGTGACCTTATTCGGGTCAACTATGAAGGACAGTTTGATGACTCATGTTTCTGTATTGCAAATTTGTCATTAAAATTTTGGGTCACTATGCAGCTGCACTATGGTAAAAATCATAGAGTCCTACTTTCGACATCTTTTTACTATTGTGAGGTAGAGTAAGCGACCTCTTTTAAAGAATTAATCCGAGGCAGTTTGAGGAAGCATCAAGCTTCGAGTTTTGTAGTCTGGAACCGAGATTGGATCCTACAGTCAAGATATGATCATGATACAGGGTCATCTCTGGACTGTATGACCCAGTCGCAACTTTAGACTACAAGTTGGTAAGAGCTCCTTACGTAACCCCCACCTAATTTTTAACTATAAACTATAGACTAAACTATAGTGTTTGCTCATCACAAAATAATATTTAAGGATGAAGGTATTTGCTGAAGTCATTCAAGTCCATGACATATAAAATTGTTGGAGAGTTGCCTAATCTTACTAATGGCACATGTCCTTTTTTCCAGTTCTGGGTGCACTGATCGGACAGCAGAAGGGGAGGAACATTGAAGTGATGAACTCCTTTGAGTTGGTGTTTGATGTTGTAGAGGGCAATATCATCATCAACATGGACTACTACAATACCAAGGAAGAACAGTGTAAGATTATAGCCCTACAGTCGCATTAAACATCAGTAGGGTCATGGTGACATTCATCTGTAATGACTGCCTCCGTGGTATAGTGGTTAGAGCGTCCGCCCGGAGAGCGGAAGGTTGCGGGGTTCGATCCCCGACCGCGTCATACCAAAAGACGTTAAAATATGGCGTTCGGCATTAATGGGTACGACAAGGACTTGTCGGCTCGGAGTCAGTATAATGTGTCTGAGTGGGGTATTCATGCTTCACTGCGGCATGGTATCTCAGTGGGCTAGCACTATAAAACCAGCTTAAGTCTGGGCTAGTACAAGCAGCCGCACACATACACATACACACGCATGCACGTCGTCATATGAGCGAAATAATCTCAAGCAAGACGTTAAACCCAATTTCACATCACATTCCATCATCTGTAATGCTTAAAGGTCACATGCAACCAAAAAATCAAACATAATTAAAACACAATTATCACTTCTTCATGACATATAATATGCATTGCTGATTATGAAAAAACTACTAAACAAAATTATAAGCGTATAATCGCAAATCAAAAGTGCAATATTTTGTACTTGGGTTTACCTCCCTCGAAACGAAGCAGCCGGGATACCGAACCCAGTCAGAGCGGGTGGGTGTGCACTCTAGTGTAACGGCTGGTTCATTAGCAGATGCCGCCTTCACGGCTCATTGTGTGTGTATATATGGAGATGTTGGGTTTTGTAAATACATGCTCATTTTTTGTGTATAACATTTTGCAATCAACAGACATCATAACATGTCATGTGTTCAAGTATCACACCTGCCTGTCTGTGTAATTACATAATGTGACAGAGACCGAACTCGGGCCATAAATCAATGCGTTTTGTTTATGGTGTATAGCCTGATTGGTGTTAAGTTCAAATTGCATGTGGTCAGTGATCGCAGTTGTGTATTGAATATTGTCATTAGCAGACAGGCAGGCAGACACACAGGTGTCAATAAAACAAGAAATTGAGTTTTGTCTGTGACAACGACATATCTATATCACAGTTAGAAATTCTGTCAATGCTAAATAATGACATTGCTTTTAAGTATCGAACTGAGAAAGTGACTCGGTAAGAAGAACGTGAGGTGAAATAGACAAATGAAATTATATAAACAGTTTATTTACTGTCATAACATATAAAAAGCTCGCGCCTGTGAGATATCAACAAATCATTTGGAAAATAGCTCACACCAAAGCCTTCACCGAGTATTCACCAGACAGCCCGCTTCCAAGCTGCGCGAACCTATTTCACTGCGCACATGCTATGAGCGCAGCCCAGCTGTTGAAACCCGTTTTCCCCCGAAATTTTCGGGGGAAAATTAATGAATCATTTTAGATTTGAATCGTTTGAACTCCGATTTTCAACTTTATAACTTGAATTTGCATTTTTGATGATTTGTTTCGGTACGTCCATACCGAAAGGTATCAGAATCTGCAAAGTTGTGTTTTACATTGCATGTGGCCTTTAGGGATATGGGTCATAATGACATCGATCAGAAATGCTTGGGGAAATCTTGGGGGGGTCATGTGTAAACATGATTTAGTTCCGAGTAGTAAATGTTCCGGTTCGGAATAAATGCTGTGAAATTGAGAATGGATGACACGAATAAAAATTTCGCACATACGGCAAATATTCCATCGAACAGGAACAAATACCGTAGGCCTAACCTATTCCAGTCATTATTGAATGCAAAATGGACTCATCCAACTTGTCAACATCCGGGATGTCTACTAACTGTAACTTTGTTACATGCTGACTGTAACCTGGCTTCTAACTGTAACTTGGTTACATGCTGACTGTAACTTGGCTACTGACTATCTGTAACTTCGTTACATGTTGACTGTAACTTGGTTACTGACTGTAACTTGGTTACATGTCGACTGTAATTTGGCTACATGCTGACTGTAACTTGGCTACTAACTGTAACTTGGTTACATGTTGACTGTAACCTGGCTACATGTCGACTGTAACTTGGCTACATGCTGACTGTAACTTGGCTACTGACTGTAACTTGGTTACATGTCGACTGTAACCTGGCTAATGACTGTAACTTGGTTACATGTCGACTGTAACCTGGCTACTGACTAACTGTAACTTGGTTACATGTTGACTGTAATCTGGCTACTGACTAACTGTAACTAGGTTATATGTTCACTAACCTGGCTACTGACTGACTGTAACTTGGTTACATAGTGACTGTAATCCGGGCTACTGACTGACTGTTAATTGTTACATGTTGACTGTAACCTGGCTACTGACTGACTGTTAATTGGTTACATGTTGACTTTAACTTGGCTACTGACTAACTTGGTAACATGTTGACTGTAACCTGGCTACTGACTAACTCTAACTTGGTTACATATTGAATGTAACCTGGCTACTGACCAACTGTAACTTGGTCACATAATGACTGTAACCTGGCTATTGACTGACTGTAACTTGGTTACTTGTTGACTGTAACCTGTCTACTGACTGCAACCTGATTAATGAAGGTAACTTGGTTACATAATAGCTGAACTCTTTTTAACACAAGATTCATTTAGAATCATCAGTTCGCATTCTGGGGAATCTACAATGTATTTTCATAAAAAAATTAAGTAACTTTCACACATGATAATTGCTTCTTGATAGCCACATGATTTGTTCCATATGGAACAAATACCGTAGGAAAATCTTTTTTTTCCTTTCCGTTTGCCCCACGCCCCAATTTTTAAGACCACCCCAACAAACAAAACCCTCTTTTAGACACTTTATGGTGTGTGTGGAAGTTCCTCTTTACCCGGAATAAATTCTGTGTGCGGAACGAAATAATTGTTCCGCATGCACTATTACAGGAACAAATGTTGGAATGAAAAGTTCCGACGGAACTTTTACTGTGGGGGAACCAAATCTTTTTTACACATGATGGCATTGATCAGTAATGCTTGGGGATCTGGGTCATTATGACATTCATCTGTAATGCATGGTTGGGGTCTGGGTCATAATGACATCAATCAGAAATGCTTGGGGAAATCTTGGGGTTCATGATCACATTGATCAGTAATGCTTGGGGATCTGGGCCATTATGACATTCATCTGTAATGCATGGTTGGGGTCTAGGTCATGATGACATTCATCTGTGATGCATGATTGGGGTCTGGGTCATGATGACATTCATCTAATGCATGGGTGGGATCTAGTTTGAATGATAAAGTATTCTTTAAAATGTTCTCAAACTAGTTTTAGTAAAATCTGTAATAATCCAGTTGTACTGTTCATCAGTTACAGGTATATATACAGTCTAAATGTGGAAATCATAATTGTACAACTCATAATAATATTGTGGAAATATTACTTACGTGACATTAAGTGACATAAATTTATTAGTACTGCAGCTGTTCACCGAACTCACAATATTAAAATGAATATGTTTAGTTGCTTAAAGCATGAGTTAGTGTAATCGGATTGATAGATGATATTTTTCCTTATCCTGACTCATGCTCTTTTGCTTGTCTTCTTCTTCTTGCGAACATAGTGGAACACTTGTATCTCCTTAATTGAAGCTCCCTTCAATGTAAAATCACTAATTGGTACTCACCACGAGTTGCCTCCCTTGCCCTTTTGGCGGGAACAGGTGTCGCCACCCTCTGGCCTCATGCTTCACTCTCTCCTTCTTCGACCAGTGAGCAGGATGTGAGAGCGCCTGTGTCTCCTTACACACTATATCCTTTGGTTTTTGCTTAGTTTATTACCTCTTATAGGTTACTATAGAGGTATAGCTAGTATCCTTCATTAATTTGCATTGATATTTAATCGTATTTCTACTGTTTATTCACGTGGAGTTCGTGATTGTTCAGCTAGTATTTACGTTGATGAAAATCTGTACTATTTGCAATTTACGCTTTTCAATTGCTGACCCGCATGTATTATGCCCTAGTTGTGCTACGCCAGCGTTTGATACACGTTGCAGTTACTGCATTAATCTATCCAATTCTGCTTTTCATAAATATCTTTGCGTCGTGAGACGTACCGCAGATAGATCACGCAAAACAAGGGTTAGACATGGCCGATACATCGGATTCCCCTTCCAGTCAGCTGCTGTCGATAGACCCCTCCCGCCTGGTGTTTCGCAAGAGACTCCCGCCGAAGATGGCGTGGGATGCAGTCCGCCAACACTAAGAAGCGCCCTGCCTTCCCAGACGCCCCGTCATCGCAGATAAAGTCCAAGAGGGCTAATACCGACGCCTTCCCAACGCAGACTTCGGACCCCAGGGCAGCGTCGACATCTAAGGAAAGTTCCACGGTCGCCAAGAACTTTCTCAGCCGAGATTGTTCCAGCCGCGAACTGGGCCTCTACGATGATCAGCCGATCATCATCCCTGACGACGCCACAAGAAGCGACCGTGACAGCTACAGTGACATCAGCAGAGATCGCCATGCAGCCTGATGCCTCTACACTGATGTCAGACGACTTCCTGAGGGTCAGCAGCTGTCATCGCAGAGAGGGCACCGACTACTTCGTCGCAGACCATCCCAGACGAGCTGTTGCGGCAGATCATGACCATGATGGAGGGCCACTACAGTCGGGGGAAGCAGCCAGCCCAGGGCCCGAGCAACGCAGACGATACCCCAGAGGCACCCCCAGTCAGCGTAGCAGCCACGACGAAGCAGCCTTCGAGAAGGAAGTCACAGACCACCTCAACGAAGGACGAGATGTACAGTCGCCGCCAAGGCCTTCGCGAAGACGGAGAGATCGTCATCATCCTCGCCTCCCCTCAGATGCAGACTCAGACCACCAGACGCCACGGAAACCGCCACACGAAGTCAAGGCGCCGCTCCCCAGGTCCGACGCAGAGGAAGCTGCACGAAGGCCGCCACACAGATCGTCATCGTCCAGAAGGACGTCGAGGGACTATTCAAGAGCTTCACGAAGCCGTCAACATTCTCCTCGCAGATCTAGGTCTTCCCATAGACGCAGATCACCTAGACGATCTCCACGCCGTTCACCACGCCGATCTCCACGCATATCACCTCGCAGGTCATCACACAAGTCGGCACACAGGTCTACACTCAGGTCTCCCCGAGTGTCACCCGACATAGAGATAGCAGCCCAGAGGTCACCATCAGAAGAGCATCAACCTCTCATCTCCGATGCTGGTACAGAAGATGATGGAGGCATCATCTTCTCAGACGCTGAGATAAGATATTGGATGGTAAACAACCTAGATTTATCTTCACCGTCCAAGAGTGGCAACTCAGCGCAGACATACCTGATGAAGGAAGACGATGCAGACGCCATCACCTTACCTCCGATCGACCCGATTGCTGCGGTGCCACATAATCTAGATACAGCCTTCATTAAAGCTACGAAAGTGCAGACTCCACATCTGCCGAACTTTCACGCTAAGAAGTTCTCCACGCACAACATGGACCCCTTCCTGAAGGCACAAGACATCGATGAAAACTACAAGCTGATCAGCGATGTTAAGAACAAGAACTACAAGATTGACGATCGCAGCTGGTGCAGATAGAAAACATGACGAGACGCATGTTCTTTGGCCTAAATAGATCTAGAACGATCAATGAGACACTTATCACCAGATTTTTAATATCGACCTCTGAAGATGATAGGATGATCTACTCGGCCCTACTGATGCAAAAGAAGGACCAGCAGTTCCTTACAGATCATCTCACATCTGTTTCAGCAGCACTGACCTTAGCTCGTCGTCAAGGCCTCCTCGCTTCCTGCAGCTGGGGTGAGAACTTTACAGCTCCACTCTATACAGCCCGTGGTCATCCCCCAAACATCTTTGACGGAGGAATAGACAAAGTCTCCAAGGAAGTCACTAAGGACTCCAGAGAAGTCCTTATGATCAAGTCGATGGACACGCTAGCAAGCGTCATCAGGCAGACTTCACAAAGATACTCAGGGAGATCTAAGTTCTCGGGACTACAGAAAGCACGGGATAGGAAGATAGCCAGCCAGGGGAAAAGATTCTTTTTCGCCGCCCATATGGCAACTATAGAGGAGGGTCAGGAAGAGGCAGGACACCCAGAGGTTCCCGCAACTATAAACGCTGAAAGACAGGTTCGAACGACTGGAGTCTTCCACCCCAGCCGCTCCAGTACAACCGTCACAAGTGGGTGGACGCCTCCAACTACACTGGGAGAACTGGGGAATGTTAAAAGACCCTTATGTCTCCAACATTCTTCAACACGGATTTCGTGATCCCACTACAGGCCACGCCCCGCTGACAGTCAACCCTTACAAGTTCGACTTACAGGCACAACAACTACCAAAGTTAAGAAAGGCGGTTACATCACTCATAACCAAGCAGGCCATAGAAGTACTAGATCAAGTAGACATCGAACCAGGCTTCTACTCCCCCAGTTTTCCTAGTACCCAAGAAAACTCCAAGGAGAAATACAGACTCATTTACAACATGAGCTTTTTCAACAGGAATTATCTACGCGAAACCACCAAAGTTTCGCATGATACACCTTCCTCAGTTACGGCAGTTGATTCGCCCCATGGATTACATGGCCAGTATAGATCTGCAAGACGCTTATCTACATATCCCGATACATCCCTAATCCAGGAAATATCTAAGATTTACACTAGACGGGCTACATTACCAATGGAAAGTACTCCCCATTCGGCATATCATCAGCCCCTGGCTATTCGAGGATAACGAAACCTATTGTCACCTATCTACATGCGTTCTAGGGCTACGCGAGTGCGTTTCTACCGACGACGGGATACAAGTAGATCAAGATCCACAGCATCTCAAACTACAGTTAAACTACATCATAAAGCTACTAACACAGCTAGGATGGTTAGTAAACTTACTCAAGTCGGACCTAGTACCATCGCAAGATCTGCAGTTCCTAGGCATTCGATTTATCACTTAATCACAACCGTGATCGTCAGTACCAGAAGACCGCTGGCTCAAGATCCAACAGACCATTCCGTCAGTTTCTACTCTCCGCTACCACTCACGACAATGGCAGAGCGTGTTGGGTCTCCTCACATCAGCCCAAGACATGACAGTCTCAGGCAGATTACAGTTACGCCCATTACAGGTCTTCATCAATGCACATCTCGACGACCTACAACCATTCAGTCTACCAAACGCCTCAGACCTCATCTACTATGGTGGACCAGGAGGTCGAATGTTTCATGAAGGTATTTGTTTAGAAGAGCAGGAATTCAAAACCCATCTATATGTAGACGCTGGCCGCTTCCAAGGTTGGGGAGCTCATCTCGCCAACCGGACGGCATCAGGGTTATGGAATCAGCAAGAAAGCAAGCTCCATATAAACATGTTAGAGATGAAAGCTGTAATCAACGCCATACTTCATTGGAGCAACATTCTACAGAATGCGACTTAATGATTCATACCGACAACTCGACAGTGGCGTTCTATGTGAACAAACAAGGTTCAACAAGATCACTGAACCTATTGACTTTAAGCTTTCAACTGTTCGATCTAATACACGATCTAAACCTACATGTCAGAGCATGTCACATTCCCGAGCCAAGAATGTACTAGCAGACGACTCTCTCGCCACATCAACCGCCACCGACAGAATGGATGCTCAATACAGAAATATTTGCACAGATAATCAAGCAAATAGGCCGCCGCTAGTAGATCTATTCGCAACACGCTTCAACAATCAGCTACCGACATTCGTGTCACCAGTCCCAGACCCACAAGCATGGGCAACAGACGCTCTAAGCATATCCTGGGAAGGCCTCAATGCGCGCCGTTTCGCCCGCCAGCAATAATACCTCAAGTGTTACAGAAAATCAGACAAACACAGAGCCTCCAACTCACTTGGTCGCAGCCCTACTGGTCAAGCCAGAACGTGGTTTCCATTCTAATTCAAGAAATCGGTCAACCAACACTAGAGCTACCCAAGCCAAATCTATTAATACATCCACACACCAAACAGGTGCACGGAAGCCCAGAAGTATTCCAACTTCACGTATGGACTGTATTAAAATGTGTTTAAACAAGAGAGGGTATTCTACCAGGGCGGCAAAAGCGGTCACGCTTGCCTTACGCTATTCTACACGTAACTTGTACCGCACGACAAGTGGCACAGTTTTGAGAATTACGCAGTAAATAAGGGATTTACAGCAAGAGATGCTACTCATCCACAAGTGGCAGATTATTTGTGTTACTTTACGGCAAAACAAACATTTAAAAGGCTCGACATTGTCAACATATCTTGCCGCTTAGTTCTGTCATTACCATGAGAACGGGTGTTAGATTAACAAGAACTCCAGAGTTACTGGCCTTACTACACGGCTTTCCGATTGAGGACCAAAAGCGAAGTTCCACTTCCAGCTTGGGATCTGAATATAGTGTTGCAACACCTCACAAGTGAGGCTTATGAACCGCTGGAATCGACAAACTTTGAGCTTCTCTCACAGAAAACGCTTTTCCTGTTATCTCTAGCCACAGCAGCCAGGATGTCGGAAATTCACGCACTAGATTATGAGAGGATACAGTTTGATGACAATCAAAACACAGCACACCTGGGATTAAGATGGGATTTCATCGCCAAAAATCAACTACCAGGTCAACCAGACAGGTTATTTCATATCCCTGCATTATCCTCCATTCTCGGATCTCAAGATACACTGGACTTATCTCTATGCCCAGTCAGAGCTCTCAAAATCTATTTACGACGCTCCAAAACAAGGCTTAAGATTTCTCAAACGATTATTCATTCCCTTGTCGGCAACAACTCAGACAGAAGTCTCTCGCACCACCATATCTATATGGATAAGAACTGTCATACTTCATGCCTACAAGGCAGCAGGACTGGACCCTCCAACAGCATCAAATCCCCATGAAATCAGGGCGTTAGCTTCCACTCGCTTTACACGGTAACTGTTCTTTGAATACCATTATGGAAGGATGCTTTTGGAAATCTAACATGGTGTTTGCTAATCACTACCTGAGAGATATCACCACCGAGGACGCCTCAGGCATTCACCATTTCGGTCCCTTGGTCCTCAGACAGCAGTTGACAGTCCCTCAGAACGCTAACACGTAGTCTTACGAGATTAATATGCATAATTGTTACATGCATTATCTAGCTTATAACTCTACGGAGTTCTAGCAGTATGTATATATGTTCAGTGGTATAGCTTCTCTATCAGAGTCGCTTTGATATTGTTGTTTATAATATCTCAGTATATCATAATGTAAATACCCCAGTATGGCATTATAACCTATGGCTTATAATAGAGGAATTATCCTAAGTCTATGCCTTTATGAAGTTCCCGTAGGGGTTATTACAGTTAAATCTATATAAATCACTAATTCTATAAATCCAAAGTATTCTGTTTTGCCCACCTCCGTTTCGTAGGATTCTACAAGCAAAAGAGCATGAGTCAGGATAAGGAAAAATATGTAATTTTTTGAGTAAAATTGATATTTTATACTTATCCTGACTCATGCTCTTCTGCTTGTCTTCTTCTTCTTGCGAACATAGTGGAACACTTGTATCTCCTTAATTGAAGCTCCCTTCAATGTAAAATCACTAATTGGTACTCACCACGAGTTGCCTCCCTTGCCCTTTTGGCGGGAACAGGTGTCGCCACCCTCTGGCCTCATGCTTCACTCTCTCCTGATTTTGCGAGCCCAACACTTGAATTTACAGGGAAATCCAAAGTGTTATGTGGGGAGGATGGGAGGGCTAACCTCATGAGTCAGGATAAGTATAAAATATCAATTTTACTCAAAAAATTACATTTTTGTTTTTCTTGTAGTCAAACAAGTTTTCAGTGAGATGGACTTCCTTGGCTGGTACACGACTGGAGATCTACCGTCAGAGTCTGACATCCGAGTGCATGGACAGGTATTCTGATAGGGTTTGTCCTGTTGCCATGGGCAACAATGGAATTAATGCACCACTTTTATGATGATACTATGACCAAGGCATGGCAGATTAGCTGTAGTAACGTGGAAGAATCTAGTTCTCAACATGTTTGGGTGGGGTAGCCTTGTGGTTAAAGCGTTTGCTCGTCTCTTCAATTCCCCACATGGGTACAATGTGTGAAGCCCATTTCTGGTGTCCCCCGACATGATATTGCTTGAATATTGCTAAAAGCGGCATAAAACCGAACTCACTCACTCAGTCAACAACTTTGGAGTGGTATATATCCTCAATGTATAGCTGCTGACGCGAATTGAAATTTTATCAGCTGAAAACCGGTAACTGCATAGAGAGTAAATGTATACTGTATAATATGTCTTTTAATTTTGTGACAGTTTGTTTTATGTCAGTCTTTTACTGACCATTGTTTAAGAAACTTTTAAATGATAATTTAATTCTCATCTCTATTTGATTTCCACATTGATGATGTGATCACCTGGTGATTTTTAACTCACCTGGTTCCAGATTTGCCAGATCAATGAGAGTCCAGTCTTAATGAAGCTGAACCCACTAGCGAGAAACTCTGATGTAAGTATTACATCTTGTATTGGTGTACATTTAATTTGGATTTGTGAAGATCATGTGTAGAGGACCCCTGATGCTCAGAATCACACCACTAATTTTGTATTTTTGTCTTCAGATCTGTGATTAGTAATGATGAAATTAGCAGTCTGTGAAGTTATTATTGTTGACATGTTTATTGACAAATATTGACTTTTTAAACATGTGTTATTGTATCAGATTTATGTGTGTACTGAACATTTTGCTGGATTTGTTTGTTGGTTTATGGGGATGAGACTTGCCAGTTTGTTGGGGTAAGGCTTGTTGGTGTATGGGTGCCAGTCTTGTCAGCATATGGGGTCAGGCTCGTCTCTTAATGGGGTAAGGTTTGTTGGTGTATGAGTGTCAGACTTGTCTGCGTATGGGGGTCAGGCTTGTCTCTTTATGGGGGTCAAGCATGTTGGTATACAGGGTCAAGCTTGTCAGCATATGGATTCAGGCTTGTCTCTTAATGGGGGTAAGGTTTGTTGGTGTATTAGTGTCAGACTTGTCAGTGTATGGGGGTCAGGCTTGTCTCTTTATGGGGGTCAAGCATGTTGGTATACAGGGTCAAGCTTGTCAGCGTATGGGAGTCAGGCTTGTCTCTTAATGGGGGTCAAGCATGTTGGTATACTGGGTCAAGCTTGTCAGCATATGGGGTCAGGCTTGTCTCTTAATGGGGGTAAGGTTTGTTGGTGTATGAGTGTCAGACTTGTCAGCGTATGGGGGTCAGGCTTGTCTCTTTATGGGGTCAGGCTTGTTGGTGTATGGGTGTCAGATTTGTCTGCGTATGGGGGTCAGGCATGTTGTTATACGGTGTCAGGCTTGTCAGCGTATGGGGGTCAGGCTTGTTGGTATATGGGGTCAGGCTTGTTGGTTTATGGGTGTCAGATTTGTCTGCGTATGGGGGTCAGGCATGTTGTTATACGGTGTCAGGCTTGTCAGCGTATGGGGGTCAGGCTTGTTGGTATATGGGGTCGTCATGTTCCCATGCCATGGGTACCTCCTCAAACTTTCAGTCACTGATTTGTCTATGATAGAGTTGAATAATTTCAGACTTCTGTCATGACGCTCTGAAGTCACTGACTGTACGTATAGTCCATGATGCAGGAACTAAGCTTTTTTGTGTGTTATGATGTGTACCATGAGATGTTTTTGTGTTTCAGTTACCGGTGTCCATCTATGAGTCTGTGATAGATCTTGTAAATAGAGAGGTAATATTCATCATAATTCCTACATCTTTAGTTCACCATGACTGAAGGTACAAATTAACTTATATATGACATGTCAAGTGTAAATTTTGGAGATCTGCCTCTGTGATTAATCTAAAATCAGTCTAACAAATTCTCTTTAAGCACTTTTTCCCAATATGTTTGCGTGATTTGTTTTGTGTTGATGTGTCAACTGAGTATCACAGTGTATCAACAGCAAGTCACTTTCCTGGATTACTATGTTGTTTATATCCCCTTGACTGCTGTTAAAATTATATCCCCTGGACAACTATGTTTATCCTCTTATAAACTGTGTTTATCCCTGTTTATATCACTGAAGCAACTGTTGTTTATATCAGCTAGGCTTCTGTGCTGTTTATATCACTGAAGCAATTGTTGTTTATATCAGCTAGGCTTCTGTGCTGTTTATATCACTGAAGCTACTATTGTTTATATCAGCTAGGCTTCTGTGCTGTTTATATCACTGAAGCAACTGTTGTTTATATCAGCTAGGCTTCTGTGCTGTTTATATCACTGAAGCAACTGTTGTTTATATCAGCTAGGCTTCTGTGCTGTTTATATGACTGAAGCAACTGTTGTTTATATCAGCTAGGCTTCTGTGCTGTTTATATCACTGAAGCTACTATTGTTTATATCAGCTAGGCTTCTGTGCTGTTTATATCACTGAAGCAACTGTTGTTTATATCAGCTAGGCTTCTGTGCTGTTTATATCACTGAAGCAACTGTTGTTTATATCAGCTAGGCTTCTGTGCTGTTTATATCACTGAAGCTACTATTGTTTATATCAGCTAGGCTTCTGTGCTGTTTATATCACTGAAGCTACTATTGTTTATATCAACTAGGCTACTATGCTGTTTATATCACTGAAGCAACTGTTGTTTATATCAGCTAGGCTTCTGTGCTGTTTATATCACTGAAGCTACTATTGTTTATATCAGCTAGGCTTCTGTGCTGTTTATATCACTGAAGCAACTGTTGTTTATATCAGCTAGGCTTCTGTGCTGTTTATATCACTGAAGCAACTGTTGTTTATATCAGCTAGGCTTCTGTGCTGTTTATATGACTGAAGCAACTGTTGTTTATATCAGCTAGGCTTCTGTGCTGTTTATATCACTGAAGCTACTATTGTTTATATCAGCTAGGCTTCTGTGCTGTTTATATCACTGAAGCAACTGTTGTTTATATCAGCTAGGCTTCTGTGCTGTTTATATCACTGAAGCAACTGTTGTTTATATCAGCTAGGCTTCTGTGCTGTTTATATCACTGAAGCTACTATTGTTTATATCAGCTAGGCTTCTGTGCTGTTTATATCACTGAAGCTACTATTGTTTATATCAACTAGGCTACTATGCTGTTTATATCACTGAAGCAACTGTTCTCTATATCATCTAGGCTACTATGCTGTTTGTGGAGCTGTCATACACACTAGCAACAGAAGAGGCAGAGAGGATCGGTGTGGATCACGTGGCGAGAATGTCTTCGTCTGACACTGGAGAAAGTTCTACAGGTGTGTTGCTCATTCTTTACGAGATACTGTTTAAGTAATTATCAACAAAAAGTTGTTATCTATAAATTCTTTGTACAAAACTTTTAGAGACAAGTTCGGTGTTCTTGATTTACAGTTTGTTAGTGACACTGAATTAACAGTCAGTTGCCGTGATGTGTTTATTATTTTCATCACGATCATTTCCATGTTTGTTTATTCAGAACACCTGATTGCTCAGCACAGTTCAATCAAGATGTTACACAGTCGAGTGAAGCTAATTCTGGAATATGTGAAAGCAGTACAAGCAGGTGAGGTGAACCTTAGACAGGAGGGATGGGGGAGGGTGTGTGTGTGTGTGTCAACAGTATCTTAATCACACACAATCATTCCTTCTGTTGTATTCCCATCCTCGATAATCTCCAGGGTATACGTTACAATCACTCTCCACTATACCCTGGATGCATCCACGGCTTGGCCCGATAATTACCTCCCTTTGCTGGCTCCGCATTCTCACAGTAGCCAATCAGCTAAGCCGCCGTTACATCCGAGCTTGCCAGTGTCAACAATGATAGCGGTCACAGTTCTTATATGAAAGAACTCCTTCTACCTCTTTCAGAGTACCTCTGCATCAAATGTGTTGCCAAGTTTAAACGGTTAGATAATTTAAAAAGCGAAAGTGAGTTGTGATTGGTACATTCTACTTCCCAGCGTAGACACCTGATTGGATAAAAAGCCAGCAAAGGGAGGTAATAAAATCATCGGGCCAAGCCGTGGATGCATCCAGGGTATAGTGGAGAGTGATCGTAACGTATGCCCTGGATATTATCGAGGATGTTATATTCCTTGATGCAAGGGATCCGCTCCTTCTAATCTAGACTCTCTGTGGAGATTCTGGGATAGAACAGCAGGGCTTTATGAAAGGTATTAATGTGTACCATAAATCACAAATGTATTATTCACACAAAAACTATACACTGCATCGTGAGGGACACATAGTGTCTGAGTGAAAAAAACTGTGCCAAATTCTCGACAAGAAATATATACTCCTGTTAAAAACAAAACTATCACATCTCACAGTATACTACTTGATTACATTTCAGGACTCTCATATCTCCTGCGGGGTAGCCTAGTGGGTAAAGCGTTCGCTCGTCACTCCGACGGCCCGGGTCGATTCGCCACATGGGTAAAATGTGTGAAGCCTATGTCTGGTGTCCCCTGCCGTTATATTGCTAGAATATTGCTGAAAGCGGCGTAAAATCAAACTCACTCACCCATTCACTCATCTCCTGCAAGGATCATTGAAATTAGTAATGTCCCGTGGCCTTGAGAGGGTTAAAAGGGCAATGTAAATTAGTTTCTAAGGTGACCAAATGGATTGGTTGGTTTGCAATTTGGTTGATGGTGTGAAATCATCCCCCAGCGAGGTGGATTGTGCTCAGAATATTGATCACTGGATTACCTGGTTCAGGGTCAATCATTTACATGTTGTTGTAATATACTGAGAGAAACACATAAAGGATCACAGGAAAATGCAAGCGTTCCATTAATATTGTCCAGTTTTCATCACCATCTGTGAATAGCGCTGTGGTGATGAAAACTGGAAAATAATAAAGGAACGCTTGCATTTTCCTGTGATCCTTTATTTGTTCCTTTCAGTATATCAATGGAATATTGTTGAGGGTGACTTTAAACAAAAAACAAACAAACATATATACGAGAGGCACCTGTCTAACTCAAGTTGATATTTCCAGGAGAAATACCAAAGAACCACGACGTCCTGAGAGAGGCGTACAGTCTGTGTTATCGGCTTCCTGTCCTCAACACCACACGGTTTAAGGAAGACTTCTATAATGTAGGTCTTCATTATGTCAATTGTACAGGAGCATGTATCGTATACCCAACAGCACATTATTTTGTGTACAATAGCACATTATGTCATTTATACAGTAGCTCATGTCATTTATGCAATAGCACATTATTTCATATATACAATAGCACGTTACGTCATATATACAATAACAAATTCATAAGACATCATGTCATTTATATAATACCATAGTTTCTCATTTGTAAGTAAGCTTATTATTTTCAATGCTCAATTGTCTTCATTTAGACACTTGTGAAAAGTAAATATACTAGCCACATAAAGAAACTGTGCACTCAGAAAATTCCTTCAGAATTTGAATACAACACAGAAAAGACGAAATGATGTAGACACTACATAAGCTGTGACATTGAGCACATCTTGGCATGATGTGCATGTGACTTCTCATGTGAATTTGTGAACGTTTAAATGACCAAAGATCAAGCTTTGGACAGTGACAGCAATTTGTGAGTTTCATGGGGTTTCAATCGACCTGCAGAAATAACAATAGAGAGTTTATAGGTGTCATGAGTGGTGATCGATAGGCCAGTCATCCATGATTATGTTTATATTCAGTTTTAATCGACTGCATGCGATGGTAGCGTAGCGGTCGGCAAAGCAGGCGGATAGGGTACACCGAAGTGTCCGGCCTTGTCATGATTTATTATACGTGAAGCATTCCGAATAGGGGTCATCTCAAATTTTTTATATTCTTGAAAAATCTTTAATCCTCGCAAAGACACCAGGGCGTGTGAATCAGACGTGCAAACCCTCCCTTATTTCAAATAATGTTTCACGTAAACAACTTGTATGAATTTGAATTGTGGATTAATTGTATTTAGATCATATTTCTTTGTATGCATAACTCAACATAATTCATGGTTTCTGAGGAGCTAACATAATGATTTTTCATTTCTGAAATGTCATATTATTTGATAGATGATATCATGGAAGAAAGATTTAAATGTTATACTGAAAGCTTTGTAATGTTTCTGTTTCCAGCAACACAATGATGTGTGTCTCATGGCGTATCTCGGATCGATGACGAAAGGCTGTAATACAATGAATCAGGTGAGCTAACAAGGTCATATGGGCTCCTGGGGTCAACATTTGGGCTGTCCTGATTCTTTGAGGAAAATTCAATGTATCTACAAAACAAATGCAGCACGTGCTACAATTTTGATATTGTGATAAACATTAAATGGAATTCTAACTCGAGAATCTCAAGATTATTACAATTTAAACTTTCTACATATTACCAATATTGTTTGTTGTTCCTGGTATCTGACTTGAATGTTGTATCCTTCATATATTCAACCATTGGCAACCTAAGAAAACATTATTATTTACGTTACCATTTGAACCCTTCCATTGTACTGGGTTCCTAGGCTTGTCTACCTGTGAAGATCCAGGTTAGAATTTGTATTCAGCAACCCATGGTTGTCGTAAGAGGCGACTAACGGGATCGTGTGGTCAGACTCGCTGATTGGATTGACACATGTCATCGTATACCAATTGTGTCAATCAATGCTCATGCTGTTGATCACTGGATTGTCTGGTCCAGACTCAATTATTTACAGACCACTGCCATATAGCTGGAATATTGCTGAGTGTGGCTTAAAACTAAACTCACTCACTCACTCCATGTGGAGATGTAATACACTTGGAACAGACTTGTCCATGTAGTTCCTTGCAATCCATTTGTCATGCAGTAACTTTTACAATTATATGCAGTGACCCCATACTCACTCAAACTCCATTTTCATAATGTTATATTTGAGAATGCTACAACATGACTCTCTCACAACAGGAAAATTTGTAAACTTGACATAAGATAATAAACAACAAAATGAACAATGGTTGGTCCAGTGAATGTTGTGTGTGTGGCATGCATGGTATGTACATATACTGAGGGAAACAAATAAGGGAACACCACTTCATGGCAGTGTTTCTTTATTTATACTCACATTTCCTCCCACAGCGCGCTATTCAAAGCTGGTGATGAAAACTGGAAATTATTAAAGGAATGCTTGAAATTTCCTGTGTTCCCTGATTTGTTTCTCTCAGTGTATGTGTGTTTTGAAATAATATGCACAAATGATACACCTGGGGTCCGATCCTGCAGGTTCCGTTTGTTGCACTGCGTCATTCATAATCCTATGATAAACTATACAGTTACTACAAACGCTTTGTGGATCGGGCCCATGGTTTTTATCAGTATAGCATGATCCCTGTGTGTTTTTCTCTTTCCAGTTTGTGAACAAGTTCAATGTGTTGTACGACCGGCAGGGGGATGGGGAGGAGAATGAGGGGCTTGTTCTTCTGATACCAACATCTGTTGACACACAAGGAAGAAAGTGCTAGTATCCACACGACTGTTTGAGATGAAGAAGTGGAAGACATTCCTGACAACTTATTCAAAGAGTTAAATTTGCATCAACCGTCTTTGTTTGTCAGATGTGACTGTGTTCACATTTGGTAAATCAACTCTTTACCAGGGGTGGAAATAACCCATTGCCGACGTCCGAGTCCAGTGTTTTTTTCTGTCGGGCAAGCAAATTTGTATATCACACTGTACCAGTGTCCACTTGACTTTCCAATGTTAATTATGTTGTTTGTTTAAAAAAATCAACAAGAAACGGCCGGTATAGTGGAAAAATTATCAGGGCGAGTGATTTTACATGTGCCACTGTTCCGGAGTACACTAGCAATTTTAAAGTTATTTCCACCCCTGTTTACTCATGGATGTGAACTTCATGATATCATGGCTATTGAAAAAAACAAACATTAACTATGTAAAATTAATGATGGGAAAAATGTGTATTTTCTGTAAAGTAAGAAAAGACTGTACATGTAAGACCTGTGCCATTCGAACATTTGGCAAGTCAAAAGTAGATATGTATGTTAGTAAAATGTTTCCAAACTGTATTTCAGCTGAGATGTGACAGCTTATTCCTAAGAATTTTACAGTGTTGATGTCTGTGAATGTTGAAGAAACTAATAATAAAGTAATGTTCATTTGTATAATGTGTTCTGATTATTTGAATGTAAATAGTGTTTGAAAGTGTGACAAGTAAGGGATTGGTGTCACAACCCTCATGCTACAACTGAATCTATTGGGGTTCACCAGATTTAAATATACCAAGAGTAAATATAAAGCAACCTATGCCCCATCAATTACATTCATTAATGACCGCCTCCGTGGTGTAGTGGTTAAGAGCGTCCGCCAGGAGAGCGGAAGGTCGCGGGTTCGATCCCCGACCGCATCATACCAAAAGACGTTAAAATATGGTACTTGTTGGTCCCTGCCTGGCGCTCGGCATTAATGGGTACAACAAGGACTGGTCGGCTCGGAGTCAGTATAATGTGTCTGAGTGGGGTATTCATGCTTCACTGCGGCATGGTATCTCAGTGGGCTAGCACTATAAAACCAGCTTCAGTCTGGGCTAGTATAAGCAGCCACACATACACATACACATGCATGCACGTCGTCATATGAGCGAAATATTCTCAAGCACGACGTTAAACCCAATTTCACCTCACCTCACCTCACATTCATTAATATATCTTCCTTGTACCTTTGTCACATGGGAATTCACAGGGGTCTGGGTTAAAATAGGTCCCTAGCAACCTTTGCCACACCCACTTTGGAGAGTCTGAGTTAACATGGGTCCCTAGCAACCATTGCCACAACCCCTATAGGGAATCTGGATTAACATAGGTCCCTAGCAACCTTTGCCACACCCCCTATAGGGAATCTGGATTAACATAGGTCCCTAGCAACCTTTGCCACATCCACCCAGATAAAGATTTGGTTAACATAAGCCCCTAGAAACCTTTGCCACCTTCACCTATTGGGAGTCTCGGTTCACATAGGTGCCTAGAAACCTTTGCCACATCCACCCAGAGGAAATCTTTGTTAACATAAGCCCTTAGAAACCTTTGCCACCTCGACCCAAGGTGAAGAAAGCGTTCACTGGTCACATGGAAGGCCTGTTTGATTCCCCACATGGGTACAATGTGTGAAGCCTATTTCTGGTGTCCCCTGCCGTGATGTTGCTGGTATTTTGCGAAAAGCGGCATAAGACCATACTCACTCACTCACTCACTCACTCACTCACACACTCAAACCCACCCACCCACTCAACTCACTCACTCACTCACTCACCCATACCCACCCACTCACTCACTACAGCCTGGGTTAACATATGTCCCAAGCAACCTTTTCCAGACCAACCATAGGGTATCTCGGCTAACATAGGTCTCTAGCAATAAGAAAATGATAGACAGAGTAAAACCTATTTATGATGTATGTAGTTTTCAGAACTTTGCCCTCCCTACAATTTAGGGGATGGATATCTAAAACGGGTGATTTCACACGGCATTCAAAAGTGCATATATGTTCGTGATGTAGTTACATTAATGTATTTGTCGTCATCTACGTAGGGGGGTGATGAGGATGGGCATGTATTTTACGATTTGTGTAGAAAAGTAGCAAACACAGAATACTCTCTAATTCACAAATGGCAATTTAAGGTAGCTCTTGTGCATATATATACGATTTGGATTTCCTGAAAGAGGATACTGTTCTGAGGCGTAACGACCATGTAGCACAAAAACATGTGCTTACACTGAGAAATTCATTAAAAGCATTTATAAGAGATATATTGAGGTTCTTGTAAAATGTTTCTCTATTTTATTGGTGACAGTCGTCAGAACGCACTGTTCTTCGCGGATACAGATTTTATCCAATCACACGATGACTAGTACAATGTTTATAGAAGTGTCAAAAAATGTTTAAAAGTGAGAACTGTAGAAAAATTGATTTTGTTGTTGTTGTACAATTGCTGTCAAACACAGGTTCCATCAGCTAGTTCAACCAACACGAGGAAGAAGACGCGACTTGTAAGCCTTCTCTGGCATCAGATTCTCTGGTACTGATATTGGCTTGTACACAGAAAGGGAACTAAAATCAGAACACATTCTTTTTACTCTTCTGAACAATTTAAATTCAACAGATGTAAGGCCTGACAAAACACTAAAATATCCTTTAACAGAAATTAGAGGTGGAAAACGGAAATTTGATCCAACACAACATGATAACAATGATTGGCTGAAATTAATATTCTCCTTCAAAAGATGGTGTCATTTGCTTACCATGTGCTCTTTTTGCAAATGACAATCAAAAAGGCGCATTTGTTACATCGTACGTTCATGATTGGGCAAATATCGGGACATTTATTAAGAGCCAAACTTGATTGCTGTCACTTGTGTGCCGAGAAATCTTTGAATTATGGAACAATTGTCAGTCATCCAAACAGGATATGTGCTACCAACTTTCTAATGCGCACAAGGAAACAGTTGAAAGAAATCGTTCAATTCTCAAACACTAGCTGAGACACTCGTTTTGTGCGGTTGACAGAATATTGCTATTAGAGGTCATGATGGTGAGAAAGCAATTTTGTAGCCCTCTTGCATTATGGTGCAAAGCACGATGAGTTATAGAACAGTAATCTTCCAACAGCACAATTCAAAACAAAAATTTATCACCAGCCATTCAAAATGAGCTTCTTGATATTTGCTCATCACAAATTAGAAACCAGTTGGTTAATGACTGCAATTCACAGAAATGTTTTTCTCTCATTGCTGACGAGGCAACAAATTCCTCAACCAGAGAAATTATTTTTATCTCTGTTCGACACATTTCATTGAACGACGAGGGTCAAATTATACTCAAGGAATCATTTTTAGGTTTCACTGAGGCTGACAGTACAAAGGCAGCTGCCTTATATTAGCAGAGTCATCCCTGTCAGAACTAGACAAGTATGGGGTTACGCAATGCTATATGAGGGGGTCAAGGTTACAATGGTGCCTCAAGCATGAGTGGTCATTTGAATGCTGTACAAGCCAAGCTTTTTGTTCACTGTAAGTGTCACGACTTATGGTTCATATAGCTGTTCCATAACATCAGTCAAGAATATCATGTCAACAGTACAAAGCATTGCCTTTGCGTTTTCGTATTCGGCAAAACGTCTCTTGGCATACACAGAGGAACTGGAATCAAATGAAAATGCTCAGGAAGCAATGGGGCGAAAGCGAAAGACTGGACTCTGTGAAACACTTTGGGCAAGTCGTGCGGGTTCGCTATCCACTTTCAAAGCATCATTCGATCTTATAGTTGAAAGTTTGAGTGACCTTGAGCAAGATTGCCACTCTAGAGCAAGGTCCCTTAGATGCTCCATTCAATCTTTTGACTTCTTCATTGGCCTTGTAAGCGTTGGCTCGTCACGCCGAAGACCCGGGTTCGAATCCCCACATGGGTAAAATGTGTGAAGCCCATTTCTGGTGTCCCCCGCCGTGATGTTGCTGGAATATTGCTAAAAGAGGCGTAAAACCAAACCCAGTCAGCCAGTCATTGGCCTTGTTGTTATTCAACACATAATCCAGTACGCAGTTCAGTTATCTCTCCGACCATTGACCTTATTCGTGCATCAAGCGAGGCATCTGTTGTCATCAGCAGTTTGAGACATATTCGTGATGACGAGTCTGTATGGGAGGAAGTTTTCAGTGAAACATCTGATATAACAAGCAATTACGACATTATTCCTACTAAGCCAGATGTGTGAGCCGTAAAACGATGCGCGACAATGCCCCTGCATCCACACTTGAAGTGTACTGGAAGAGGAATCTCTTTTACCCTTTGCTAGATCATATATGGCTCGGCAATTAGAGGACAGGCTTATCTATCCCAATGGCCGATTCGAAGCTCAGAATTTTGTACCTACTTCGGTCAATAATATGACCTAGGAAATGGGTAGGCGAATATTCGCACAGTTCACTGAGCTGAAAGAAAAACACGATGGTTTCTCCTCTGCTGGAACATCTTGCCAACGTGATTGCCATCGCCTAATTTCTACCGTTTCGGCGATGGCAATCACGTTGGCAAGATGTTCCAGCAGAGGAGAAACCATCGTGTTTTTCTTGGCAACACTTAACTTCGCAAAAGAAAATCTTTATCCAAATATCCATGTTGTCCTCAAAACACTTGTGACAATGCCAGTGTCTCCGGCAACTGCGTTCCTTCAGTGCAATGAGACGTGTTAAAACGTATCTCAGGTCAACAATGGTAACGGAACGGTTTAATGCATTTGCACTGCTTCATATTCACAGGGATTTTGATGTCAACTTTGATAAGATGGTGAATGATTTTGCAGAAGGGAAACTCCGCAAAATGGCACTTCTCTTCAAGTAGAGTTGATGCATACAGTAACCGATGCTAGCAGATCTGTTCCTAACTGTTTCACACAATTTCATAGTTGATTTAGTTCTTCTTGTTCTTGTTCCCTTTACAACGTTCATGCATTTCTTAGAGTTCCGGTTTATTGTTTTTTTCGGTTTATTGTACGTGTACTTTATGGGTCCATGCTTATCGGTTGCCTGATATGGTGTTTGAAATAGTTACAAATTGTTTCACTGTGTTATTGTTATACCAGATAATGTTTGTTAGAACCTGCTCGTTTGGTTCGCCTGATGTTTTAGTCAGTTTGCGGTAATCGTTCATCAAAACCTTAAGCTGTGCTTACAACTGAAATTGTCCTAGTTACGCCCCTGCTGTTGGAAAGAAAATCGACTCAAGTGAATATGTGCAATTTGGTTGCAATATATGCAGAAATAAGAACGTTGTAACACGTTTTGTATGATGTATACTTTTGTGAAACCGCGACGTCATCACAACAGTGTGGCACTGAGCGGTACACACAGCCAGCTGATGACCATGGCACGGAAGAACCACACCTGTACTTACATCACGTGAAATGGGTGCAATAGGGTCTAATGACGTCATTTCTTTGTCAGTTTGGTACCAATGGCGTCATTGGCAAAGAGACATAAGCCATTGAGTGTAATGGTGTGATGATTTTGAGGGGTGGGGGTGGGGGTGGGGTTCACTCATTTTGTTCTGGGGAGGTAGGGGGTCATCAATTTTGACATGATATGCAAGGGGGGCATTTACATTGTACAGGCTCAAGACATTTGGCGGAAGATCATTCGCATATAATGCTGCTGTTGAATGGAACGCTCTCCCATTTGATCTGAAATCAACTCCAACTCTAACTTGTTTCAAGAAACATCTTAAGACCTACCTGTTCAACAGAAATGGACTGTAAACACACGTGATATCTACGAACTCTGTTAGCGCTTTGAGCACACTTTGGTGTGGAGTTTAGCGCAATATAAGAATCCATATTATTATTATTATTACATGCTTCTGCATAAAAATCATCATCATCCCCCTTGCCATACATTATGAACTGTCCCTAAATGGGCAAAATGTGAATCAATATAAATATATCAAAGTTGACATTTTTAGGGGTGCAACTACAAAACAATTCTCCAGAATAGGTTGGACATGTAGGCCAAATACTCGTCTACTGAACCCCAGAGCGTCTGACATCTTCAGATAGTGATACGATCCTATAGTATCGACTGCAACTCACTTCATTAGAAAAATATGAATAACAAAGTACCACGGTAAATGTACTTCAGATGTCATTTAATACACATTGTAAACAAATTATGGAAAGTTTCATTGCCTGACAAATGAACCATCCACAGGTGCAATACAACCATGTTTCAACTCAAAAGCAGTCATATCAATATCATCCTCATATATCCTGCTCCAGGATGGCAGTATATTGCGGCCTCTTCAGTACTCGGGGTGCTGCAATCAAATGCAATGATTAAAATACATCTAGTATGAAATGTGTGATAAATATCAACCTGGGTGGTGAAGTTTTCAAGATAAATCAACTTCGTTGCAATGATTAACATGTCAAATAAACACTTGAAGGTTTTTTTCAGAACGGACAGAAATGAACTCTCAAGGGACTTGATGGTGAATAAATATGCTGTTCCTACTGCAGATGCGGCGTAAAACAACTTTCACTCTGACATTGCAACACTCTAAAATTATTCGTAATGAAAGGTGAAGAGTGCCTCTCCTTCAAGGATGGCAAGACTTAGGGACCGTTCATAATTTATGGCTAGGGGTGGGGGTGAGGGGGTGGCGGTGATGATGATTTTAAGTGGGGGTCTCCCATTTTGTTCTGGGGAGGCAGGGGGACATCAATTCTGTACATATGTGCTAGGGGGTCATCAATTTTGTACATAAAAATATTTTAAAATTATGTGAAAAAAAAAAGGGGGCATTGATTTTGTACATGACATGCAAGCTGGGGTCACTTACTTTGTCCATAAATTTTAGGGGGTCATTCACATTGTACATGCTTCTCCATAAAATCATCAACCCCCTAGCCATAAATTGTGAACGGTCCCTTAGCGCCAAAATAGATTCTGTGACATCATTTTCTGTTAGCCATGCGTTTGTAGACATGGGAGGGCGCTTGTCGATTCTTATGTAATGGAGCTGAATGTAACATATGGGACACGCCTTTTTACGTGTACTATTGTGAAACCGAGTATATATATGATGTACATATAAAGACTTATTATACAAATTTATTATAATTGTTATTTGGTACAAACGAGACCTTGCCCTTAAATGACCCACATCGTGCAACATTCTCTTGCTTGGTAAATGTTGGTCTAGTAGAATAGCAGATATCAATCTTTCCCCTACTTTTATTTAATTTAACTTAAACCATTGGGAGGTTTCAAACTCCTGTTGCTCTGAAAAACCCGAAACTTGTGAATTTGGTAACTTTTGTTAATGGAACAAAACAGCGTAATTCGGACATCTCACCACTTTTTTTACCCATGTAACCAGGGATAATCTACGTCTCCTATTCTCCCTGGTGTAACTGATACCTATACCAACCCACCTATTTATCTTTATATTGAATATTCGGATGTGAAAATCCCACTGGATCTCGTAAAACTGATCTTTATCCTCTGTTGGTATTTTTTTTTTTTTTTTTGGGGGTGGGGTGGGGGTAGAAAACAGTTTGGCACCTTTCTTGACAACTTCTGTCATTCTCGAAAGGGTTTTCTCCCATGACTGGGCTCATGTCTGCATATATTTTACTTGCGGCGCGTACCAACACATTCAGTTTACAGGATTTTGTAAGCTCCACTACAGCGCATTACACATTCATAGTCATATACCTAGTGTGGTATCGCTGTGTGGATATTTGACTTGCAGCGCCTAAAAGCCGGGTTGGACATGCTGCGTTTTTAAAAAGCCGTTCAGAATGACAACAAGTGGAGCGAAATGTGTGCTCATCGATCTAAGTGGAACACTGCACATAGAGGATGAGGAAGTACCAGGGTCTGTGGATGCGTTAGAAAGGTTGGCGTGAAATCTAACCATAACCCCTAACCCTAAGGATCGTAAAGGGTGCCTAACCCTAAGGATCGTTAAGAGGGTGCCTAACCCTAGACCCTAACCCTGAGGACCCTAAAGGGTGTCATACCCTAAGGATCGTAAAGGGAGCAGCGAGGGCTCCACCATTATAATGTACTGAAGAAATTACAAGGCAATACAGATCAAGATGATCAAGTTGATAGGTAGTGGTAATGTTAAAAGTTATAAAACCCAACCAAACAGATTTGTTGATGTTGATTAAAGCCAGATATACATTATAACTTTATCATTAAGATAATAACATTTAGTTGTAGATAAGATAGAATTAAAGTACATGTATTTTATTTTTCAAAGATATATGCTTTGAAAATAATGCCATTGTTTTAGCTTTCAACATTTTCAACACCTGTGCTGTTTCATCGAAATGGCCATCAACTGAGACCAGTGTCACATTACGCTTCCACAATCAGTACTCTGAAATTACTAGCTATAGAATACTGTTCAAAACAGTAATATTTCCTGCTTGTAAAACAGAATATTAAGTGATATTGTGCCTGTAGGTTGAGGGCCAGTGACCTGAAAGTCCGCTTTGTGACCAACACCACCAAGGAGAGTAAGCGTGTTCTGGTCCAGCGCCTGAATCAGATCGGGTTCAACGTGGCGCCAGCTGATGTGTTTACATCTTTGACTGCAGCTCACGATGTTGTGAGGGAGAAGAAACTGCGACCCATGTTGCTGTTGGATGACCGTGCGATGGAGGACTTTGATGGTGGGTGTGAAGTTGACCAAGTGATCGATCACGATTGGCAGTTTGCAGATCACCTGTTTGATCAAATTTGTGTGATTGGATCAAGTTTGATTTTTCTTTGAATAGGTTCCATGAAGTTCAATGTATGTAGAGCCAACATAAGCAAATGTAGGAGACGTCTTGTAATTCAGGTATTAAGGACAGTACTTTTTGTGGAGAAACTAGGACATTTTCAGGATTTGTTTGACTGGATGTTCATCTGTGTTATAATGAACCTGCCTACTTGGGGCAGTGAAATAGCTCAGTGGTTAATGTGTTCGCTTGTCACACCGAAGACCCAGGTTCGGTTCCACATGTGGGTTCAGTTTGTGAAGCTCATTTCTGGTGTCCCCACTGTGATATTACTGGAATATTGCTAAAAGCATCATGAAACTAAACTCACTCATTAAATGGATTAAACAAGGATTGGTTGATTTCAATCAGTATACATGTATTGTGTTTGAGTGGGGTATCCATTCTAAGCTGTGCCATTGATTCTCATTGGGTTGGCACTAAAATACTGGCCTGTCCACACTAGACATGCACACACATACAAAGTGATGACTAAGTGCAATAATCTTAAAACCAAAGTTAAACCCCATTTCAGTTGACTTTTGTATATTTTTGTATTTAGAAAGAATCAACAGGACATTTATGAGAGTAAACAGTCAGTGTCCTCGTTTCTCCTACCATGTACTGGCAAACAAGGATAAGTTGAGCACCGACCTGACAATTGACCCATATTAGCATGTATGAGTGCCTCCCACTGGCGCTTGCCATTGTGAGCAAAGGGGCCCCATGTTGCCCGTGATCAAGTGTAGTGCGATGGTTGAAGCGTGTGGCCTGTCTCAGCAAACTCCGAATGCAGGTACGCATAGAATCAATTTTATCGTCATGCACTGCACTTGCACTAGCCTACATCTGCTCTACCTTTCACAAACCAAATGGGTTTGCTAATTGCCGTGCACCGCCTACTTCTCGTAAACATATTCTCTGCACCGGTCCAACTTATCCTTGTTTGCCAGTAGCTACCCATGAAGATCCTGGTTAGAATTGGCCTTCAGTAACCCATGCTTGTTGTAAGAGGCGACTGACGAGATCGGGTGGTCAGGCACGCTGACTTGATTGAGATATGTCATCGTATCCCAATTGCGTAGATTGATGCTCATGCTGTTGATCACTGGATTGTCTGGTCCAGACTTGATTATTTACAGACCGCCGCCATATAGCTGGAATATTGCTGACTGTGACGTTAACCAACCAACCAACCAACCAACCTACCATGTAGCCAGCAGAGCACCTCTGCTATTTGGCAGAGATACTAGGTCTTACACAGATTAGGTCTCTCACAGTCCAGTTGATATATCGTATGTGTTTTTTAAGTGTTTCATTTTGGCCACACATCTAATAAACATCTGTGATAGATTGGTTTATTTACACTAAGAAAATATCCCAAAACATGTAATACTATTATTTGTTAGGCGTTAGAGAAAACGAATATGGTATTTGGACCAAATATGTAAAAGGTATACTTGATAAATGTGGATTATCTTATATATTTCATAACCCCGTAAACGTTTCATGCCAATGGTTATCTTCTCAGGTGGAATCAATCCTAAAAGATCAATTTTACCAAAGTTGGAAAGTTGAGATAGAAAATAGCCCTAAAGGTTTCTACTACAAATACATTAAAAATCTCCCGATTTTAGAAAATTATCTCCTCCTGCCGGCTTATGTATATTTACCAATTTTAAAATACAGAACCTGTAACCATAACCTTCCTGTTGAAGTTGGCCGTTGGCATGGCATTGATCGTGAAAACAGAACCTGCAATCTCTGTTAATCGCCTGCTGTAGCAGATGAATTTCATTATTTATTTAAACGTGAAGCTTTTACTGAACAAAGAAAGAAATACACTCCCATTCAATACTTCTCTTTCCCTAATCTAATAACTTATAAAAACATATTCCTGAAGCAAAACCTTGCACAATCAAAATATTTAGCAAAATACCTAAACCTAGTTGATACAAGTGTGAAAAAGACTAAAATGAGTATATTGTAAACTGTAACTATGCTGTATTTATATTGTAAAACTTTCTGCCATCTTGCCTGTATGTATATGTATTGTAAATGTTTAAAGTGTTTCTCTTGTACCACCAAGAGTGGTTCTTTTGAGAATAGAGGAGTTTTGAGTTGAGTTGAGTTGAGTTTACATACGGCTCCACATGCTCCACAGTTGTGAAGGACTTACCTTCTTTGTTTCATAAGAGAGAACATTAGCATGATGAAAGACACACGTTATCCACCCCTGAAAGTATTCTTGAAAGTACTCTAAATGAATATCTTTTCTGTTTGATTCTGTAAGGGAGTGAGTGAGTTTAGTTTTACACCGCACTCAGCAATATTCCAGCTATATGGCGTCGGGCTGTAAACAATCGAGTCTGGACCAGACAATCCAGTAGTGGTGGTCCAACTGATTGAAATAATCGAAGATTGGTTGCAATGACTATACGACCAAGCAATCGATGACTTTTTGTCATAATCGTACACAAACAATTTTGGAACACTTGTTTGCATTAACAATAACTATCACAAGGTTAGTTTTGTTTGTTACGATTCATAAGCACTACAAGCTCGTTCCAAGTCATAATTAAAATTTATCTTGAAAACTCCAGGAAATTTATGTTCCTAATATACTAGTCATCATTTAAAGACATGAAATTTGCAAAAAAAAAAACCGAAAGAACTACATGGATTTTTTTCTTTATGTTTTGTGCATTAACAAACATAACCAAGACAATTTGATAAATAACGCTAACCAACTATTTTCGATGATTGATTGGTTGTAATGAACCAATCATCAATTATAAGATTTTAACCATTTCCCAACACTACAATCCAGTGATCAACAGCATGAGCATCGATCTGCGCAATTGGGAACCGATGAGATGTGGCAACCAAGTCAGCGAGCCTGACCACCTGATCCCGTTAGTCGCCTCTTACGACAAGCATGGGTTACTGTTTGATTCTGTAACCTTGGTACCATTGATATGAAAACATGGCTGATGGTTAATGTGTTGTTTTGTTTCAGACATAGCTACTGAAGATCCAAATGCGGTCGTGGTTGGTCTAGCACCGGACAAGTTTAACTACAGAGTTCTCAACTCTGCCTTCAGGTAGTCTGTCATTACCTTCAAGGTCAATCATAAGGGTTCAGTTTGAAACCGTGTCACATGGTAGCATATTCTGGTTGGATTTACCCATTTTTATCCCCACAGCATGTTATAGGGGGGGATATAGTCGTCGCCTCGTCTGTCCGTCCGTCCGTAATCATTTTGTTTCCGAAGCATAACTCAAAGACCGTTCTATATTTTTGAAAAAAACTTGGTAGATATATCAAACAGAACCTTAAGTGGTGCCTTTTGCTATTTGCAGATTTTGGCTTTTTTATTTTCCCCGGTTTCGATGGAAACGATCTGGACTTAGTCTCAAAACGGAGGGGCGGGTTTCGTTTCCGAGCACAACTCAAGAACCGTTAAATATTTTTCAACAAAACTTGGTAGATATATCAAACAGAATCTTAAGTGGTGCCTTTTGCTATTTCCAGATTTTTGGCATTTTTATTTTTCCCGGTTTCCATGGAAACAAATCGAACTTAGTCCCAAAAGGGAGGGGTAGGTTTCGTTTCCGGAGCACAACTCAAAAACTTCTTAATATTTTTCAGCAAAACTTGGCAAATATGTCAGGCAGATCCCAAAGTGGTGCCTTTTGCTATTTACAGATTTTTGTCTTTTTTATTTTTCTAGGTTTCCATGGAAACGATTTAGACTTAGTCTCAAAAGGGAGGGGTGGGTTTCGTTTAAAAAACTTCTTAATATCTTTCAGTAAAACTTGGCAGCTATGTGAGGCAGATCTTGAAGTGGTGCCTTTTGCTATTTGCAGATTTTTGTCATTTATGTTTTTCATCATTTCCATGGAAACGATCTGCACTTAGTGTAAAATCAATCTGGACTTTAAGTAACTGTCAGATGATTGGTCTTTCAAAGATGTGGGGGCCGGGGGGATATGTCATCTTCTGATGACTCTTGTACAAATTTAAGCATGCTACAAAATTGGATGTCCAATGAACTCAAAGCCTTCAAATGTAAGAAAAGTCCTGAGTTGAAAAGTAGGGTTCCAAGAATATTGTAAAGAAACACAATTGCAGTACTAAGCATCATGTGACATAAGACTTCAGTTGTTCAGAGGCCACTAGTTAAAAGCAGATGAATAAAATACATCTACACGTGCTGGCTCTAGAAGGTTGTGAGGTATGGAAAATAATGTAAAATTGTATCAGATTTTTTTAATTGGACCACTCCTTTGTGAACATACATGTAAATTTTCTGTGTTCCAGTGGAAACACTGCATTTTCTTTAGTCTGTTTAAATTTTTTTTATGATTATTACATTCAGCATTTCATGTTGAATAGGGGTGGTAGGGTAGCTTAGTTGTCACGCCGAAGACCGGGGTTCGATTCCCCACATGGGTACAATGTGTGAAGCCCATTTCTGGTGTCCCCCGGCCGTGACATTGCTGGAATATTGCTAAAAGCGACAAAAACCAAACTCACTCTCATACTGAATAAATCTTAAACATAGATTCAGCCAGATAAATGTGTGTGTTTCAGGTTGTTGTTAAATGGCTGTCTCCTGATTGCAATTCACAAAGGAAGATACTACAGGAGGAAGGATGGGCTGGCTCTGGGACCAGGTGGGTCAACAATGGGAATCTTTCATGTACCAACACGGTTATTGAGCAGGTTAGGCGTCTGACTTTGTGTGCTGGGGATTAGGTGCCCGACTCTGAGGGTGTGGGTTCGAATCCCGAATGGGACTCAACCAAACAAAAGAACTAGAATCTGTACTTTACTGAGAAAGTGTAATCCAAAATATAACATATGTTACTTTTGACCACTTTCTAACTGGCATTGTGTATTCAAGGAAGTGTCTTGCTCTTATTGTTATTGTACTTACCAACCACTAAGATGCCAATTAATCAGATCAACAATAATACCTCCATTCCATGTGAGTTATGTAGAGACGGCATGAACAAACACTGTAGATATTTAATGGTGGACATGTATTGCAGTAGAAGATGGAGGATGCTCGATATCCTCTGTCTCACCTGGACAGGTCGTTCTATGTTTTCCACAGAAGTCATTCAGGTAACTGAGGGGAAGTCAGCTGGCTATCTGTAGCAGCTCATGGTGACCTTGACCTATTGTGATGGTTTCTCCATCAGGTCCTTTCGTATCCGGTCTGGAGTATTCAACAGGAGCAAAGGCAGAGGTGGTCGGCAAGCCAGAAACACGCTTCTTCCTGTCCGCCATCAGGGACATGGGTTGTGAGCCTGGCCAGTGTGTCATGATTGGCGATGTAAGTATACTGAGTGTGGTTTAGTGGGTGAGTGATGATGTAAGTATACCCAGAGTGAGTGAGTGTGAGACATGGATTGTAACCTGGGCTAGTGTATCATGATTGGTAATGTAAGTGTACCCAGAGTGAGTGAGTGAGTGAGTAAGCTATCAGACATGGATTGTGCACTGGGCCATTGCATCATGATTACTTACCATTATTTTATTATCATTCCTAAAATGCCATGTTTGTTTCTGTGTTCAGGATGTTCGGGATGATGTTGGAGGGTCACAGACTGCTGGCATGACCGGAATACTCGTGAAGACAGGTGGGTGTCGACATTGTCTTGTGAAGATACTAGAATCTCTTCATGTTAATTAGAAATGATGCTGTCCTCATTCTTTGGACCATATCCCATGTGAAGATGCAAGGTTAGACTCATGTCGTAAGAAGCGAAGGATTGGCTGGCCAGGCTGAATGCTTTGTTGATTAATGGAAAAAATATAGAAGTCATATCTTAAATACTGATTTAAGTTTTTCATCTCTTCTTGCAGCATAAAAAAGAAACATATGTTTTTTTCTAGCTTATCAATTATTTCAGGGAAGTACCAAGATGGAGACGAAACGAAGATCACCCCACCACCTAGCCATGTAGCACCTGACTTCTCCCACGCTGTCGATATCATCTTGGGAAGCCAGCAGCAGTGTAGCTGATGATATCAGTATGGATACAGTGTAGTCTATTATTATGTCAATATAGCTACAGTGTAGCTGATGATATCAGTATGGATACAGTGTAGTCTATTATTATATCAATATATCTACAGTGTAGCTGATGATATCAGTATGGATACAGTGTAGTCTATTATTATATCAATATACCTACAGTGTAGCTGATGATATCAGTATGGATACAGTGTTATATACCTACAGTGTAGCTGATGATATCAGTATGGATACAGTGTTATATACCTACAGTGTAGCTGATGATATCAGTATGGATACAGTGTAGTCTATTATTATATCAATATACCTACAGTGTAGCTGATGATATCAGATCTGCAACAGTGATACTGATGATATCAGTACAGCTACAGTGTCACTGATTTAAGACCTACAACAGTGTAGCTGATATCAGAATGATTTCAGGGTAGTTGATGATATCAGTACAGCTACAGTGTAGCTTTTTATCACATCAATATCACTACAGTATAGCTGAATATATTAGTATAACTGCAGTGTAGCCGATTATATTGTTACAGCTTCAGTGTCACTGTTATAAAACCTACAACAGTGTAGCTGATATCAGAAGTGTTACTGATGATATCAATACAGCTACAGTGTAGCTTTGTATCACATCAATATCACTACAGTGTAGCCGATTATATTGTTACAGCTACAGTGTCACTGATATAAAACCTACAACAGTGTAGCTGATATCAGAAGTGTTACTGATGATATCAGTACAGCTACAGTGTAGCTTTGTATCACATCAATATCACTACAGTGTAGCCGATTATATTGTTACAGCTACAGTGTCACTGTTATAAAACCTACAACAGTGTAGCTGATATCAGAAGTGTTACAGTGAAGATGATATCAGACCTGCTACAGTGTATCTTATGACTACAGTGTAGCCAATGATATCAGTATGGCTACAGTGTAGCTGATGATGATGATAATGTTATGCAATTGTGGTTTTGGAAAAGTTTGGTTTTAACAGCCTGTACAAGATGTTGATGTGTATGTATAAATGCTTTTCTTCAGAGGCTAAATTATTTATTTTGCAATTATGGACATGTTTCCAGATTGTGAATGCTCATTCCATGATATAGTCATTGAGAGTCGGTGATATGCAAAATAACAGGATGTACATACTACTGAAACTTTATTACTATAAAGTTGAACATGAATAAACAAATAATGTATAAACATGTTTGGTGCGAAATGACAACCATGGCCGGGGGAGTTCTTAGAATAATCATTTATTCTTTGATGATAATTCTGAAATAATCAGAAAAGACAGTAAACACTCTGATGAGATAATAAATTCACAGATACAACTCTCAGGTTCATTTACTCTGGACCAGGCCCACTTATAACAATATGCATGATCTCTGCACTGTAATTGTCAACAAAACTACAGTGCTTCATAAAATACAAATACAGTGAGACCTCGGATATCCGGACACATTCGTTTTTACGTAAATCGTCCGGATAATTGAATATCCGAGGTCTCACTGTATATCTGGATTTTTGGTTTTCATTCACCTCAAGGAAAATCCAAACCATTTATGATCATCAAGCGTCATTGTACATGTATAGACATTCAAAAACAGCATCACAACATAACAATCATACCTTTACAATTATTCAGTTTTGAAAAAGTCTTTCATTGAGGACTGCTTACACTGGGTGCCGCTCCTTTGCAACACGACGGACAACATTTTGTCCAGGTTTTCACTGTCGCCATTGTTCTCAAAGTAGCTGAGTAGGCCTTCGTAATATTTATTTGCGTCAGCAAACGAGCAGGGTAGTGGGACTGCCTGATTCTCCGTATCACCGCCACTTTCTTCTTCGGGATCTTCTTTATGGGTGACCATGTCGATGATTGAAGCAACTTTTCCCCGATTTCTCTTGCCTTTTCTGTCTGCATTTGATCATTTACCGGCACATTTCGACTTGCAACATCACTGAGCCACAGATAAACAGCTTCTTCGAGTTTCTGATGTTTGGCATTTCTTGATCGGGACAGGTCCGAAGAATTGTCTGGTGTGCCGAGCCATTTATCTTTTTGCTTGATTATGTCGACGATCGTTGACTTTCCAATCACATGTCCAAATACTGGTCCAAAATGTTTGCTTATGTTATCTAAGCTTACTTTCGGATTTTGTTCTTTGTACAAACATATCTCTTTCTTTTCCTTGGCTGTCACTGCGTAGAGCGTTTGCATTTAGTAGGTTGACTAGCCATTTGTGATCAATTGAAAAACCAACTGACTTGAATATCGACACACTGCACTTTTATTGCTTTGACTGAATAAACAACTTAACAGTTAGAACTCAATGGTTAACTCAGTGTCAGCTAGGCCTTCTAATCACCACCAATACCTTGATCCGGATTAGCAGACGATGTCTCATGTCAAAACACTTGGGACTCTCGCGCTTCCCTTCACACGGTTAGCGGTGGATCAAAGCTTCGTGCGGATAGGTGAGTCAGTTTTGTGTTGATTTAGCCGGTTTGTTTGTAAAATGTACCGTCTGGAAAAGGAAACCGAATATCCGTTATAGACAGTCACTTTTATAACGTAAGAGATTGTTTTTTTCTAAAAATTGACCGGAAGGTGAGGTTTCCGGAAATCTGGGGTCCGGGTATCCGAGGTCTCACTGTAACTACAGGCAAATATATTCCACAGACTTAAAATATTCCTTAAGTTACATTTCTCTCAGATGAGGCTACAATCTCTAATGCCAGATGTGAAACTAAGTTCATGAATGTAAACATCACAGTTTAAGGACCTTGCTGCCTAGCAAATGACTCTATTACAACAAAAGGGGGTGATAGGTAGTTACATGTCACAACCCCACACAATATCGTGAAATACATGACTCAAACTCTGCTCAAATTCATGAAAGTTCGGTAATAAAAACAAACACCAAATATTTCAACTTGAAATGAACGTTGCATAGCAAAATCTCACAAAATGTGGCAGATAATATAAAACACCCCTACAAATATATAATGGACTCTTTTAAGAAAATTACTATTTTTCCTTATCCTGACTCATGCTCTTTTGCTTGTCTTCTTCTTCTTGCGAACATAGTGGAACACTTGTATCTCCTTATTTGAAGCTCCCTTCAAAATAAAATCACTAATTGGTACTCACCACGAGTTGCTCCCCTTTGTCTCCCCTGGCGGGAAAAGGTGTCGCCACCCTCTGGCCATGTGCTTCACTCTCTCCTTCTTCGCCCAGTGAGCAGGATGTGAGAGCGCCTTGTGTCTCCTTACACACATATCCTTTGATAATCTCTTAGTTTTTACCTCTCATAGGTTACTATAGAGGTATAGCTAGTATCCTTTACTATTTGTATTGATTAATTATCGTATTTCTACTGTTTATTCACGTGTATTCGTGATTGTTCAGCTAGCTTTACGTTCATGAAAATCTGTACGATTTGTAGATTACGTTTTTCTGCCTCCGATCCACATGTAATATGCCCTAGTTGTTCTACGCCGTGTGCGTTTAATTCACGTTGCAGTTACTGCATTAATTTATCTCATTCTGCATTTAATAAATATCATCTTTGCGTCTTAAGACGTGCTGCAGATAGATCACGCAAACAAGGGCAAAACATGGCAGAGAGTCCAGATATTCCTTCCAGTCAGCTGCTAGCGATCGACCCTCTCCCGTCTGGTGTTCTGCTAGAGACCCCTGCGGCAGAGGATCTACGAAGACAGCAAGAACTTTCTCAGCCGAGATCGTTCCAGCAGCAGAGTTGGGCCTCTACGATGATCAGCCGATAATCATCCCCGACTTACGGCAGAAGAAGCGACCGGTGTCAGCGACTGTGACTTCTGCAGAGATCTCCATGCAGCCTGATGCCTCTACACCGACGTCAGACGTCATTGATGTGAACCCCATCGCAGAAAAGACGCCGACGACTTCGTCACAGATCATCCCAGAAGACATGATGCGGCAGATTATGAACATCATGGAGGACCACTACAAACTGCGCAAGCAGGGTCCGAGCCTTCGCGAAGGCTCCAACGTAGACAGCACCCCAGAGGCACCCCCAGTCAACGTAGCAGCCAAGACGATGTCACCTTCGGGAAGGAAGTCCCGCACCACCTTGACGAAGGACCTAGATGTACAGCCTTCACAAGGCCTTCAAGGCGGAGAGATCATCACCATCTTCGATTTCATCTCTAGATATGGACTCAGACCATCAGACATCACGGAAGCCTTCGAAGGTCATATCATCGATCCCCGGACCGGACGTTAAATGAAGCGCTGGCAAGGCATTCGCCGAAGGACATATGATTCCAGATCTTCATCGTCTAGAAGAACATCGAGGGACTGCCAAGAGCTTCGAAGCTATCAACATTCACCTCACAAGTCTCCGAAGAAGATCATCCCATAGACGATCTCCACTCCGTTCATCACCAGGTCGATCACCCATCAGATCTCCACATAGAGCGGCGCACAAGTCAACTAGATCGCCACAAACCTCATCAGATATACAGACAGCTACACGCAGTCCCGAAGAGCATCTACAATTTATTAATGATGATGGTTTTGAGGATGATGGAGGAATCATATTTTCTGATGCAGAGATACGGTATTGGATGGTCAATAACCTAGATCTCACATCACCATCTAAAAGTGGCAATACAGCTCAGACGTATTTGATGAAGGAAGATGATCCAGATGCAATCACTCTACCCCCGATCGACCCGACATGCAGTGCCACAGAATCTAGATGCAGCTTTCCAGAAAGCTACGAAAGTTCAGATACCACATCTACCCAACTTTCAAGCCAAGAAGTTCTCCACGCATAACATGGACTCCTTCTACAAGGCCCAGGACATCGATGAGAACTATAAGATCATCAGCGATGTAAAGAACAAGATTTACAAGATGGATGATCGCAAGTTGGCTCATATAGAAACCATGACGACGTGATGTTCTTTGGGTTAAATAGATCTAGGACGATCAATGAGACTCTTATTACTAGATTCGGGATTCCACGACGGAAGATGATAGAATGATTTATTCTGCCTTACTTATGCAAAAGAAAGATCAGCAGTTTTAACGGATCATCTTACATCTGTTTC